AGGCTTGTGTGGGAGGAAAGGGGGGAAGGGGGGAAGGTGGAAGCGAGGCCGGAGGGGGAGAGAAAGAGAGAGAGAGAGAGAGAGAGAGACAGTGAGAGAAATTCCAGAGAGAATCGCAGTGCTCAGGTCAAGAGTGAGTCACTGACCACCAGAGCTGGTAAACACTTAACGAAGAAAGACGTGAAGCGAGAGACGGAGAGGGAGCGTGTGGGCGCGCGCGCGTGTGTGTGCGCGCGTGTGCGTGCGTGTGCGTGCGTGTGTGCGAGAGAGAGAGAGAGAGAGACGCTCGCGGGGCTCAGCAAGTCTCGAGAGGAGACAGCTCAGAGGACAACCTTATAGAATCGACTGTAAAGTGTAGTGACTGTGTGTGGGGGGGTTTTTTTCCCCCGCGGGAGAAACGGGGCAGCCGGTCGCGCCCAGCGGCGTGTTTCCCCCCTCCACCGCCGCCCCACCCCACGCGCTCCCCCTTTGCGCACAAACAGCCGTGGGTTGGGGCGACCGAATTATTATTATTACTTTTGAAGGGTTTATTGCTCCCGCAAAAGCCATCCGCCAATCGACTGGCGATCGCGTTGCTGCTGACCGCTGGGAAAAACAAACACGGGGGGGTGGGGTGGGGGGGGGGAGAAGTTTCGCCCCACTCGGGAATCGGGTCTACACCATTTCCCTTCCATTTCCCTTCATTATAAACACGACAGAGCCTTCTGTTTCAATCAGAGCCTCTGACGTTTCCGTCTGCGTGAGGAATTTCCTCCTAAACGCCCGATCCTATTAAAAAAAAAGTTCCTGGCTCGATTATGGGGGGGTGGGAGTGGGGGGGGGGGGGGGCAAAAAAAGTCCTGACCCCATCGCAATGTCTCCTAAGCCTCAAGGAAATGACGATAGTTATTCCTAACATAAACGGTACCACGATTCTTTGGTCACTCTGTGTTTACACCCTCTGCCCAACAAGTGGGAGCGACAAATTGTTTCACTTAGCTAACAGGAAGGGTGGGCGCGCGGGGGGGGGGGGGTTAGTGTCTCGGGGGTGGTGGGGGGTGGGGGGGTGACGGTTGGCGGAGACTGACAACGAGACAGGGAGGGGGAGAGTTGACCGTTAGCACGAAGGCCTTTAAGTGGGATTTTAAGGTGGGGAGGGGGCGAGGCGGAGGGACGGAGAGAGTGACAGAGTGACAAGCTGAAGGCACGGCCACCGATGGCGGAGCGGAGAGAGATTGGGGGTGCGGAGGGCGGGTGGGGGGGGGGGGGGGAGAGGGGACAAACAGGAGGCCGGCGCCAACTGATAGTGGCATCAACCCACAACCCACGTCTCGGACACTGACAGAAGTGAGGCCATACGAGTGGCAGAAACAGCGTTGGGACGGCAAGTGGTGACGTCAGTGTGGGCTCCTCGGTGCTGGGCTCAGTCCCGGCCTCACTCGCCTCAAGGACCGTCCGACCGGTCAGTATAGCCTCATGTCCATGTGTTGGTAGATCCACTGGAGGAAGACGGTGACCTTGGTGTAGACCCCGGGTCTGTCAACTTTCCCACAACCGTCCCCCCAACTGATTATCCCGTACAGGTTTATCAATCCATCCTTAGGGCACACGAGGGGTCCTCCCGAGTCACCCTACAGAGAGAGAGAGAGAGAGAGAGAGCGAGAGGGAGAGAACGAGAGAGAGAGATTGGATCAGTCAAACCTCTTATCAACAATAATAATCCTCGCATTCGACCCGGCGCCTGGTCACGGCTTCGAGATGTCTCAAAGCGCTTCGTGGGATACGCTGTCAAGTGGAGTGACTGTGCGTTTTGTGGGCGAAGGCGGCAAGCCAATAGCGCCAAGCGACGTCCCCACAAATTCCTTCCCCCACCCCCCCCCACCCACCACCTCCTTTATCCTTGCCCTGTTCCCCCCTGTGCACGGTGGGTGGGAGTGGGGGGGGGGGGTGGGGGGAAGGGGAAAGGGGGAAGATATCTCACTGACCTGGCAGGCATCGTCAAGGTTTCGAGTGTCTTGGGCACAGAGCATATTGTTGGTGATCGGGAGGGTGTTGGTGTGGGACGCCAAGCATTTGGAGCGTGGGACTAGCCTTACATTTCCTTCCTTAAGTCGCTTTGAGTAGAAGGGTGAATCTGCGGAGAGAGAGAGAGAGAGAGACAGAGAGAGAGAGAGAGAGTGAGATACGGACACAGAATACGATCGACAAGAGAGAGGCTGTGAGACAGATAGAGAGAGAGAGAGAGGAGGAGGAGGAGGAGGAGGAGGAGGGGGCGGTGGGTGTTGGAGAGAGATCCGGAGAGTGTGATATAGAAAGAGAGAGTGTGAGAGAGACGGAGAGAGAAGAGAGAGTGTGCGTCGGAGAGAGAGAGAGCGAGAGCGAGAGCGAGAGAGAGAGAGAGTGTCGGAAAAGTAGGAGCCACGAACTCACTCTGACTTTCTTTGCCGTAGCCGGAAATTTCGCACTCGGTCCAGTCGGGTAACTCGAGGCCGGCCTCGGGGAGGCAGACGGTGTTCACAAACTGGGTCGGTACCGCACACTGCTGCCCCACTCTGGGCTTCAGTTTAATAAGAGCTGTGGGTGGGGTGGGGGGGTGGGGGGGTGGTGGTGGGGAGGAGAGAGACAAGAGACAAACCAACCCGTTAGACAGCGCCGGCATCGACTGGATACTAACACTAATAATCCTGATGCACAAACTATTCGCGCCCTGGGGGGGGGTCTCGGAGCGCTTAACCGTGGCGGAGCCGGTCTCTGAGCCGATGAGGGTGGGTGGGGGGTGGGGTTGGGGGGTGGGTGTTGGGGGAAGAGGTGGTCGTAAGCCCGGTTGAAGAGAAAGTGAGTGTGTGGGGGTGGGTGGGGGGGGGAGCGAGGCGGAGGGATTGAGGGAGAGCGTGACAGAGTTTCGGAGCGCGCGTCTCTCTCTCTCTCTCTCTTACTCTCTCCCCCACCCCCCCTCAGCGTTGAGGCCAACAAGCCCCCGGAGAAAGAAAATGGCTCGATGGCTGGCTGGCTGTTTGCGGAGTGGGGTGGGGGGTGGGGGGGTCGAGGCGTCCAGTGAATCCCGCTCAACCCCTTTGAGGCTTCCTCCTGCGTCACTTGTCCTTATTATTATTATTATTATTATTATTATTCATTATTATTATTACTATCGTTGTTTTATTGGTAGCCATAAAGGAGGCGTAAGGCGGACTGACCGATATCATTGTCCTTCGTCCGGTCGACAAAGTCTTCGTGGATGAAATACTTCTCCACGTGGAGGATCTGCTCGTTGGGGCTGGTCTCCGCCCGGAATGTTCGGCCCATGATCACCTTCAGGCGCTCGACCTGCGAACCTGGGAACGGGCGGAGTGGGTGGGGGGAGCGGAGGTGGGGGTGGGTGGGGGTGGGGGGGGCGGGGGAATAATCGTCAGTTTGAGAGGCTGGGTACAGCAGTACATTCAGAGCCCCCCCCACCCCTCACCACCACCCCACACACACACACGTACACACGCACACTCGTAGCAACGGACCACCCCCCCCCCCACCCCCACACACACCCATAGCAATCAGACAACACCCCCCCACCCCCCCATACACACACCATAGCAACCGGAGTGCCCCTCGCCCACACCTCCCCCCCCACCCTAGCAACGAGCCACCCCCCCCCCCCCCCCACACACATTGCGACTGGAGAACCTCTCCCCATCCCCAACCCATAGCAACGGGACAGCCCCCCCCTTCACCCCCACCACCCCCCCCCCCCGAAACACACCCCTAGCAACGGGGGCCCTCTCAGTCTCCTCCAACCCCTAGCAACGGAGAGTGCCCCCCACCCCCACCATACCACCCATAGCAACGCCCTGTTCTGAGTAATTGGGAGTCTATATTGGTGCTGTTGGGTGGGAGGTTGGGGTGGGGGTTTGGGGGGGGGGGTGGGGTCACAGACTGACCTTTCGTAGAAGCAGTGAGCGGCGGTCAGCACCCAGCAGGACCCGATGAGGCTCCCCCCGCACAGGAGGCCATCGGTGTCGCTCTTGTCGGAGTAGAGGAAGATGGCGGCCTGCCAGGGGTGGGAGGAGATGTCTGTGGGGATTCCTCCCTGATCCGGTACTGCACTGGCTTCGGACGCCGCTTCCCACACGTCTCGACTGCGGAAAACAAGGGGGGGGGGGGTGCGGGGAGGGGGGAACAGGTTTAGTGTTATTACGTTCGAAAGGTGGAACAGAGCTTTGCCTTCGTTACAAAAAAACATGTGTTTGCACCTCCCTCTCCCCTCCCTCCCTTCCTCTCTCTCTTCCTCCCTCCCCCCTTCCCTCCTTCTCTCTCTCCCCATCCCTCTTTCTCTCCCCCTCCCTCCCCCTCTCTCTCTCCCCCTCCCTCTCCCCCCCAACCCCGGCTCAGGGTGAGGCGCTCCGGGAACAAAGGCAAGTTGTTGTCGGGTGAGGGTGGGGACTGGATTCCGACATTCTGTGGGCCAACCTTGGCCTACAGTTTCAGCTCCAGGGAGAACCCCATCTTGCCCCCACCCCCTGCCACCCCCCCCCCCCCCCACCCCCCCAACCCCCCTCTTCTCTCTCTCTCTCTCTCTGGCGATCCTTACCGGACACCGGGCACCGCTTGACATCGCAGTATTCCCAGGTCACGTGTCGTCCCTTCCTGACGTGGCACCAGGGTTGACTATCCTTGTCTGGATTCCTGAAACAACAGCAGCAGAAGACCGGGGGTCAGTTTTGTGTCCCCAGCGATCACGTCGACGAGACCCCTCTCGAAGCGCTTCACGGGCTACGCTTCTAAATCCAACCAACTGTATATTTTTGGGGGCGAAACGCAGCAGCCAATTGCGCCCCCCCCCCCCAGCGACGTCCCCCCCACAAACAGTCGTGGATTTAGTGGCCAAGCTGTTATTTTTGGAAGGGATTGTTTCCCCCCGAAAACCGATCCACCAATCAACTAACAACCGGGTTCCTGCTTGCCACGAGGTGAACAGGGACGGGTGGGGTAAGGAAACTTGCCCAATGTTTCATCCCACCCGGGAATCGAACCCAGGGCTCTCTCGCTTGTGAGGCGAGCTATAGGGAACCACTGAGCTATAGGGAACCACTGAGCTATAGGGAACCACTGAGCTACAGGGAACCACTGAGCTATAGGGAACCACTGAGCTACAGGGAACCACTGAGCTATAGGGAACCACTGAGCTATAGGGAACCACTGAGCTATAGGGAACCACTGAGCTATAGAGAACCACTGAGCTATAGGGAACCACTGAGCTACAGGGAACCACTGAGCTACAGGGAACCACTGAGCTATAGGGAACCACTGAGCTACAGGGAACCACTGAGCTATAGGGAACCACTGAGCTATAGGGAACCACTGAGCTATAGAGAACCACTGAGCTATAGGGAAATCCACTACAGGACAACCAGAAACCCTGCAGGTAACGGGTTCATTGTGCCGAATACAGATTGGCTCCAGTCCTGACGATGTTGTGGGTGGAATGCGCGGCCAGTCGCACCCAGCGACGTCCCACAAACAGCTGCGAAGTGAGCGAGCGATTTATCGGGGGATTGTGGGGGGGGGGGGGAGAGAGAGAGAGAGAGAAAGAGAGCGCGAGAGAGAGAGAGAGAGTGTTAAGTCCTGGAGTGGTGGGAAGGGTTTCTGACCTGCAGAAGTTGTGGCTGCCCAGCCCGAGCTTGCGAGCGCCAGCCATCCATGCATTGTTCTTCGTCTTCCGCAAGGCCAGAGAGTCCCAGCTCAGGCAGGGTCTGCCCGAGAGAGAGGAGTCCTTGGTTCCCCGGTAATCCACTCCAATTCCCGTGTAGCACTCAGATCGCCGATCTGCAGCCAGACGAGGGGGAGACACTGGTCAGCGCGCGGCGAGTGAAAGCTCGAGCTCCCGTGTGCACAGTCGCATCACATTAATGATAATAATATTATAATAATAATAATAAGCCCAAAGCGCTTCGTAGGGTTATATACTGTAAAACAGAGGTAGCAACTGTGTGTTTTGTTAACCCCACAGCCAAAGCACTAACTAATTGACTGACTGACTAACTAACTAATTAACTGACTGACTGACTAACTAAATGACTAACAAGCAGACAGTGACATCAATGGCCGAGCTGTGTGTGGTTAGACTCCAGCAGTTACTCCAACGCACTCTCTGGGCTCCCCCTCAAGCCTTGGCTCTCACCAACCTGCGCCTAATACTCTCCGGAATTGGGTAAGCAGTGGGGGGGGGGGCGTCCCTCCAGAAGGGAGAGAGGGGGTGTGTGGGTGAAGGAGGGAGGGGGTGTGTGATGGAGGGAGGGGTCGGGTGGGTGAAAGAGGGAGGGAGGGGGTGTGTGAGGGAGGGAGGGGTTGGGTGGGTGAAGGATGGAGGGAGGGAGGGGATGGGTGAGGGGGTGGATGGGTGAAGGAGGGAGGGAGAGACTCACTTTGTGGGCAGGTTGGAATATCGCAAGTCTCCCAGGTCAGGACCTGATGCTTATACACATGGCACCAGGGAGCGCCATCATTGTCTGGGTTCCTGTAAAAGCCAAAGGGGAGAGAGTTACGACCCAAAAGGAAGAGGGAACGACAACAACGCATTCCGCTTAGATTTTTTTTGAGGTTTTAACGTGTCATAGGAACGGGGGGGAAGCCATTGAGTTAGATCATGGCTGACCTGTACCCCAAATCCCGTAACTTTACCCCGTACCCCCAACAGAGATCCAACCACCTCGGTCTTGAGAGTAATAATAATATTCCTCGCATTTGACCCGGCGCCTGATCGCGTCTTCGAGACGTCTCAAAGCGCTTGACGGGATACACCGTAAAGCGCAGCGACTGTGTATTTTGTGGGCGAAACCCGGCAGCCGATTGCGCACAGCGGCGCCCCCCCCCCGCCGCCCTCCCCCCCCGCGAACAGCCGCGGGTTGAGTGCCCGATTTCCAAAGGACGGCGTCTGAAACGCTAGCGGGTGATGGTGCCGTTGGTCCTTACCTGCAGAAGTTGTGGTTGCCCAGCCCTAACCGCAGAGCCCCGGGGCGCCGGGCGTTGTAGACGGTGTGAGCCACGGCGCTGGAGTTCCAGTTCAGGCAGGTGTACCCCGACAAACTCACACTCCACGTCCCCCTGTACGAGGCCCCGTGTCCCAGAGCGCAGTGAGCCTGGGTGTCTGCAACACAAAGCCAACCGCGGCGTTCAGCGCTGAGCGGATCGCAGCGCGGCACGAGGGTGGGGGGGGGGGGAGGGGGAAGGAGAGAGGGAGAGAGGGGGGAAAGGGAGAGGGGACGAGGAAGGAGAGAAGGGGGAGGAGAAAGGTTGAGAGTGGGGAGGGAGAGGGGGGGGAAAGGGAGAGGGGACGAGGAAGGAGAGAAGGGGGAGGAGAAAGGTTGAGAGTGGGGAGGGAGAGAGGGGTGAGGAGAGAGGGGGTGAGGAAGGAGAGATGGAGGGGGGGTGGGGGGGTGCGGAGAGAGCCCTGTGGCGACGCAGACACTTACCAATCTCGCAGCGGGGGCCGCTAAAGCCATCGGGGCACTGGCACACAAAGTGATGGGAGTAAAGAGCTTTGCGACACCTCCCCCCGTTGTAGCACTTGACTTTGCTGCACTCTGCGGACAGGGGAAGACAGTCAGTGAGGGTGGGGGGGGGGGGTGGGGGGAGTGTGGGGGGGTGGTGTGTGGGGTGGGGGGGTGGAGAGAGAGGTCGGGACCCTAAGACCCGACTACACACACACGCACACACACACTGAGCTAAGTTGTCATCGTGTTTCCCCCACTCCACCCCACACACATCGCACACGTGCGCGCGCGCACACACATGCAACATACACAAGCACACACACACATGCACACACACGCGCGAGCGCCCACACACACACATGCAACGCACATGTACACACACACCACACACACGTACACACACGCGCGCGCGCGCGTGCGCACACACACCGCACACTTGTAAGAGGAGCGACACGCTTCGGACCACAGAGAGCTACACGCTTACCCACGGTGGGCACGGCGTGGCACTGGATGCGCCTGCCCGCGCACCGACAGTACTCCACGCGGCGATTCCTGCCTTCCAGCCAGCTCTCGCCGTTCACACGCGTGCCTGACGTGTTGGAGTCAGTGCACTGCCCTGTAACACGGAGAGAGAGAGAGTGTGTGAGAGATTGAGAGTGAGAGAGTGTGAGAGATTGAGAGTGAGAGAGGGGGAGAGTGAGAGAGTGAGAGTGAGAGTGAGAGAGAGAGAGAGAGTGAGAGAGAGAGTGAGAGTGAGAGAGAGAGTGAGAGAGGGGGAGAGTGAGAGAGTGAGAGCTTGAGAGTGAGAGAGAGAGAGAGTGAGAGGGGGAGAGAGAGAGGGAGAGAAGGGGAGAGAGTGAGAGAGAGGGGGAGAGAGTGAGAGAGAGTGAGAGAAGGAGAGAGGGAAAGGGAGTGTGACCACGACTCGTTTTTTTTGCAGTCGTTTGTTTTTTTCGAAGGGATTACTCAGTCCCCAATCGGTCCCCACTCCCCCCCCACCCACCCCCCCCATCCCCCCGGATTATTCCCCCCGGAAAAGCCATCCGCCAATCGACTAAAGTTTTCTCTCCGCCGCCCCCCCACCACCCCCCCCCTCCCCCTCCCACCCCGGGGAATCGAACCCAGGAGTGTGGTAGGGGTGTGGGCGGAGGAGGAGTGGGGGTGGGGGGAGCGGTGGGGAAGCTCTTATCGCCGAGGCCAGCTGGGGCGTGAGCGCTCACGTGCGACCCATGATGTTTTTAATGGAGAGACCCCGGAACACGGCACGTCCGCAGGTCAATAAAAAATAACAATAAAAATAATACTGATCCCTGCGTTTGGCCCCTCGTCACGTCTTCGAGACGCCTCACAGCGCTTCACAGGACACACTGTAAAGTGTAGTGGCTGTGTTATTTTTGTGGGCGAGACGCGGCAGCGTTTCCCCCCCCCCCCCACCACCACAAACAGCCGTGGGATGAAGCGATCAAATTATTATTCTTATTTCTTTTGGAGGGATTGTTACCCCCCGGAAAAGCGATCCCCCAATCGACTAACAACCGGGTTCCTACTGACTGCCGGTAACCAGAGGCGCGTGTGTGTGTGTGTGTGTGGGTGTGTGTATGGGTGGGGGGGTGGGTGTGGTGGGGGGGGGGGGGGAGTAAGGAAATTTTCCCAACATTACGCCCTGACTGACCCGCCCGGGAATCGAACCCGGGTCCTCTCGCTCGCGAGGCGAGGGCTCGAACCCCTGAGCTCCAGGGAACTCCACGCTCGCCCCTCAGAGACACCCCCACCCCCTTTCTCCCCCCCCCCACCCCCACCACACCAGATCTTCCACACTCCTCGCTCACCTTGCGATGGTTTATACATAAACCGTCGAGTCCCTCGCCTGAACCGCGTCCGTTGACCCTGAAATGAAAGTTTTTTCATGCGTTAAAGGTACCCTGCGGGCAGACACCCAGACAAAGCTGCCCCCACCAACACCCCCACCCCCCCTTCCATTTAATTCTCTCTCTCTTCCCCCCTCCCCCCACCCCCACCACCACCATCCCTTCGTCTGTCAGAGAAACCCAGCAAAGTAGGAACAAGGAACAGGCCATTCAGCCCATCTAGCCTGCTCCCCCAATTCCCCCCGCGCGCTCCCCCCCCCCCCCACCCCGCACACCCACACACACCTCTTAAACCCCAAGTCCCTCTGCCCCTCACACCTCAATCCGTGTCCTCACTTCCCGGAGACAACACACGCGCGGAAAGACAGAGAGAGAAGCACACGGCCACATACAGAGAGAGAGAGAGCGAAAAAGAAACGCAGATACACAGAGAGTTTGAGATAGAGACAGACAGACGGACAGACGGACGGACACACACACAGTGACACAGACACAGACACAAACCTTCGCTTCCCCACTGAGGCAGATGGTGAGCATCACACAGCACAGAAATCCCAAAAGCCTCATCGTTGTCGAACTTCCGTCGAGGCTGAAACCCTCCTCGTCTCTGTGAAGACAATTTCACGATCGGTCAAGCGTTCGGACACTCGGACGCGGCCCTCGCGCCCCTCCGCTCAGCTCCCAGCGAGCCCCCTCCGCCCGGCCGAGGGGGGTCAGCCGGCAGCTGCCACGGGACACTACGGAGACAGAGCACAGCCCGGCTCGGACACTGAGGTCAAGTGGAGTCCCTGTAGCTCAGGGGGTTCGAGCCCTTCGCCTCGTAAGCGAGAGGACCCGGGTTCGATTCCCGGGCGGGTCAGGTCAGGGCGAAACCTTGGGCGAGTCTCCTTACAGCCCCCACCCCCCCGCCCCCCCCACCACCACCCCTTCAAGGCGCTGCGTGAAAAAGAAAACACACGCAAGTGTCCCCTCGGGGACGTGCGTGGTTGGGGGAAGGGGCGGTGGGTGGGGCGGGTGGGGGGGGTCTCGAACCCACAACCTCCCGGCCTCGGAGGTGAGAGCGCGGTCTCCAAAAGTGGAAGGAAAAGGGGACGAGAGGGACATTTGAGTACATTCGTAGCTTTTTCCCGGGGTCTCGCGGTTGAAAGAACGGGGAGAGGGGAACGGATAGAGTGAGTGGGGGTGTGCGCGCGCGTGTGGGGGGGGGGGGGGGAGTGGGGGTGTGGGGGGGGTCTAAATGGGGGGGAAACGACAACAACAACAACTTGTATTTATAAAGCACCCCTCACGCGGGGAGAGCAGTCGGGAACATGGCAGTAGCTCCTCACGTCCAACAGAGTGCAGTGCAAACCGCAGTCACAGATGTGCGCACACACACGCACACACACACGCACACACACCCACGCGCACACGCACACACACACACAGCACGAGGCTTTAACCCTGCGCGTGCTGGAATGCTCAGGTCAGTCTACGAAATACTGTCGCCCTTCGCCCACCAAACAGGCAGTCAATTCGCTTTGGCGGTGAAGCGCTTTGAGACGTCTCGAAGACGTGATCAGGCGCTGTGAGCAAAGGCGATGATTATTATTATTATTATTATTATTGTTGTCATCCATCCAAGCCTTTTTAACCCAGAGAGACAGTGAAAGTCAACAGCTGTTTGGCGAAGCCTCACAGAACGGGTCTGATTTCACCGGGACGAGAAAAGGGAAAAGCATTCAAATCCAGGGGGAGGGTGGGGGGGGGGAGGGGGGGCACTGGTCAAGGCAGGTTTTTGTGTGTGTTTATTTGATGAGACCACTGTGCGCAATTGGCTGCTGAGTTTTGCCCACAAGATACACAGTCACTCCGCTACTTGCAGGACATTCCGTGAAGCGCTTTGAGATGTCGCGAAGATTTCCAATGCAAAGGATCGTTATAATTATTATTATTATTATTATTACTACTACGGCACCTTATCACATCGACCCGACAGCTCAAAACGCTTCACAGGATAGCACTATAAAGTGAAGTGACTGTGTATTTTGTGCACAGCAATGTCTGTGCTGGGGCTCGCTCCCCCCACCCCTCCCCCCAATGGAGCTCTCTATAATTTAATATTAACTCTCTCTCTCTAACGGTAGTTATCCGGCTGTTTTTAAATGCCACGGCAGACTCGGCTGCGTCCGTAGCTGTGAAAATGCTGACCCCCCCTACCCCCCCCCCCACCCACCCACCCCATTCTAGAAACTTTTTTTTTAGGAAAAAAATACCTTCTAACCTCAACCAGTATTTTTTTTTCTCTCTCTGAGGCTTCGCCAAACGCTGGATTCCTAACACTGTGTTTCACAAGAAGGGGTGGAGGGAGGGGTGCGTAGAAGAAGCAAACGAACCGATCTTGAGATGATTGCGCCAGAGAAAATGTGACACAACCAGAATAACAAGGTCGTTCTCGCGCGGGGATGGAGCTGGGCACAGACCGAAATAAAGGGGGGGATACAGGAACTCATCGGAAATAACCATTATAATCCTCGCGTTCGATACAGCGCCTTTCGGAGGGGTCGAAGCCCCTCACAAGATTTGTGCATTTGCAGGTTTTTTAGGAAAAAAAAGTCTTTGCATTTGATAGAGCGCCTTTAAGCATATAAGACTGCGCTGGAGAAACATAACAGAGGTTCATCCAGTTCGCTTTCCGCTGTCCTGGCAGTCGTTTGACTTCACGTATCCCCAAACCATGCACTGTATCCCGAGTTATTATTATTATTATTATTTTCCAGCAGATATCTAGTTCGTTCGTTCCTGAGACAAACGACGCTCATCGCGTGCCACTGAGACGTCCCGAAAAGCAACTGAACCTCAGCGTCCGATTCGCACGCGGCAACGCCTTCGCAGACAGAGAGCCTGAGGGATTGATTTTATCTGGGGTGGGGGGGGTGGGGGGGTGGGTGGGTGGGGGTGGTCGGTGGGCTTGCAACTCGTTTGCCTCCCACAGCGAACATTCTTGACTCCCATCAGATAACCTCCCACCACACCCACTAAATATGCCAGGAAAAAGGGTGACTCCGCTGTGATCTAGAGGGGGCCGGGAAGGGGGCGGGAGGGGGGAGGTGGCGGGGGGGAAGAAAACCCGAGAAGCAAACTTCTTAGCGTGGAACAAGCTGCCGAATTCCCAGCGCGGTCACGAAATGACTACCTTCACTCCGGGAGCATCGGACTGAACCAAGAAAACAGATAAGCCCTCGGGGTCTTGAGACATGAGAGAGGGGAGAGAGAGAGAGAGAGAGCGAGAAAGTGAGTGGAAAGTGGGGGATGTGGGGGAGAAAAAAAAGTTTCACTTACTTTTAAAAGTCTTTTTTTTGCTGCTGCTGCTGCTGGTGGTGGTGGTGGTGGTGGTGGTGGGAGGGATGGGGCTGGAGTTTCCTTGCGTTGGCTGCTATCTGCCTCTCGCTGCTGGTGAAGTTGCTCCCGAGTGTGTGAAGGATGTGACTGAGTCCTCTTTTAAATAGTCCTTCTCCGTGAGTCACTCTCTGCCTTTGCTCCTCCCCGCACTGGCACTGGGGACTGATGTCATGCCGGTTTATCTGTGGATTTTATTTGGCCGCTCGTGCGGTGCGGTTCAGGCCGCCACAGGCATGTGGCGCGAGAGAGCACTTTTGAGAGCCCCGGGACAGCCGACTCCGGGGATCGTAAGCTATGTTTGCTCCCCGCGCCCTGAGGCGCCTCAATGGAGCGCTTCCCGTGTGATACACTCGGCTGCGCATTCTGCCGGCGAAACGCGGCAGCAGAGGTTGAGCGCAGCGCGGGGTCGTGGATCATTTACTTTTATTTATTTCGAAGGAATTATTGTCCCCACCTCACCCCCCCCACCCCACCCACCCCCCCCAGCCCCACGCCCCGGAAAAGCCATCCGCCAATTCCACTAACAACCGGGTTCCTACTTACCGCGAGGTAACCATAGGGAACAGGAGGAGGCCATTCAGCCCCTCGAGCCTGTTCCGCCATTCTATTAGACAACGGGTCACCTGTACCTCAACTCCGATGGTCCGCCCTTGCCCCATATCCCTCGGTGCCCCTGAACCAATTCGTTCAGGAACAACATTGAATCGGTTTCCGCTCGGAAATAATATCTGGTCTCCGTAGGGTTTGGGGACACGACTTGTCAAGCGACCGAGAGGACGGTGGGCGGCGAACCGGGTAGACTTTGATCTTCTCTCGCTCGGACCAACATCTCTCCGCCTCCATCTTGAAAACCTGAATGGATCCAGTCACAATCCACAGCTTTTCGGGGCCGGGGGGAGGGGGTGGTGGGGGGAGAGAGGAGAGTAACAGATCTTCGCTCGCCATTGTGTGAAAAACCAGCTCCCGATTTCACTCCTAAATGGCTTGGCTCTAATTTTAAGACAATTTTAAGACGATGCCTTCCTCGTTCGGGATTCTCCCCACCCCCCCCACCCACTGGAGGAAATAGTCTCTCAATAGCCCAAGCTATCAAGAATTATTGGGGGCGATGGGATTCCGTGTGGGTCAGACCCCCGGCCGATCGCGGTGACGAGTTTCTGCAGAAACCCGCTAACCGAAACCGCGGGGTGTTAAGCAGTTGCGAGCTGGACACGACTGGGGTTAGGGGGCAATTAATGGTAAATCTGTCCGGACAGCTGATAAAATCAGGATGCAAAGAAGTGGAATGACACAACAGTACGATTAATGTGTTGTTTGCTCTGCAAGCGACATGTAGAGCAAACTGTGAAATTCTTGCATTCCTTAATCTTTACTGGTTAGGCAAAGACTGGGTGACAAGACTGACGCTCTCCCGTTACTGACTGTTAGGTTTCGCGTAAAACCGCTTGACCCGGAGTGAGTCAGGGACGGGCTTGGTAATAAGGCAATAATTAATAAACTCTTAGCAACATTCCTTCCGTGAGACACCGCGCCTGTCTGTCACATGGGAAGGACGTCCCAAAGTGCTTCTCCCGTTATAATTCGCCGTATCGTTGCCACGAACCACGCAGTCACCGCACTTTAATGTATACCCTGCGGAGCGCTTTGAGACGTGATGAGGGGCTGCGTCAAACGCCGGGATTATTGTTGGGCGCTGTATGGAACGCCAGGGCTTTTATAACCGTGTTACGAGAGGCTGTTAACGTGAGGGCAGCCGGAATTCAGTCGTCACACCGACCTATTGAGGCGGATGAGAGTGGTCCCCTTTCTGTGCTGTAATGACTCTCTGATTCTACGACTCCTCGCTACCAAAGTTTGGTTCTCAGAAGATTCATTCCACTTGCGGTGAACGTGCTGAGATTTCCCAATGGCAAACCAGTCCGTGTGGTCACTGTAACCCAGTCCCGTTCCCCTCCCCTCCCGGAGAAGGTTATTAATTCCTGGCAACTGAGGAATGTGATGGTGTTTTTTTGTCAGCATTGTTGTCTCTGCGAGAAGGAATCCAAACGGATTCACTGCCAGAATGCTTTCTGGCTCTCAGTCTCTCGCACCAGGACAACCACATGTCTGCTGCTGAGCGTTGACTGTGGCGTACGATCAATCGAGCGGCTTTAACCCTCTCTCTCTCTCTCTCTCTCGCTCGCTCGCTCACTCTCTCTCTTACTCTGTCTCTCGCTACTCATCTCTTACATTCGATTCCGTGCCTATACGCCTCAAAGCGCTTTGTTGGTGAGCGTAGTGACCGTGTTTTGTGGGCGAATGCGGCAGCCAATTTGCACGCAGCAGCGTCCGTGTCCCCCCCCCCCCCCGAAACTGCCATGAATTGGACGCAGATGTACGTGGCAGTAGAACAACAGCAGCAACAGCAAGTGACATTTACGCGGCGAGGGAGGGAGGAACAGAGGCTGCGGAGGATGTTGGAGGACGAAGATTTTGAACTCATTCCTCTGGGGGAATGGGGGAAGCCATTGGAGCTGGGAAATGATATTAATAATAATAATAATAATAATAATCCTTGTATTTGATAATAACGCCCTATCACGTCTTCGAGGCGTCTCAAAGAATATACTGTAAAGTGTAGTGACTGTATGTTTCGTGGACGAAAAGCGGCAGCCAATCGCGCACAGCGGCGTCCCCCACAAACAGCCGTGGGTTGAGCGACCGAATTATTTATTGCATTTATTTCGAAGGGATTATTACCCCCCGGAAAGCGATCCGCAGATCGACTAACAACCGGGTTCCTACTGACTGCCGGTCACCAGAGGCGCGCGTGTGTGTGCGCGTGTGCGCGCGTGTGTGTGTGTGTGCGTGTGTGTGTGTGTGCGTGTGTGCGCGTGTGTGTGTGCGTGTGTGTGTGCGTGTGGAGTAAGGAAACTTGCCCAAAGTTTCGCCCCTGACCAAGAATTGGTCCTCTCGCTCGGGAGGCGAATGATGGGAGTGCTACGGTCAAGGAGCTTCGTAAACAAGCACTGATGTTTGCGCAGTTACATACCACGAGTTTGTTAGTATACACCAACAGAGTAGAGACATCGTGAGGTGCAATTTATAATCATTCAACAACACGGAAAACATTTGTGTTTAATGTACAAATACTGTAATCTCCATCATATATTTCAGCCAAGTTTCCTTACTCCACCTACACGTCGTCTCTGTTTACTCAGCATTTCACTGGTTGTTAGTCGATTGGCGGATTGATTTTCCGGAGGGGTAATAATAATAAAAATAATAATTTGATCACTCAATCCACGAACGGGAAGAGTTGTTGACCAAGACATCAGGAGAGAGAGAGAGAGAGAAAAACTCCCTTCTCTTTTCCCGACAGCGTTGCAGGAATCTTTTAACGTCCGCCTGAACAGGGTACAGAAGGGGAGTGAGGTTCAACGGCTCACGTGAGGGACGGGGTCTCTGACGATGTGGTTGTCTCTCTCTCTCTCTCTCTTTCTCCCCCACCCCCCCCTCCCCTCTCTCTCTCTCTCTCTACCCCCCCACCAGCGCTGTACGAGAGTGTCAGCCCAGACTGTGAGCTCACAGTCCCCGATGTAGGGGCATTGGCTCAAACTCACAACCACAACCCCCTCTGACTCAGAGGATGAGAGCGAGAGATAGAGAGTGACTGAGCCTTCGCGCTATTGTTATTACTAACGTTCGCAACAGGAAGGTGCGGGATGAATGAGGTGGGACTGATCGGAAGAGCAGAGTGCTTTGCAAGTGGAAAGATGTCAATTACATCAGCAGCATCCCTTGCTCCCCCCCCCCCCACCTCTCTCTCTCTCTCTCTCTCTCATCCCTCCTCCCTCCCCCCCCCCCCCTCTCTCTCCCTGTCTCCCCGCTACAGCGATAAGACTACTAATCCTCGCATTTGATGCAGCGCCTCATCACGTCTTCGAGACGTCTCAAAGCGCTTCACGGATTATACTGTTAAAGCGTAGTGACTGCGTGTTTTGCGGGCGGGCGGGCGAAACGCGGCAGCCAATTGCCTGCAATCCCCCCCCACACCCCCCACACCCCCCGGTAAAATCACTTGCTCGCTTCACGACTGCTTGTGAATCTGGGGAGAGTTTTGAGACGTCTGTCTGTTCAGGCGGACTTTATATATCGCGCCCCGAGAAGAGAAGGGCTCGTCTCTCTTTCTCTCTCTCTCTCTCTCTCTCTCTTTCTCTCTCTCGGTACCCAGGCCAAAAAAATACACAGTCACGCCATTTCAGGACAAGCTTTGAGAACCCCTGCTGAGGGTTATATAAGGGTTATACAAAGTGCAAAAACTATATTAATATTATTTTAAAGCTATACTCGGTCCGGCAAGCGTCATTTGTTACAGCAATACAGGAATCTGCTTTCATCACTCCCAAACAAATGAGCTCGTGATGAGTTTACTGTGTATATATGTATATATATATTTACACGCGCGTAAACAAGTGTGGTCGGGATATGGACAACTTGTTGACTTACGTGATGGCGACAAGTAAACCTGCGGTCGAATTATCAGGAGTTTAGTGTCAGTCTTATGTCAGGAGAGTGAAGTGCTCGGGGAGAGGGACCGAGGTTGACATCACGTGCTATCTGGTCTCTCGGAGGGATGTAATAATCATCCGTGCATTTGATACAGCGCCGTATCAATGTGTGGGGCGGGGGGGGAGAGCGAGGGGGAGAGAGAGAGTGAGAGAGGGGGGGAGAGAGAGGGAGGGAGGGGGAGAGAGAGGGAGGGGGAGAGAGAGCGAGGGGGGAGAGTGAGGGGGAGAGAGAGCGAGGGGGAGAGAGAGAGCGAGAGAGAGGGAGGGGGAGAGAGAGCGAGGGGGAGAGAGCGAGGGGGAGAGAGAGAGGAGAGAGAGAGAGAGAGAAAACGATAGAGGGGGAGAGAGAGAGAGAGAGAGAGAGGGAGGGGAGAGAGAGAGAGAACGAGAGAGGGGGAAAGAGAGAGCGCGATGGGGAGAGAGAGGGAGGGGGAGAGAGAAGGAGGGGGAGAGAGAGTGAAGGGGAGAGAGAGTGAGGGGGAGAGAGGGGGAGGGGCAGAGAGAGCGAGGGGGGAGAGAGCCACATTGTGAGAGACGCCATGTTTCCCACCTCGGGATCGGGTGTCCAGCGTTTTGAACTCCTCCCCGTGTGAAGGTGGAACGTGAACGTAATTTGTACTGTATTCCAAATAGCTGCCACGTCTGGCTTCAAAACCACAGTCACTACACCCGCCAGTGATGACTGTGAATCGCTGAGCGGTTTGAACACTCTCGGATTAATACAAATACAAACTACTCTTTCGCTTCCTGGCGCTCAGGGACGGAGGGAGGAAATAATAGCATAACAATAATCCTGGCATTTAAGACGTCTCAAAGCACTTCACAGGATGCACCGTAAAGTGTAGTGACTGTGTACTTTGCGGGCGAAACGGGGCAGCCGATCGCGCCCGGCGCCGTCCCCCCCCCACACACAAACAGCCGTGGGTCGAGCGACCAAATTATTACCATTGTTTTGGAAATTATTTCTGAATGTTATCGCTGAGGAAATAGTACTTTTTGTCTGTTTTTTTTTGAAGGGATTGTTATCCCCGGAAAAGCGATCCATTGATCGACTAACAACCGGGTTCCTCCTGACTGTAAACAGAGGCGCGTGTGTGTGTGTGCGCGCGTGTGTGCGCGTGTGTGTGCGGAGTAAGGAAACTTGCCCAAGGTTTCGCCCTGACCTGAGCTGACCCGCCCGGGGAATCGAAGCCGAGTCCTCCCTCTCTTGCGAGGCGAGAGGGCTCTGACCCCTGAGCCACAGGAATGCACTCGTCGCAGATTGATTAGGGAGTTGGGACACACTGGGAATGTCAGCGGCGTTAAGAGGATCAGAATTTGTCAGGTGAAAGAAGACCAAAGTCCATCCAGTTCACCTTCCACCGGTCTGTCCGTCACACGCGCACATCGTGTCCGAATTAATACACTGCGTCCCACGATGTTGGTGGTGTGTGGGTGGGTGGGTGGGGGGTGGAATCTGCTCTGGTTGTGTTTATTGATGAGAGGCCAACACAGGGCATCATTCCGACGCGGGTTTGCGGTCACATCGTTTCTCCGGTCCTGCTGCCTTCTCTGAGTCCGGTTCCGTTACTCTCTGCGCCATCCCGTCCCGATGGATGAGTGGACGAGTGACTTACGCCAACTCCCTGTGTGTGGGACTTCCCAACTCTTCCCTCCGCGCCCTCCATACTTATCCAAAGCTCTGCGGCTCGTGTTCCTCTCCCCCCACCAGACCCCATCACCCCCCCCCACCCTCGCTCCCCATTCCCCCCCAGAGAATAGAGTTCCAATTCCTTGTCCTCACCTTCACGGCCCTCCGTGGCCTCGCCCCCCCCCCCCACCCACCTCCCCGCCTCTGCGATCTATTGAAACTTCACCGACCCGTCCTCTCCCTCCCCTCGGCGGGCTCCGGTCTGCTCCACATACCCCCCCGCCCTGCCACCGATGCCCCCGCCCTCTGGAGCCCTCGCCTCTCTGAAGGCCCGTCTTCTTCTGCGCCTAGTGTAGTGTAGTGACTGTGTATTTGGTGACGCGAGCAAGTGAGTGGTTTTATCTTGGAGGTGGTGTGTGGGGGGTGCTGGTTGGGGGGGGGGGTGCGAATTGTCCGCCAAGACACCGGGAGAGAGGGAGAGAGAGAGAGAAACTCCTCTTTTTCGACAGCGTCGCCGAGATCTTTAACTCCAGGAGGTCTCAGACGAGGTTTAAAGTCTAATCCGAAAGACAGTGTCTCTCTCTCTCTCTCTCTGTCCCTCCCGCTCCCTCTCCTTCTCCCCCTCCCCACCACCCCCCCCCCCAGCACTGTGCTGGAGAGTCAACCGGGACTGTGAGCCTTGGACGTTTGGGGGGAAGGGAGGGGTGGGCTGGGGGTGACGACTCTTGAGCTCGGTGTTCAGTCTGACCTTGTCTCGTGTTTCTGGCCAATGTCTGTGTCATTTGTGCTTCATCACAGTCAGTGATGTGAGCGAACAGTGAGATTTTCTGGCCCGGGAACAATTTTTATTAATAACAATCCTCGCGTTCGACCCGGATGCCTTATCACGTCGTCGGGACGTCTCAAAGCGCTTCACCGGGACGCGCCGTAAAGTGGAGTTGACTGTGCGTTTGGTGGACGAAATCGATTGGTTACCGGGGAGAGAGAAAGTGTGAAAATGTGGGAGAGAGAGAGAGGGAGAGAGTGAGAGAGGGAGGGAGGGATGGAGAGGCAGCAAGAGAAAGAGAGAGAGAAAGAGGAGGAGAGAGAGAGAGGGCGGAGAGAGAAAGGGATAGAGAGAGAGAGAGCGAGAGATGGAGACAGGACGAGAGGGAAGAGAGCGAGAGAGAGAGTGAGTGAGTGAGTGTGTGTGTGAGAAGGAAAACGTTTAGAGAGGAAGGGAAGGATAGAGGAGAGAGAGAGAGAGAGAGGGGGAGAGAGCGAGACAGAGAGAGAAGGAAAGAGAGTGAGTGGGGGAAGCTGTGTTACTCTGTCAGTTACTCTGTCGGTAACACAGTCGCAGTCATCGTGGTAACCGGTGAGGCCGGGGCTGTGATGAGCAAAGGATACGCAGCGCAGGTGTGAGTAATGTGTTTGCCTTCACTCTGCGGAGAAACCTTTGTCCTCGAGGCTGTAGGTGTGGCAGGGAATGACCCGGATTTCCACACTCCCATCTTGTGCAAAACGCTGGCACTAAATGCCAACACACGCTGTCACCCCAGCCATCCCCGCGCACGCTGACTCCCGTCAGCGGTCTACACGGACTTCAGACGAGCCGTTAGGACCTCGCTCGCCCCCCCACATCCCCGTCCGTGGCCCCCGTTCAGTAGGACGTTCACGATCTCCCGCAGCACTGGTTCGGATGAAGAGGACCCCTTCAGCCCAACTGATCTCATCGTCGTCAAGTGTCTGACGCTCACGGAAACCCGCCACCCATGACCGGCCGGGCGTCTGACACGCACGGAAACCCGTCACCCGTGACCGGCCGGGCGTCTGACACGCACGGAAACCCGTCACCCGTGACCGGCCGGGCGTCTGACACCCACGGAAACCCGTCACCGTGACCGGCCGGGCGTCTGACACGCACGGAAACCCGTCATCGTGACCGGCCGGGCGTCTGACACGCACGGAGGAAAACCCGTCACCGTGACCGGCCGGGCGTCTGACACCCACGGAAACCCGTCACCGTGACCGGCCGGGCGTCTGACACGCACGGAAGCCCGTCACCGTGTGTGTGAGCACCTTAACGGGTTAAACCCGAAGCTTCCACACACAACTCCTCCGCACGGAAATTCCGTGTCAGGAATGGAATGCGCAATCTCTCCCCGGACGGACGCATTCCGCTAACCTAATTCCAGAGAGTATTAGGCGCAGGTTGGCAAGGAGCCAAGGTTTGGGGCCCCCCCACCCTCCCGCGAGTTTGCGTTGGGGGTGACCGCTGGAGCCCAACCAGCCAGAACCCCATTGATGTCTCTGTCTGGCCAAGCTTTCCCGCTGGTTGTCCAGCTCGGACCCCCCCCCCCCCCCACCCCCTCCCCGCGAGCGACACGGCACCGTAACCCGTCCGAGACTGCGCGAAGGGCACTGCGTAACCGCGAGGTGTCGCATCGAAGCTTCCTGTGCACTTATTGCGCACTGCGTTGTTCGGTCAGTTAAGTCGGTGAGTCCGTGGGGTTCCCCGTGGCTCAGGGGTTAAGAGCCCGCGCCTCGCGAGCGAGAGAGGACCCGGGTTCGATTCCCGGGCGGGTCGGGTCGGGGCGAAACATTGGGCAAGTTTCCTTACTCCCCCCCCCACACACACGCACACACACGCACACGCACGCACGCACACGCACGCCTCAGTAGGAACCCGATCGCCAGTCGATCGGCGCTCCGCCCGCCCGCCCGCCCGCCCGCGAAACGCACAGTCGCTACACTCCGCGGCGTCACCCCGCGGAGCGCCCTGAGACGCCTCGAAGACGGGGCTGAGGCGCAAGGTGTCGAACGCCGGGATCGTTGGCGTCACTCCGGCCCTGACGATAGGATCGCCCGAGAAGGGGAAGGGACGGTGCTTTCAGACCCGTGAGCAGCTGAGCAGCTCTCTCGTCGGCGTTTGGTTAGAGCCGAGGAGAGAGCCCGAGAGGGGGGGAGTCACGTGATCGACATCTGAAACCCGGAAACTGCAAAAGTTTTGGTGTCAGTTTCGAAACCCGGAGAGAGAGAGAGAGAAAGAGAGATAGAGAGAGAGAGAGAGAGAGAGCGAGAGAGGCCAACCCCTGTGTATGGGGAGCGCAGTGAAATCGCTTTAAACTACGTCAAGGTGAGACTGAAATTCGCCCTCTCTCCCGCCCTCCCTGCGTCTATCCCCCCCCCCACCCCCTAACCCCCCCTAACCCCCCCCCCGCACCACCTCCTCAAACAGGTGCTTTGCCCAGAAAGGAGGCGTTAGGAGACGGGAGACACAACAACAGTAAACCGGGCGGAAGCCTCTCCGGGTAAGAGCTATCTCTGAATTGTGGGGTGGGGGGGGGCGCGAGTGGGGGGGCGGCGCATGGGGGGCTGAAATATAGCGAGGAGTTTAATTGTGAGCGAGGAGTGTGTGTTTCCCTGCCTCGGTCTGTGTTTCTCCCCCCCACCCCCTCCCCTTTCCCCTCTCCCCTCCCATCCCCGCCCATTCCCATTCCCATTTCCTCCTGGACCTTCTCACAGAGGTCAACACTTTTCCGTTGTAATATCTCCCAGCTCCTCCCATCCCAAACTTTCTTTCTTCCCCCCACCCCCCCCCACCCACCCGCCCCACTGAAGTTTACACACTCCCACCCCCACCCCCCACCACTCTCTCCCCCACCCACCCCCCCCCTCCCCACCCCACCCACCCTTCTCAGTCTCAGTCTGGCTCATTCGCGGACACTCTCGCCACCTCTCCCCCACCCTCCTGAGTCCAGGAGGTTGTGGGCTCGAGCCCCTTCCAGCCACCCGCCCCCCAACCCCCACCCCCACCCCACCCACACGTCAGGGTCTCTGAGTTCACAGTCCAGGCTGACGTACTGTCTGGAGGGTGGAGGGAGAGAGAGAGAGACGCACTGTCCTTTGGATGAGATGTTGAACCCTCCCTCACACCCCAGGCAGATGTTACAGATGTTACCGCGCCCCCCCCCCAGCGCTGTGGGAAAAGAGAAGGGCGAGTCTCTCCCTCTCTCCCGGTGTCCTGGCCAACAATCCTCAGGAGGTGGGTTGGGAGGGAGGTAAGTGGGGTTTACTCAGAGCTGAATCGAGCTCCCCCCATCCTCCCCCCCCACTCCCTCCGTGACGGTCTCGAGCCCCCGGTTCCTGAGCCGGAAGGGGCCGCGGTGTCCCGGGGCACTCGCTGCTGATGGCAGCACAGCCCGGCCCGGCTCATGGGCAGGACCTGGAAGGGCCGACCAGTCACTGGGGGCCGGGAATCCTCCCCCTCAGCTCCTGGTCACCCCACAGCCAAAGCCCTAACTCACGGGGAGGGGGGTCCGAGCCGGACAAGCAGCGGGAAAGCTCGGCCAGACAGCGACATCAATGGCCGGAGCTGTGTGTGGGTTTAGATGGTTAGACTCCAGCAGTTACCCCAACGCACACTCTGGGGCTCCCCCTCAAGCCTTGGCTCTCGCCAACCTGCGCCTAATACTCTCCGGAATTCAGTAAGCATGATATCGGGGGGAGAGAGTGGGCATTCCAGACACGAGAATTTCCACGTGAAGGTGGCACACACGTGTGGGTCTCTCCGTCTGGGTTTCCGCGCGTGTCAGTCAGACGCCCGGCTGATCTCGGTGATCGGTTTCACATAAATACGCAGTCACTACACTTTGACAGAGAGTCGTGAAACACATCCGGGCGATGTTTTTTTCAAACGCGGGAAGTATTATTATTATCAATGATTGGAATGACTTAACGGAAAGGTGTTGCCGACATTGAGGGAGTTTTGGGTGAGGAAAAGCTGTCATATCGAATGGAAGGATTATTATTAATTATAACGTGTAGTATTTGCCCTCGTAAAACTGTGACTGTTATTCCTGAGCCTTTGCACACCGCTAGTCAGTGTCAGTGTGTAATGGGGGGGGGGGGGCGGGGGGTAGGGGAGTGTGTGTGTCGGGGGGGGGTGTGGGTGGCGTGAGGGGCTTTTAATACTTTGGTTAATGTGGTTGCATTTCTGGTGTGTTTCTTGAGTTAATTACGTGACTGGAATTCTGCGGGGATTTCGGAGGGTAAGTGGGGCGATGGGTGTGTGGTGGTGGGGGGGCGGGGGGCGGGAGGGAGGGAGGGAGGGAGGAAGGAAGGAAGGAAGGAAGGAAGGGAGGGAGGGAATAACGTAATGATACGATATTAATAATAACAATAATAATAATCCTCGCATTTGATACAGCGCCTCGTCACGTCTTCGAGACGTCCATTATTAATGATAATAATGATGGTAATCAGAATAAAGTGAAGTGACTGTGCGTTTTGTGGGCGAAACGCGGCAGATAGTACGCGTAACAAGTCGCAGGGGCCCCAGAAACAGCCGCGGCAGAGTAGGGGAGTTCAGACCTAACCCGCGTGGGCCAAATAGGGCTACCGCCGGCCCAGGACACAATTGTCGGCCCAGGACACCAGGAGAGAGAGCGCGAGAGAGAGCGAGAGAACGAGAGAGAGAGAGAGATTCCCTTCTCTTTTACCAATGGAGATCTTTGGCACAGGGCACAGGTGGGCAGCTCAGGTTAACTTCTCCTTCCGAAGCATGGCGCCTTCCTACACGTACCCTTCCTACGCTTCCATCTCTCCACCCACCCCCACGCCAACCCCCGCCCGCACCCCCCGCCCCCTCGGACTGTGTGTGTGTGTGTGTGTGTGTGTGTGTGTGTGTGGTGACTAATATCTCCGGGCTGGAAGTGACTTGGGATCCAAGAGGAAGGCAATCTGACGTTCCTCTCTCAGTGTCACCGGATGTGATGAGAGTGTCGGGGCACACAGTCACCCACCCCCCCCCCCATCACCCAACGTCCACCCCCGCCTCCCCAATCCCGGGCAGGAAACAGGAAGCCATCTGTATGTAGACTGCCATCGCCGGGGAGGGCAGAGAGCGAGCGAGAGAGAGAGAGAGAGGTGTGGCGTCGTGGGCTTTAACCCTTGCCAGTCAGGAGGACGTCTCAAAGCGCTGTAAAGTGTAGTGACTGTTTTTTTTTTCCGGGCAAACCCAGCAAGCAGTCGTATCTGGGGGCGCGTCTGCCGCTGCGGGAAAGATCTTTTACACGTCCGCCTGAACGGGCCACGGATGGGAAGTGAGATTGAATGACTCATCCAAAGGACAGTGTCTCCTACATGTCACGTCCCAAACTATACCCTGTTATCCCTCCCACCCCCACCGATAGGATCTCCCCTCTCCGTTCCCTGCGGGGGATCTTTAACGTCCGCCTGAACAGGTCGCGGACGGGGAGAGTGGTGGTGATGAGGTTTCATGTCTCCTCCAAAGGATGGCACCTCGAAAATGGGGCTGGTGGGATGACGAGAGAGAGAGAGAGAGCGCGAGAGAGAGAGAGTGTGTGGAATGGAGAGAGAAAACAAGAGGGGAATACAGAAAGAGAGAGAGAGAGAGAGAGAAAGAGTGTAATAGAGAGATAGGAATGCCATCGTAGATTTGGGGAGGAAAGACGGAGTTGGATGGGGAGGAGAGAGAGAGAGAGAGAGAGAGAGGACATTAATCCCTCATCCCTGGGAATGAGGCCAGTGATGGGGAGAGAAGGAGGGGCAGCTGGTGAGCAACCCATTGTGGGGAGAGTAGGAGGGCGGCAGGATTTGAGCGAGCGAGAGTGAGACAGGCAGCACCGGACTGTCTGTCACCATTAGTCACGGGAAGCCATTTCCTCCGGGATTGGATGATCGCAGCTGTGAGCTACGTACAGAGTCCCTCCCGGGCCCAGTGCGTGAAGCCATGACCGGATCTGTCCGTACCGCCTCGCAATTCCCGAACTGCTGTTCCCCAGGGAGAGCGAGCGAGCGAGCGAGCAAGCGAGCGCGTAGGGGGGTTCAGGCCTGACCCACGTCGGCCGAATGCGGCTACCGTCCCATCACGGTGATCCGCAGCTCAGGGGTTAGAGCCCTCGCCTCGCAAGCGAGAGAGAGGATCCGAGTGCGATTCACAACACACATACAGTGTAGTCCCGTGAAGCGCCTTGAGACGCCTCGACGACGTGATCAGAGCGCCGGGACAAAGGCCAGGATTATTATCAGCGTAATAATTATTAATATGACAGCGCGAAGGGGCTTCGGGACGTCCCTCCTGATGTGAGAGACGCTGTGTCAAACGGAAGGATAATTATCCTTGCTGGTTTCTGTCCCGAGGCTTGGCTGCGAGCGAGAGCGAGAGCATGAGTCGCCCGCACACCATGCAGAACCAGACCTGTGGGCCCTGGGAGATGAAGGAGCGATTGGGGACGGGAGGTTTTGGCAATGTCATCCGATGGTGCAACAAGGTAAGGAGTCAGCGTACCAATATCCTTACATTTGATCGGGGTGCGGGGGGGGGGGGAGACAGCCCCAAGTGCTTCGAAGGGTAATGATGATAATCCTCGCCTTTGACCCGGCGTCTTATCACGTCCTCAAAGCGCTCCGCAGAACAGACTGTAAGGTGGAGTGACTGTGTATTTTGGGGGCAAAAGCCGGCAGCCCATTGCGCACAGCGACGTCCCCACAAACAGCCGTGGAATTCAGTCGCCAAATTGTCATTTTTTTGAAGGGACTATTACCCCCGGAAAGCGATCTGCCAATCCTACAGGTGTGTGTGTGGAGTAAGGAAACTTGCCTGAGGTTACACCCCAATCCACCCCCCCCCCACCCCAAACCCCCACCACCATCACACACACACACACACCCCACACTCCAGGTCCATTTGGCCCTGATCTTGTCTTGTTTCCCAGGAGACCGGCCAGGAGATCGCCATCAAACAATGTCGTCAGGAGCTGAGCCCTCGCAACCGCGAGCGATGGTGTTTGGAGATCCAGATCATGAAGAAGTGAGTCTGGGGGTGGGGGGGGGGGTTCTGACTGGGAGGAGGGGCTCTGAGATTGGGGGGAAGGGGCTCTGACACGAAACCTACCATCACCTGGCGAGGGCTCGAACCTGAGTTTGCAGGTGTCAAGCGGTCAAATGACCAACAACTGACTATCCTCGAAGGGGGTGGAGGGGGTTAAGTGGGATCCCCTCGGGTTGAACTGGCTCCAAGGTGACATGCTTGGCATGTCGGAATCAACCCCCCCCTCCTCTGTGCCGGTCTCGAGCCCCCGGTTCCTGAGCCGCGAGGGCCCGCAGTGTCCCGGGGCACTCGCTGCTGATGGCAGCACAGCCCGGCCCGGCTCATGGGCAGGACCTGGAAGAGCCGACCAGTCACTGGGGGCCGGGAATCCTCCCCCTCAGCTCCTGATAACCCCACAGCCAAAGCCCTAACTAACGGGGAGGGGGGTCCGAGCCGGACAAGCAGCGGGAAAGCTCGGCCAGACAGCGACATCAATAGCCGAGCTGTGCAGTATTAGCCGCGTAGATTCCCAAACATATCTCCTTGCCAACTCACGCCCTGGGCTCCCCAAGCCTCGGCTCTTGCCAATCTGCACTCAATACTCTCCAAAATCAGATACGCTGCGTGAGTCCCTCCAGGAAAGGAGAGAGAGCACATTCCATTCCAGTCACAAAATTTCCATGAGTAGGTGGGCTGCCCAGAGCTATGTTTGGTTTAGATTCTTTGGAGCACGGTGATGGGTTTCCACGTGCGTCAGATAGACGCCCTGCTGACTCACGAAACAACGGGAGGAACCCGGTTGTTAGTCCATGGCCTGATTATTTTTCAGGGGGCAATGAGCCCCTTCAAAAGAAAATTGTTTGGTCGCGCAACCCACGACTGTTTGGTCGCTCAACCTCAATCCGGATGGGCTCCCGTCAGCGCCTCCCGCGCCTCAGGCACCGACAGCGTCGCCGTCCACGGTCGCTCGCTCCATCTTGCTTCGCCGGAGTCCGGAGCTCTGCAGCCCGTGTCCTTTCTCCCGCGCCAGGCTCCGTGGACCCGATCAGCCCCCCCCCCCCCACGCCCACCCCAACCCCCCCAGCCATCCTCGCCCAACTCCACTGGCTTCCCATCACACCGGAGGATACAGGTCAGGATCCTGGTCCTCGCCTTCTAAGCCCTCCACGGCCTCGCTCCCCCTCACCCTCTGCACCTCCTAACCCCCTGCCCGGGGTTTCGACGACGTGACAAGGCGCTGGGTCAAATATAGTAATAATAATAATAATAATAATAAGGATTTACTGCTATTATTACGGCGTTGACGAGCTGATGGGCTGATGAATGTTCTGGGGTGGGAGCCAGGAGCGTGTCGGGCGCTGCTTCCTGACGGGGAACGATTGACATTATTACCCACTAATGTTTACGAGGCAGATCCCCACTGGAAACCGGGAGAAAGCTGGTCATTGTGATAGGGCTGCAACCTGAGCACCACACGTCAGCCTGTGACCCTCCCAATACACTCTCACTCTCATTTCCTCCAGCCCCCCCCCCCCCACCCCACCCCACTCTCTCGCTTTCTCTCTCTCTCTCTCTCTCTCGCTCTCTCTTTCTCTCTCTCGCCCTCTGCTGCTCGCTCTCGCTCACTCTCGCTCTCCGTCGCTACTCGCTCTCTGTCGCTCTCTCTCAGTGTCTCTCTCTCTCTGTCGCTCTCTTTCTGTCACTCTCTCTCTCTCCCTCTCTCTCTCTCTCTCTGTCTCTCGCCCTCTGCTGCTCGCTCTGTCGCTCTCGCTCACTCTCGCTCTCTGTCGCTCTCTCTGTGTCTCTCTCTCTCTGTCGCTCTCTTTCTGTCACACTCTCTCCCTCACTCTCTTTCTCTCTCTGTCACTCTCTCTCTCTCTGTTACTCTCTCTCTCTGTCACTCTCTCTCTGTCGCTCTATCTCTCTGTCACTCTCTCTCTCTGTCGCTCTCTCTTGTTCACTCTGTGTCTCTGTCACTCTCTCTCTGTCGCTCTCTCTCTCTGTCGCTCTCTCTCTCTGTCACTCTCTCTCTCTCTTTCACTCTGTGTCTCTGTCACTCTGTCTCTCTTTCACTCTCTCTCTTTCACTCTGTGTCTCTGTCACTCTGCCTCTCTGTTACTCTGTCTCTCTGTGTCTCTTTCTCTATCACTCTCTCTCTGTCGCTCTCTTTCTGTAACTCTCTCTCCGTGCCCTTCTCTCTCTCTTTCTGTGTCACGCTGTCTCTCTGTCACTCTCTCTCTCTCTCTCTCTCTCTCACTCACTCTCTCTTCCTGACAGCAAGATTTGGCTGTCAATGTGCAAAGCTTGCTGTGCTGGGCTGCGCTGGGCTGTGCTGGGCTTGGCGGGGCTGGGCGGGGCGGGGCTGGACGGGGCTGGGATGTGCTGGGCTGTGCTGGGATGGGATGGGCTGTGCTGGGATGTGCTGGGATGGGATGGGCTGTGCTGTGCTGGGCTGGGCTGGGCTGGGATGGGATGGGCTGGGATGTGCTGGGCTGGGATGGTGCTGGGCTGGGCTGGGATGGTGCTGTGTGGGCTGGGCTGGGATGTGCTGCGGATGGGATGTGCTGGGCTGGATGGGATGGATGTGCTGGGATGTGCTGGCTGGGCTGGGATGTGCTGGGCTGGGATGTGCTGGGCTGGGCTGGGATGGGCTGTGCTGGGCTGGGCTGGGATGTGCTGGGATGGGATGTGCTGGGCTGGGATAGGATGGGATGTGCTGGGATGTGCTGTGCTGGGCTGTGCTGTGCTGGGCTGTGCTGGGCACAGTAGTGTGTCGGGGTATCTGTGTGTTCAGGAGTCTGTGTGGCTGTGTGTTGGAGTGACTGTGAGGCGCTGTGCTCACTCTCTCCCTCTCCCTCTCTCCCTCTCTCTCTCCCTCTGAGGCTGAATCATCGGAACGTGGTCGCGGCCCGGGATGTTCCTGAGGGAATGCAGAAACTGGCCCCCAACGACCTGCCGCTGCTCGGCATGGAGTTCTGTGAGGGTGGAGACCTCCGTAAGGTGGGCACGGAGGGGTGGTGGGGTGGTGGGTGGGGGGGGGAGATGGAGAGAGTGAGGGGAGGGAGACACAGTCTCTTACTCACACACTCTTGCTCTCTCTCTCTCTCTCTCTCTCTCTCTCTCGCTCCCGCGTTCTGTTTCTTTTGTCTCTCGCACCGTCTGTTTCTCTCTCGCTCTCTCTATCACGCTCTATCTCTCTCGCACTCCGTCTCTTTCTCGCTCTCTCTCTTTCTCTCTCTCTCTCTCTCTCTCGAGCGCGCACTCTCACACTCTCTCTCTCTCTCTCTCCTCCGACCAGTTCCTAAACAAGTTGGACAACTGCTGTGGGATGCGGGAGCCGCTTGTTCTGTCGCTGCTGACGGACATCGGTGAGTGTGTCAGACCAACAGCAACGTCCCCAACGGTCCAGTTTGGTGCCGCGTTTTGTGACCCTCTCTCTCTCTCTCTCTCTCTCTCTCTCTCTCACGCTCTCTGCTCCAGCCTCTGCTCTTCGCTACCTGCACGAAAACCGGATCATCCACAGGGACTTAAAGCCGGAGAATATCGTGATTCAGCAGGGAGACCAAAGGGTGAGGAGCTCAGGAGTTCCCCACCCACCCACCCACCCATCCCTCTCTGTCTCTCTCTCTCTCTCTCCCCTCCCTGCGTCCCCCCACCCCACTCTGTCCCTCCATCCCCCCTCTCTCTCTCTCTCTCTCTCTCTCTCCGAGCGGGGCAGTATCAATGATAATTTGACCCGCCGCCTTGTCACACCATTGAGACGTCTCAAAGCGCTTCGCAGAAGATACTGTAAAGTGTAGTGACTGTGTCTTTTATGGACGTAACGCGGCGGCCGATTGCGCACAGCGGCGTCGCCACAAACAGCAGTGGGTTGAAGGGATTATTATCCCCGGAAAAGCGATCCCCCAATCGACTTAACAACCGGGTTCTTACTGACTGCCGGTAAACAGAGGCGCGTGTGTGTCTGTGTGAGTGTGTGTGTGTGTGTCTGTGTGTGTGTGTGTGTCTATGTGTGAGTGTGTGTGTGTGTGTGAGTGTGTGTGTGTCTATGTGTGAGTGTGTGTGTGTGTGTGAGTGTGTGTGTGTCTGTGTGTGAGTGTGTGTCTATGTGTATATGTGTGTCTGTGTGTGTGAGTGTGAGTGTGTGAGTGTGTGTGAGTGTGTGTCTATGTGTGTGTATGTGTGTGTGTGTGGGGTAAGGAAACTTGCCTAAGGTTTCCCACTGCCCAGGAATCAAAATCGAACCCGGGTCCTCTCTCGCTTGAGAGGCGAGAGCTCTAACCACGGGATACCTCGGAATACGAGACTGTATGACAGACCCCACCAACCCCCACCCCACCCCACCCCCAGGCAGCAGTGAATCGCTAGGGCTGATGTCGAGGGGTGGGTGGTGGGGGGGTGTCTGTCGATAGAGCGATATCTATTGCAGCTGTCGTCAGCAGTACGACAGCAACAGTAACGCAACACACGTCTACGAGTTGCTCTGTGACGCTAATCAGACATAATCCAACCCCACACGTCCCTCCGCTAACCACAGACCCCGACAGTTATACAATCGCTTCCTCTGCCTGTGTCTCCGTGTGATGCTCTCCCAGCGTCAGTCCTGTCTGTCTGTCTGTCTCTCTGTCTGTCTGTCTGCCCGGCCCAGTCAGCGAGACTATATTCTGCTTACCTACCCCAGCGCAAAGAGAGAGAGAGAGAGGGGGGGGGGGGTGTGGGAGGGCATGGTCCTCAGCTGGCTCTGTCTGTACCCCACATTCCCGCGTAGGAACCCCACAAGCCCTCCGGGTTGAACCCCCCCCTCCCCACCACCGCTGCCCACCCATCGGGGAGTCAGTGAGAGAGAGCGAGAGAGAGAGAGCCTATGTTCCCGATGTTTTCTCTCCCTCTCTCTCTCTCTCTCTCTCTCTCTCCCCCCCCGGTGTCCTGGCCGACAATTCCCCCACCCCCCTCTCGCCCCCCCCCCCCCCGATAAAGTCGCTCGCTCACTTCACGGTCGTTTGCGGGGACGTCGCTGTGCGCAAATGGACTGCCATGTTCGCCCGCAGAACACACGCAGTCACTACACTCACAGCGAAAATCCTACGGATCGCTTTGAGACGTCCTCCTGAACGTGGAACCCTCGCGCTTGGCCACGTCTTCGAGACGTCTCAAAGCGCTTCACGGGATACACCGCAAAGCGTAGTGACTGTGCGCGTTGCGGGCGAAACCCGGCAGCCGATCGCGCACAGCAGCGCTTCCCCCCCCCCCCCCCCCCCACCTCCACCCCACCCCAAACAGCCGTGGGTGCAAGGATTCCAATGAAATTCTTGTTGGTCTGAGTGTTGTGCTGTTCGGGGGTGGGGGAGTGGGGGGGGGATAGGAGGGGGGGCGGTGAAGGGGGGAAATGGAGCGGGGGGAAATGCCGTGTGTGACTGTCGTCTCTGTTCTTGAACCAGTTAATCCACAAAATCATTGACCTGGGCTATGTGAAGGAGTTGGATCAAAGCAGTCTGTGTACGTCCTTTGTGGGGACCCTACAATATTTGGTGAGTCTTTACCCCGACTCTCCTCCCCCGTCCTCTCTACCCTTCACCTCCCTAAAGGGGGTGGTGGGCGAGGGGATGTGGGGGCAGGTGAAGGCCAGAGAGGCAGGTGGGGTGGAGCGCTCTGGGACCCCCACCCCACGTGAAGGAGACTGTACGAACGCAAGTTGTTGTTGGTGTGAGCACTGGATGGATTGGAGGAGCTACTAATTATTATTGATGATCCCCGGGCTGGGGAAGGAAGGAAGATTGGGGGGTGGGCAGGGAGGGGGTCTCTGTGTGTTCTAACCCATCCCCCCACCCCCCCACCCCCACCCCGCTGTCTCTCTCAGGCCCCAGAGCTCCTGGAGCAGCAGAAGTACACGGTGACGGTGGATTACTGGAGCCTCGGGACGCTGGCCTTCGAGTGTATCATGGGATTTCGGCCCTTCCTACCAACCTGGCAGCCCGTCAACTGGTAGGGTGGGGAGGGGATGTCCACACAGCCCCCCACCCCCACACACACCCACACACACAGACACACACAGCCCCCCCACCCACCCACGCACACACACAGCCATCACACACACTCCCCCGCCTCACACACATATACACACACACACACACGCGCGCCCCCCATACACACATCCACACACACACACACAGAGACACACACACACCACCCCCCCCCAACACACAGTACACACACACAGCCCTCACACACATACACACACACCCTTCTCTGTATTAATCTTCTACCCCCCTCACCCCCTCACCCCCACTCCCCCAGGCACGGGAAAGTCAAACACAAGAGTCAGACAGATATCGTGGTGATGGAGGACATGAACTCTGAGGTGGTGTTTTCCAGTCAGCTCCCCGAGCCCCACAACCTCAACAGGTAACACCCCCCACAACCCCCAATGCTCAGTACTACCTCCTCTGTACTTTCTCTCCATCACTGCTATATCCTTCTTGTAGTCCGGAGACAACGATCGGTCTCAATTAATAATGATAATGATAATAATAATCCTTGCATTTGACATAGCGATTTTCACGTCTTCTCGACGTCTCAAAGCGCTTCACGGAATAGACTGTAAAGTGAAGTGACCGTATATTTGTGGGCGAACGCGGCAGCCAATTGCGCACAGCAATGTCCCACAAACAGCCGTGGATTGAAAATGACCAATTTATTATTGTTTTTGGTTTTTGGAGGGATTATTATTAGGCTCTGTGTGGAGTAAGGAAACTTGCCCGAGGTTTCGCCCTCTGCCTGGAATTGAACTCAGGTCTCTCACTCGCAAAGCGAGTGCTCTAACCACTGAGCTACAGGACTCCTAAATTCTCCAAATGCGGAAGTGAATTGAATCTTCCAACATTAAACTTCATTTGCCACCTGTTTGCCCGTGCTGCCAGCCTGTTGGCATTCTTCCGCATTCCTCGTCACTGTTTACTATGCGGGGATCTTGGGGGTGGGGTGGGGGGGTCTAGCGGGGAGGGTCTCTGGGGAGGGGGAGGGTCTCCGGGGAGGGGGAGGGTCCAGCGGGGAGGGTCTGGTAGGCAGGGTGGGGGTTTCTGACCACTGCCCTGTGTACAGTGAGCTGTCGGGACGACTGGAGCTGTGGCTACAGGTGATGTTGAAGTGGAACTCGAAGCAGCGCGGAGTGGACCCCACCCACGGGCCACACGGCTGCTTTAAGGCCCTGGACGACATAGTGGAGATGAAGGTGGGTAAATTAAATGACCCCCACCCCACCCCCCCACCCCCCCCATCCACCCACCCACCCACCTCACTCGGTCACCTCCAAACCCCCCCCCCACCACCCCACCCAGAGCTCCGTATCCCCTCCCGCCCCACCACCACTCATCCTCTCACTCGTCTTCGAACCGCTTCACGCTCCCCCACAACCCACCCACCACCCTCTGCCCCCGCTCGCCCTTCCCGCCCTCCGTTCAGCCACCGGCGGCCGCGCTTTCAGCCCCTGCGCCCCCCGAAACCCTGTCACTCTCTCCCCCAATACCTCCACTTCCTCCCTCCCTCCTTCCTTCCTTCCTTCCCCATCTTCAGGTGGCACCTGATGACCTTCCTCTTCGACCAACGCTTATGATCACCTCCCCCTCTCCCTCCCCCCCCCACCCCCCTGGCTCCGAGCCACTCTCTGAGGGGGCATGAGGGGCACTGCTGTTGTTGTTGTTGTTGACCTCCCCCCCCCCCCCAATCCCGTGCTCAGTTTGTGCAGGTGCTGGACATGCGGGCGGGGCGGGGGCACACCTGGACGCTGTGCGAGGGGGCCGGGGTGCCAGGACTGCAGCGCTGGCTCCAGTCTCACACCGGAGTCACCGAGGAAAGCCAAGAGCTGCTGCTGGAGACGGGAACCAGTTTGGACCCCCGGAAGGCTCTCAGCGACTGTCTGCCCGACCCCAAGGTACACGTGGGGGGGGGGGGGCGCTGGGGTGGGAGGGGGGGAGCGAGGGAGCGACGGGAGTCATGAGGGGGCGATGATGATAATAATAATAATCCTCGCATTTGACACAGCGCCTCATCACGTCATCAAGACGTCTCAAAGCGCTTCTCAGGATACGCTGTAAAGTGTAGTGACTGTGTGTTTTCTCTCGCTCTCTCTTACCCCCAACCCTCTCCCCCCCCCACTCTCTCTCTTCCCCCACCCCCCCCTCCGTCTCTCCACAGAGTCCTGGCAGCCGTGTTGAATTCCCTGTGGTTTATCTGTTTGATAAAACCCTGACCAGCTACGAGGCACCAGTCAATGTCCGCAGACCCCCTCCTGCCGTCAGCTTCATCCGTACGTAAGACCATCCCCACAACCCCAGCCCCCCCTACCCCCCACCCCCACTCCTCACGGGTCAGAGCGTGGCGGTGCGGGGGGTGGAGAGCGAGAGGGGATGAGGGTCGAGAGAGGGGAGGAGGGGAGTGGGGGAGAGTAGGATGGAATGTGTCGGGGCCTGGGGGGGGGGGGGCGGCAAGGGGTAGACTCGGGGAGGTGTGGGGGGGGGTGGGCTGTCCTTTCGCTATCTCTCCATCACACAATTTCTCTCTCTCTCTTTCGTCGCTCACAGTCCAGGACCCGAAGAAGATGCTGTCGTACCTACTGCTGCGCAGGGCATGGGGGCAGAGCTGGCACCTCATCCGCTGCCTGAAGGATGACTGTACCCGTCTCCAACAGGGGCAGCGGGCAGCCATGTGGGTACCCCGGGAGTGGGGTGGGGTGGGGGGGTGGGTGTGGGGTTGGTGCGGTGGGTGGAGGTACCTGGAGGGGGTGGCGAGGGCAACCGGGGGGCATTGAGAGCACTGACGAGTTTGTTCAGCCAGGACCACCCTGATGCTGACACAGCTCCGCCCTCAACCCCCTCCCACCTCCACATCTGCCTCCGCCCCGCCCGCTCAACCGACCCAGCCCCGCCCGACACACTGACTCAGCCCCGCCCGCACACCGACCCTGCCCGCACACCGATCCCGCCCCGCCCGCACACCGACCCAGCCCCGCCCGACACACCGACCCAGCCCCACCCGACACACCGACCCAGTCCCGCCCGCACACCGGCCCAGCCCCGCCCGCACACCGACCCTGCCCGCACACCGATCCCGCCCCGCCCGCACACCGGCCCAGCTCCGCCCGCACACCGACCCAGCCCCGCCCACACCCTGACGGGCTGTCCTCTCTCTCCCTGTCTCGGTGTCAGGCTGAGCTTGCTGCGCTATAACGGCAGTCTGTCCAAGCTGAAGAACAGTATGGTGTCCATGTCCCAGCAGCTCAAAGCCAAGCTCGACTTCTTCAGGTTCAGCATCCAGATCGACCTGGACAAGTACAGCGAGCAGATGGCGTTCGGCATCAGTGAGTCCTGCCAGAGGAGTTGGGGGGTGAACAGGTGGGGGGGGGAAGGTGGGGCAACAGCAACAACAACAATTTGCGCCCCTCGTGCAGTCCCAGAGTGCTCGACAGTGGTGGAGCCAAGAGGAAGGTCCTCCCGAGATGGAGGGGTTGGCAGAGCTTCGGGGCACAGCGACTGGAAGCGCGGCCACCGATGGTGGAACGGAGGGCGCGAGCGAGAGGACGAGCAGGAGGCCAGAGCCGGTCGGGCGGAGGCAGGGCGTAGTGGGTTTGGGGGATGAGCGGGTGGGAGAGGTCGGGAGGTGTCGGGGAGTGAAGGGATTTGAAGACGAGTGTGAGAGGATCTTGAAGTGGATCCGTTCGGCGATAGGGAGCCAGTGGGGGCTGGCGAGGGCTGGGGTGATGGGGGGCTGAGGAGTTTAGGGGAGACCGGAAAGGAGGGGCTTTTGAAGAGCCAAGTTGGGGAATGATGAATGGCGTGGGGGGGGGGGGGAGGGGATGGTTGGCCAGTGGGGACGAGGGTGGAGTCTGTGATGTGGCGCTCAACGAGTCTTGTCTTTCAGCCTCGGAGAAGATGGTTGCCGCCTGGAACGAGATGCAGCTGAAGGCGGACGGTTGTGGCCGCGTGAGTACCTGGGGAGGGATGGGGTGGGGGCTCACACAGCCATCGCAGTATCGCTCTGATACACTGTCCTCACTCTCCCTCGCCTCAGCTCATTCTCTCTCCCTCCTCCTCCCTTGCTCCCCTTCCCCCTCTCTCTCTCCCTCCTCCTCCCTCACTCCCCTTCCCTCTCTCCCTCCTCCTCCCTCACTCCTCTTCCCCTCCCTCTCTCCCTCCTCCTCCCTCACTCCCCTTCCCCCTCTCTCTTACCCCCTCCTCCATCTCCTCCCTCTCTCTCCCCCCCCTCCCCCCTCTCTCCCTTGCTCTTGACTCTGCCCACAGAGGAGTGACGCCCTGAGGTTGGATGAACAGACAATGCTGCTCCAGACGGACATTGTGGAGTTACAGCGGAACCCCCGGCATGGGGACTCGCTGGAGACACTGTGAGTCCATTGGGGTGGGGGGGAGTGGGTGGAGGGGTGCTGTGAGTAACCAGGGGAAGGGGGTACAGGTGTGGCCGGGTGAGTTGTGGGCGGGTTAGGGTGTGGGAAGATTGTGGAGTAGGTGTCGATGGGTTAGAGTTAGAGGCGTGGGCGGAGGTCTGGCTGGGGGCAGGGTTGTGGGCAGGGTTGGGGTGGTATGGACTGGGGTGTTGTGGACGGGGGTGGGGTTGTGGTTGGGGTGGTATGGGCTGGGGTGTTGTGGACGGGGGTGGGGTTGTGGTTTGGGTGGTATGGGTGGGGTGTTGTGGGCGGGGGTGAGGTTGTGGTTGGGGTGGTATGGGCTGGGGTGGTGTGGACGGGGGTGGGGTTGTGGTTGGGGTGGTGTGGGCAGGGGTGGTGTGGGCAGGGGTGGGGTTGTGGTTGGGGTGGTTTGGGCAGGGGTGGTGTGGGCAGGGGTGGGGTTGTGGTTGGGGTGGTATGGGCTGGGGTGGTGTGGACGGGGGTGGGGTTGTGGTTGGGGTGGTGTGGGCTGGGGTGGTGTGGGCAGGGGTGGGGTTGTGGTTGGGGTGGTTTGGGCGTGGGGTGGTGTGGGCAGGGGTGGGTTGTGGTTGGGGTGGTGTGGGCAGGGGTGGGGTGGGGTTGTGGGTGGGGCAGGATCCTGGGCATTGTCACTGGTTGCTGAGCCGAGCCCTGTGTGTGTGTGTGCGCTGTTGGCAGGGAGGAGGCCGCCATGGATCTGTACCGGAAACTGCGGGAGAAACCTAGAGGTAAACACCAGCCTTCCTGCCATCTTCGCATCGCGGCTTCACCATCGGCTTCTCCCCATCCCACCCCCGACATAGGCAACTCCATTGTAGAGGGACCTTTACCGTGTCTCTAACCCTGACCTGGGAGTGTGGACGGATGGACGCACAGTGTAGAGGGACCTTAACTGTGTCTCTAACCCTGACCTGGGAGTGTGGACGCACAGTGTAGAGGAAGCTTTACTGTGTCTCTAACCCTGACCTGGGAGTGTGGACGCACAGTGTAGAGGGAGCTTTACTGTGTCTCTAACCCTGACCTGGGAGTGTGGACGGATGGACGCACAGTGTAGAGGGAGCTTTACTGTGTCTCTAACCCTGACCATGTCTGTGTAGAACAGCGTGTCCCTGGTGACAGTCAGGAGATGGTGAGGATCATTCTACAAACCCTACAGACCTTCGAGAAGAAGGTGAAAGACATCTACGAGCACCTCAGGTACGCGCCAGGGGTTAGGGTTCTGTTTCAAGAGTAATTGACCACATCAGTGTCATCATATCAGAGGTCAGGTTTTTTTTCTCCTCGATTCTCCCTGGGAACCCCCGCAATCCAGTACCCCCATCCCTTCCCCCCCCCCGCCCCCAGCTTATCATGGTAAACATTATCAAGTCCCTTTAGAATCTCAAAGACCGTAATCGTATCGTCCCTCAACCTTCTCTTCTCCAGTGTGACCACACCCACGCATAGCCCACAGTGACGGGAAGCGAGGGGAGTGGGGGGGCGGGGGAGAGACAAGTCAGACGTACATACAACTGGCAATGTGTTCGCTTGCTCCAGATAAAGGCACTTTGCCGAGACACAGCGCTCACTGTTCGAAGGCTTATCACAGCGATGACTCAAAGTGCTTTCCATTAATCTGCCCTCATCGAGGTCCCACACACAGAGTTAACAGATCTGGATGCTTGGTTTGGCCGGGACAGGGAGAAACCGCCTTCTCTCTTCAAAGAACACTGGAACCCTGTGAATGGGTTACAAATCCCAAATGACCAGCTGGTGACTATCCTCCTTGGGAGGAAGTGAGTTGGGTCTCTTTGAAGCTGAACTGGCTCCAAGGTGACGTGCTTGGCAACAGAATCGAGCCCACTCTTGTGGCGGTCTCTTATCCGGTTCCTGAGCCAGGGCACTGATAAAGGCAGCACAGCCCAGCCTTGGCTCATCGGCCGGACTTGGAAAGGTCGACCAGTCACTGGGGCAGGGCAGGGAGTCATCCCACTCAGTTCCTCTTAACCCTGCAAGTCAACGCACCAATGGGTAGGGTGGTTCCAGCTGGACAAACAGCGGGAAAGCTTCCCAGAGAATGCCAACAGATAGATGGGATCTTGGATTAAAATGACATCACCTCCGGAAATGTGTCACTCCCCCCACAGCACTGCGCTGGAGTGTTTGCATAAACTCCCAACCCGGGGCTTGTTCCCACAACGTACTGAGCCACACGGTTTATCCAACCGCCATCTGTGCAACGGTACATTTTGCAATTACCCACCCCCCCACCATCCCCCCCACCCGGGCCGGGAGGAAGGAGGGAAGGTGACCATAGGGGCGTTGTCGAAGAGGAAGTTCTTCAGGCACGATGGGGAAGGAGGGTGCGAGGCGGAGGGATTGAGCGAGAGTGTTCCAGAGTTTTGGGATTAGAGGCGGAGATTTATGTGAGACTGAGGCGGCAGGTGAGGGGACGGAACAGTTCTGAGGTGTGTGTGCTTGCCCCCAACCTCACGCAGTAAGACGCTGGCCTGTAAGCAGAAGGTAATCGATCTGCTGCCCCAGCTGGAGGGCGTGTTACAGCTGATGGCGGACGATGAGAAGCTGGTGGTCAAGCTGCAGGAGAAGAGGCAGAAGGAGCTCTGGCACTTACTGAAGATCGCCTGTGTGAGTGCTCGGATTACTGGGGTGGGGGTGTGGGCGGGCGGGCGGGGGGGTGGGGGGGGGTCTGGAGGCAGGCCAGCACACGCGTGCGGTGTTCCTGTAGCTCGGTGCTCAGAGCGCTCGCCTCGCAAGCAAGGGTTCGATTCCCGGGCGGGCGGGCGGGAGGGCGGGAGGGCGGAGCGAAGAGTTGGGCAAGTTCCCTCACCGCACGTGCTTTTCCGGGGAAATCAATTCCTTCGAAAAACGATAATAATAATTTGGTCACTCGTTCCACGATTGGGGATTGAGCTCGTGGGGGCGCTGCTGGCCGCGATCGGCCGGGCCGCCCACAAAATACACAGTCACTCCACTTCGCAGGATATTCCGTGGAGCGCTTTCCGACGGCTCCGAGACGCCCTATTTTTTTTTCCCCCTGAGGTTTTGAAAATAGTTTTTTTTTTTCTGGAATAAAGTGAGGTGAGACAGGACGAGGCAGTAGAGCCACATATTTTAGTCCGGCCTCTGATATGCCCCTCGCTGGCTGGCTCACGACTTTCATCTTCTTCCCTTTCAGAGCAAGGTGCGAGGCCCGGTGAGCGGGAGCCCGGAGAACGTCAGCGCCGGCCGGCTGTCTGCCCCCAGCCAACCCGTGTCCCCAGCCCAAACTGACCCCGGCATCCCCTTTCCCGAGAAATCAAAACACGAGTAAGTTGCTCTCTACCTCGCTCCGCCCGGAAGCCTTTCTGGGCTTTGGGCCAATTCCCAATGCTTGTCCGCCAACGACTTGATCCCAACTACCTGCCCCACCCATCGGCTTGTGAGTGGGGGAGGGATTTGGGGCTATTCTGTAAGTGGAGTTCCCCGTAGCTCAGGGGTTAGAGCCCTCGCCTCGCAAGCGAGAGGGTTCAGGTGCGATTCCCGGGCGGGTCAGGTCAAGGCGAAACCATAGGCAAGTTTCCCAGTTGTTAGTCAATTGGCAGATCCCTTTCCGGGGGAAATAGCCCCGAATCCCTCCCCCCCCAAATAATTTGGTCACTCAATCCACGACTGGTTGCGCGCAATTGGCTGCTGCTTTTTTGCCCCGCAAAATAGAGTCACTACACTTCGCAGTATGTTCTGTGAAAGGCTTTGAGACGTGATGATGATAATAATATCATAATAATAATAACCGTTGCATTTGATATAGGGCCTCACCACATTTTTGAGACGGAGTTTACAGATATACACGATAAGGGGCTGTATCAAATGCAAGGATTATTATTACAAGCAGTAAGATCTACCCCCTCCTCGCTCCCTCCCTTCCCTCCCCTCCCCTCCCCCTCACCATTTCCCCCCTCCTCGCTCCCTCCCTTCCCTCCCCTCACCCTGACCATTTCCCCCCACTGCTCAGGTCCCGACCCAACTGTCCAGCGCCTTGGGACGTCCTCCCGACGTGAAAGGCGCTCTATAAACGCAATCTTCTTGTTGTTGTTGGATTGGCGTTGAGGTTGAGGTTGTCCTTTGTGTCTATCTCTCCAGTGAGGAGTCTCTGGTGGTGATTGAAGAGAGCAAGAGCCACCAAAACCAGCTGCACAGCGTCCTGCAGGACACCATTCAGGACTACGACTCGCTACAGGTACCGTCACGTCAGGGGCTGGGCTTTTGTTCGCCGTACATCTCTGCGCCTCCTCGCTGCCTCACTGCTCTGGGCCCTGCCTGAGGTGTGACCTCTCCTCACTGGTCTACGGTCACCTCCCCCCCACCCCCCACCCTCCCTCAGCTGGGTGTCGAGCTCCGCCACTGTCAACCGCTCTGGGACTCTCCCCTGGGTGAGGGGCGAACGCAAGTTGTTGTTCTTGTACCCCAGCCTATGGCTGCCGTGATCTTCTATCACAGGACGGGTGTGGATTGCAAGACCTTCTCAGTCATCTACAAACCCCTTCATGCCCTGCCTCTGCAACCTGCTTTCTGCCCAACCCCACTACCTCCGCGGCTGGCTCCTGCCTCTGCTCCACCATCGGCGGCCGAGCTTTCAGCCACTACGCCCCAAATCTCTGTCTCTCTCTCTCCCTCTATCCCCCGCCGCCGCCTTGCCCCTCTCCTTTCCCTCTTCTAGATCACGACTGATTACCTTCCCCTTCGACCGTGCTTACGGTCACCTCCTCGCTCCCCCCTAACCCCCGGCTCGGCGTCACTGTTAAGCGCTCCGAGGCGCTACCTCTTGTGAAGGGCGCTGTGTAAATGCAAGTTGTTGTTGTTGTCCAAAGCCCTGCAACGGCCTTGTTCCTTCCTATCTCTGTGACCTGTTAACTCCACACCGTCCTGTTATCTCCCTCCACTCAGCGGGCTCCGACCTGTTCCGCCCCACCATCAGCGGTCGGACCTTCAGCCTCTCAGCCCCCCACCCTTTGGAATTCCACTTCACAGTCCCTCCGCCTCGCCCCCTCCCTCGCCTCCTTCAAGGCCCGCCTCAAAACCCACCTCTTAGACCGCCGCGCCTTCGGTCACCCTCCCACCCCCCGACCCTCCCCGACCTCCACCCCCTCCTGATCCCAACCCCCAGCTCGTGTCCAAATCTCTGACTGTCCAGTGCCTTGGGATGTCCTCCTGACCTGAAAGGATGTCCTCCTGACCTGAAATTTGTTGTCGTTCCGGCTATTTCAGCATATCCACACCCTGGAGTGGGCTGAAGCTGACTATGATTTGCTTCTTACTTGAACGTTCCTCTCACTCTCTCTCTCTCTCTCTCTTGCTTCCCCCTTCCGCCCCCGCCAATGGCCCGGGCATTGTGGCCAAAGGCCAGACAGTGTCTCTGTTGACATGTTACCTTTGCAGTTCAGGATGTGGGATTGCGGCCAAACCATTGAAATGCCCCAGTCTGGCAACAGATTCTTTTTTTTGATTGTACTTCTCTATTATTCCCCACCCGCCCCACCCAGATATAAATAGGCCGTTCACCTCTGTTCACCGCTGTTTATGGGAAGCCGTTGCGCTTAATTCCCATAAAATGCAGAGTCCCTTGGCATAGGGGTTAGAGCGCAAGCGAGAGGACCTGGCTTCAATTCCCGGGCGGGGAGAAACCTTAGGCAAGTTTCCTTACCCCCCAAGTCCTCTGTTGACTTGGCAGTAAGTGGGAACCCGGTTGTTAGTCGATTGGCGGATCGCTTTCAATCTCAATTTGGTCGCTCAATCCGCGACTGTTTGTGGGACGCTGCTGTGCGCAATGGGCTGCTGCGTTTCAACCACAAATGGCACAGTCAATCCACGTTACAATATATCTGTGGAGCGCTTTGAGACGTCTCTGGGACGCTACCGTGCGCGATGGGAAAGTTGCTGCTGTGGTCTCAATAAGGCGCTCGATCAAACGCAAGGATTATTATTATTATTGCAAAATACATTCCCGACACTTGACGCCTTTGACACTCCTTTGAGACTGCGGTTAGCGTGAGGAGGAAACGTGTGCGTAAAAAAAAACAATCATGTGTTTGTGTTGACTGGGAGTGAAATGGGATTGAAAACCACGTCATTTTGTTGCCTCTTTGTTCTCTGTTCCAGTTGCTGGATTGGAGTTGGCTTCCAACTCAATGAGGAAATATCTGGAGTCTAAGATTTGCCGTGGGGGCCTCTTCTCTCCCTATCCCCCCCGACCCCCGCCCCCACCTCATGCCCCCCACACCCCCGCCCCCCCATCCACTGATGCCAACTGTCTCTAACCCTTTATCTTGTGACCTCTTGTCAGCAGGAGCCCCCTCCACCCTTGACTATGGGCGCGCTTTGGTACCTGACAAGGGGGGCATGAATACCCTCTATCAGCAAGTGCGGGCGGGATATCTGACATGCCCTCCTCACCTGATCCCATGCTTACACACACACACTTTCCACAGAGCGATTGGCAGTGTCCCCAGCTGATTTTATTGCCTCCCCGCGCCCCCACCCCCCACCCTGCCCACCCACCTGCCCGACAACCCCTTCCTTCCTTCCTTCCTTCCTAGCCCACAGGCCAAGACTGCTCATACCGCCTTGCTGTCGTGTATCTACTCTCCAGACCGCGGTGGCCCTCCAACCATTTCCAACTTCTTTATCTGACGAGCCAATTAAGAGACTTTCACTGGGGCCCCAGGATACAACCGGCAACAGATTTATTGGCCAACCCAAGGATAAAATATTGCTGGTGCAGCCCGAGGATGTTCCTCACTCTGGAGCATCTGGCTCTCAGTGACCAAAGGGTTGGACCAACTCTGGCTCTAGACCATCTTAGACCTCGCAGTGATAACTGGACATGGCCGGCTCTGGGTGAATAATAAAGGCAGATGGCGTGGAGGTGGCCATTGGCGAAAGACTCTGGGGTGGGTGGTGGGGCGGTGGATATATTTTTTCCTGTCCCCAAGATATTTATTTCTTCTCAACCCCTTTTGACCCTCCCATGTCAACACTCCCCCCCCAACCCCCCCCCCCACATTGGGATTGATAACCTGCCCGTAAAGTGCATCTGATTAAAACTGAGTCCGGTGGGGAGTTCCAGATACTGCCCCCCCCCCACCCCCACCCCCCCCCCACTCCTCCCAGGCAAGAAGGCTATTTCTCCAGTTGATCAGATGCCTTCAACCACCACCCACACCCCCACCCCCCCCCACCCCCCACTCCCCCCCCCCCCCCACACACACACACACACAGGGCAGCGGAGAACCCCCTTGGTTCAGGTCCAGTGGAAGCTAATCCTTTCTACTCGAATCTAAGCCATTTGCTGTCTTTGTCCACTTGCCGAGTTTCAGTGTTTCCTTGACGTCTCCATTGGGGGGTCGGGGGTGGGAGTGTCATTGCTTGTGTGTCCTGCCTGTACGAGAAGCAAATGTGAGTTTTATGTTCTGGAAATTAAAATAGGATTTTAAGTTTTACTTCGAGCAAAGCCTGTAATTGCCCGTCCAGCAAACCCGAAGCTCATCGCCGCTCGTTGTCATTAACAACAATAATAATCCTTGCGTTCGATACATAAGAACATAGGAAATAGAAGCAGGAGTAGGCCGTTCAGCCCCTCGAGCCTGTGCCCTGCCATTTAATAAGATCATGGCTGATCTACTAACCTAATTCTATTTACCCGCCCCATCCCCATATCCCTTAATCCCTTTAGTTTTTAAGCGCAACGCCTTGTCACGTCATTGAGACGTCTCAAAGCCCTTCACAGGATATACTGTAAAGTGCAGTGACTGTGTGTTTTGGGGGCAGCCAAGTCCGCGTCTTATAGCAGCAGCGTCCCCACAAAGAGCCGTGGAGCGAGTGACTTCACTTTATATGGGGGATTGTCAGCCGGGACCCCCCGAGAGAGAGAGAGACGCCCTTCTCTTTTCAAACAGTGCCGTGGGATCTTTAACGTCTGCCTGAACAGGCATGACAGACTCTTGGTTTCAAAGGCTTATCTGGGATTATCATCATCATAATAATAATAATAATGATAATACTCCCAGCTGCAGGCTAATTTGTACAAGTTTAACATTACCCCAGAGATCGGTTTGGATGACACACTGTTGACATTATTAAAGTGGACCTTTCGGCCGGCCCATCCGTTCTCACCAGCTACCATTCCCCGCATCGCAGCGTCAAGCTGCTTTTTTTTAATGAGACAAAGTGCCTTCTCTTTCCCCACGTCAGCCGAGAGTGCGAGCTCCGAGTCTTGAGGCGAGGGAGCAAAACAACTGAGACGCGATTGCCTAAAGGATGGGGAAGACTATACGACCACGATTTCCGGAGACAATTTCCGGATGAGGTATTGTGTCTCTCGCCCTGTCTTGAGTTCAGCAACAAACTGTGGAAGACTTAACAACAATAATAATCCTTGCATTTGATATAGCGCCTTATAAATAAATGCAAGTTGTTGTCTCAAACCCCTTTCACAGAATATACTGTGAAGTGAACAAATTGACTGCCTTTTGGGGCCGAAACTCGGCAGTCAATCGCACAACAGCAGTATCCCACAAACAGTCGTACAGTGAGTGACCAAATTATTATTATTTATCATTATTGTTTTTAACAATAATATTAATTATAAGAAACGGAGGAACATCTCAGAGAAACACAGCCAACAATGCAAACCGACGGTAACAACAACAACACTTACATTGGTGTAGCACCTTTCACGTCCCAAGGTGCTGGACAGTCAGTGTTTTGGACCCGAGCTGGGGGCGGGGGTCAGGATCGGGGAGGGTGCAGGGATGGGCGGGGGGTGGGTGGGGGGGGAAGGAGAGTGACCAAAAGCACGTAGAAAAGGAGAGTCTTGAGATGGGTCTTGAAGGAGGCAAGGGAAGGGGGCGAGGAGGAGTTCCAGAGGTTGGGGGTAGAGTGGCTGAAGGCCAATGGTGGGGCAGGCCAGGCAGGGGACTTGAAACAGGCCGGTGCCCGCTGAGCGGAGCAAGTGGGCAGGATGGTAGGGGGTTAGGAGGTTGCAGAGGTAGGGGGGGGGAGCGAGGCCATGGAGGGGTTTGAAGGTGAGGACCACGATCTCTGTGTGATGGGAAGCCGGTGGAGTGGGGCGAGGATGGGGGTGATCGGGTCACAGAGCCTGGTGAGGGAGAGGACATGGGCTGCAGAGTTCTGGGTTGGGGCGGCCTGGATGTTTTGAAGGCGTCTATGAGGGTCTCGACGGCCTACGGTGTGAGACAGTGGCGGAGCTGGGCGATGTTGCGGAGATATGCCCCCCACATATTCACCCGGACTAAATTCCGTGCCCGTATCTCACGCGTTCTGGCCACTGGCTCCACTGGCTCCCCATCCTGAACGGATCGACTTCAAGATCCTGACACTCGTGGTCAAATGCCTTCACTCTATGGCACCTCTCTCCCTACCTCCCCGACTTCCTCACCCCCCACCCCAATCCACCAACCCGGATCAGCGCCTCCGCTCGACTGACTCATCCCTCGCACCCTCCGCCCCACCCGCGTAGGTCGCGCTTTCAGCCTCTACGCCCCGAAACTCTCCCTCAATCCCGCCGCCTTGCCCCCACCCCCCACTCCCCTCGTTCAAGTCCCTCCTCCTGAAAACTTTCCTCTTTGACCGTGTTTATACATTATTGTATTATTCTTATGTTATTCATATATTATTCTTATATTTTATTATTATATATTCTTATATTATTTTTATATTACTATATTTTATTATTATATTCTTATGGTATTATATTCTTATATTATATTATTATATTATTATATTATCATATTATTATATTATCATTATATTATATAATTATATTATCATCATATTGTATTTTTATGTAATTATATTCTTATATTATCATTATATTATAATATAATATTATCATCATATTATATTATATAATTATATTATAATTATATTATACAATTATATTATCATTATATTATATTGTCATAGAATTATATAATTAATTTATATTATAATATTATAATACAATAATAATATAATTATGTAATTCTATGTAATTATATAATTATCATTATATTATTATTGTATTATATTATATTATATTATAATATATATATATGTGAGTGAGTGATTCCTGATTTGCTTTACAAACATGTGGTCCCTTTACAGTGCAGAGAAGGGGGGACGCGGTTTCCAGGGCGACGCGTGGGTCCGCCCCCCGCGACGTGGTGACGCAACGCGCAGCGGCGACGCGGTCGCTATGGCGACGCTCCATCGGCAGCTTTCGACGGTGACGCAAGACGCAGCGTGCGCGCCGCGTCGGGGGGCAGTGGGGGGCGGGGCTACGTGATCGTGCGTGAAGACGGTTGGCGACTGACTTGCAGGCGGCAGCGGCGGGTGAGTTGAGTGTGTGAGTGGGAGCGGCCCGCGGGCCAGTGGCGGCCCGCGCGACAGGCTCAGGGTGCAGTCTCTGCCCCCCCCCCCCCCCCGACCTCCCTGACCCCCCCCTCACGCTCCGGCTCCCCGCAGCGCTGACTGACAGGCCCGTCTCCATAGCAACTGCGGTGCAACGCCACAGCGACGTCAATCCGGCCCGCGGGCCAATCCGGCCCGCGGATCAGTGGGACACTAGCAACTTCCCACCCCCCCCACTCCCCCTCCCCCTCAACCCATTGCGCCCCCTCCAACCCTCCCCCTCCTCCCCCAACCCCCCCCCCCGTAACGTTGCATCGAGGTCTCTTGCGGGACGTCGCCCACAAGACACAGGGTCGACGACGACAACAACTTACATAGCGCCCTCCACGCAGGGCAGCGTCTCAGAGCGCTTAACAGTGGCGCAGCCTGACTCCGAGCCGAGAGTGGTGGTGGGTGGGGGGGGGGGAAGCGGGGGTGGGGTGTGGGTGGGGGGGGGGGGGGGATGTGGCCGTAAACACCGGTGCGTTTTTCACTCGGCGCCTCATCACGTCTCCGAGACGTCTCAAAGCGCTTCGCGGGATACAGTGTACCGTGGAGCGCCTCAAAGGACCCCAATTGCTCCCGCAGCAGCATCCCGTCCCCCCCACCCACCGCCCCCACAAACCCCCCACCCCCCACCCCCCACCGCCGCCCCCCGAAAGTGAAGTGACCGAAACACTCCGGGCGGAAAGAAAATTCCTCTGCGTACGACTCGCCCTAAACCCACCCAACCCCCCCCCCCCGCGTCTGCCTTCCAGCCCGTCGAGGTGCAGCGATGTCCGAAGGCCCTTCGAGGATCTGCGGTCCGATCCCGCCGGACGCAACGCTGTTCCCGGAGTTCTACCAGCGCCCGCTGTCAGGTGAGGTCCCCTTCTACGCCAGGAGGTAAAGTGGCACCGTCTGTGCGGGCGGCGGCGTCCTGTAGCCTAGTGGTCAGAGTCCATCGCGGGCGGAATGGTTTCTCCCTACCCTAACCCCCCACCCACCCCCAACCCCCAACCCCCAACCCCGCGCCTGCACTACGCCCCCGAAACCCTGGAGCTCTCTCCCCCCAACCCCTCCGCCTCGCCCTCCCTCCCCCTCCCCACTTTCAAATCCTGCCCTAAAGACCTTCCTTCTTGGATCGTGCTTACGGTCACCAATCCCTCCCTCCCTCCCTCCCCTCCCTCCCTCCCTCCCTCAAACACCCGCTCCCCCTCCCCCCGCCACCCCCACCCGGCTCGGAGTCAGACTCCCATCAGTGTCGTGGGCTCTGGGACCGCTGCATCTTGTTGTCGTCGTCGTCATTTCACCCGCTTGTCCTTTCGTCTGCAGCTCGAGGGAGGTTAGAGGGGAACGGCCCGCAGCTGAGCTTCCTCTCCGGACCTTTAGCCCCGGACCCCACGCTCTACCCGACGTGCTACAGCGCCCGGCCCTCGCGCCCACCGCCTCGCGTGCGTTCCAATGCCCTGGACTACCTGGAGAGAGGGCAGAAGGGCACGGTGGGGATGCTGCTCCAGCTGGAGGGAGTGTCGCTGTACGGGGAATCGCCACCAAAAAGTAACCGCCACCCGTTTGGTTTCTCGGGTGGGGCGATAACTGTGGGCTGCGCAGTCACGAGCCTGGGGAGACGCTGCTGTGCCCGTTTCGCCCGGCAAATGCAGTCACTACACCTTACGGCGTATCCCCCGTGAAGCGCTTTGGGACGTCTCTAAGACGCGATGAGGCGCCGGTGCCAAACGCCAGGATTATTATTGTTATTTATTACACGATGCTGGAGACGTAGGTTTTGCTCTGATGCCGTCGGGCGTGCGGTGTTTCAGTGCGCGAGCGAGGTGTGGCCGGGTGGGGTGGTGGGGGGAGAATTGGGGGAGGGGGGAGGCTGTGACGGGCACTCGTGGGACCTCGTTTGACCGGCGACTCGCTCTCCCCCCCCGTAGAGAAGGAACCGAAGGATCACGAGAAGGAGAACCTGAGACGCATGCGGGAGATCCAGAGGAAGTGCCGGGAGAGGGAGCTCGAGCGGGGGCTGAGTGGGCCCAAACCGGTCAAAGCTCTGTGGAAATCCCAGAAGTACCAGACCGTCCCTTCCAAAGTCATGGCACAGCTCCAGGTAAATCATTATTATTATGTTATTAATATCAAAGGAATAATAATAATCCTTCCGTTTGACCCAGCGCCTTGTCACGTCGTCGAGACGTCCCGAAGGACGCACACTGTAAGGCGTGGCGGCCGTGTATTTCGTGGGCGAAACGCGGCAGCCAATTGCTCCCAGCGGCGACCCCCCCCCCACGAACAGCCGTGGGTTGAGTGACCACATTATTATTATTATCTTGAAGGACGCATAATAAATGCAAGATGTTGCATTATCCCCAGAAAGCGATCCCCCAATCGACTAACAACCGGGGTCCCTGCTGACTGTTAGGTAAACAGAGGCGTGTGGGTGGGGGTGTGGGTGGGGGGGGTGCGTGCGGGTGAGGAAACTCGCCCAACGTTTCGCCCTGACCTGACCCGCCCGGGAATCGAACCCGGGTCCTCTCGCTCGCGAGGCGAGGGCTCTAACCCCTACGTTATGGGGTCTCCACATTTTGTCGACAAACCGTGGCATTCTCACCTGCTCGAGAGACACCGACAACGCCCTGAAAACTCCGCCCGGCTCAGCGCCGACTCGCCCGTTTAACGTTCGTCCTCTCGAATCCACAGGAGTTCTTGCCCCCCAAACACCCAGAGAGTCATCACAGCTACCTGAAGGCACACTCACGGTGTGGCACTGGCCTTACTCCGACCCGCTGCCCCTCCCCAAGCCCCCCCAAGGCGGAGTCTTCGATCGAAGCGGTGGAACCCGCCATCGCAGAGGTGGGTGGGAGTTATTCTGCGTCGCCCGTTTAAGTGTGTGCCTTGTTAATGCTGAACTTCCCCGCTTCCTTTACCCCTCCTAAAGTTTGGGTCCAAAACGTACCTCTTTTGGTCATCGTTTCCCCCCTAACCCGGACCCCTTCTTCCCCAACCTCAGTTCCCATCCCATCCAGTGTTTGTGAAGCGCTTTATAATAAATAATAATAATAATCTTTACATTTGATACAGCGCCGTATCTTACGAGACGTCTCAAAGCTCCTCATAGGACACACTGTAAAGTGAATTGACCGTGTATTTTGCATGGGCGAAACGTGTAGCGTGGTGATGTGTAGCGACTGTCTACTTTGCGGCTCTGAGGCGTCCTCCCTCCCGAAGGTGGAAGCTGTGTAAGTTGTCTGACGCTTTTCCATTTTTCAGATTCAAGTCAAAGGCGTCAACGTGGACTTTGTCAGACGCAACGCACAGAACGCAAAGAGAATGCCAGTACGGCGTTCCAAGTCGCTGCAGTGTCTGTCCGACGTGCTGGAGAGGAAACAGAAAGAGCAAGAGGACTACATCACCAAGAACAAGGGGCATCTGCCGCAGTAGTACGTGGAATAAGATCTTTGCGCTTTGGTATTCTTTATGGGACATTCTCCTTTTTTTCTCTCTCTCTCTGTCCCTTTCCTGGAGTTCCCTGTAGCTCAGTGGTTAGAGCCCTCGCCTCGCAAGCCAGAGGACCCGGGTTTGATTCCCGGGCGGGTCAGGGCCAAACTTTAGGCAAGTTTCCTTACTCCACACATGCACATGCATTACCTAATCTGTATTATCTAGCAGGAAATAGGACTAATCCGGTTGTTAGTCGATTGGCGGATCACTTTCCGGGATAAAAATCCCTCCAAACAAAAATTCCACAACAGTTAATATGACGTACGAGAAGTCCGGGGTGCAGGCAAGCTAGAAATCCTAGAAAATTCGATTTAATCAATAATCTACACTGCGCACGTGTAATTTAACGCAGCTGTTAAGTGCGCATGCGGCGATGGCTCAGGACTTAACTTCCCGTGGTTCAAGGCCTCCAAGGGCGGGAGTGATGGAGGGTAGGGGAGCGAGCAGAGTTACGAATTAGCAGGTGATTAATACGAGCCGCGTGAAGAAATCTAAGCGGTTTTGATGGGAAACTGACCGGGACTCGGGTGAGTGTACGATTCAGGCGCTGAGACGGTTTATAAAGATGAGACTTGTGCAAGTTTTACTCTTAACACGTTTTCTCTCTCTGCTCGGCTGCTTCGAGGTTTAATTTGGTTTCCCTGTGAACCTCACACCTTCTCCATTCCCCCTGAGGAGTGAGGGAGGGAGTGACTGACTGAGCGAGCGCCTCACACCTGCCGTGGTCCTCTCTCTCTCTCCCCCTCAGTTTGGTTGAAAGGAGGGGTCAGTGGAGGAAGGAAGCGGAAGAGAGGCGGAGAAACATTCCTGATCCAAGTATGCCTCCGGGACACACCAGGATGCCAGAGAAAGAACGCTTGGAAACGCTAAACTCCCTTCAACAAAGTAGGTCCAGCGCAGTGGGGTCCTGTATCTCAGTGGTTACAGGACTCGCTTCACAAGCGAGAGGACCCGGGTTCAATTCCGGGCAAAACCTTAAGTCTCCTTAGTCCACGCGCCTCTGTTTACCGGCAGTCAGTAGGAACCCAGTTGTTAGTCGGTTGGCGGATCACTTTCCCGGGGGTAATAATCCCTTCAAAACATAATAATAAATAATTTGATCACTCAACCCACGGCTGTTTGTGGGGATCCCGCTGTGCGCAATTGGCTGCCACGTTTCGCCCAGGAAATACACGGTCACTACACTTTACAGTGTATCCTGTGAAGCGCTTTGAGTTGTATCGACGACGTGATTAGGTGCTGTATCAAATCGAAGGACTACTATTATTATCAGCATTTTAAATAATACAAAATAACTTCTAAAGTAAATTAATTGTAGTTAATTAATCGATCCCACCAAATACACAGTCATTTCACTTTACGGTATATTCTGCTCTGAAGCGCTCTGAGACGTCTCGAAGACGTGATAAGGCGCTATATCAAATGTAAGTATTATTATTATGTGTTCTTACCCACTAGCCCAGCACCAACTGACGAAACAGTTATTGATGTTCCCTGTACGTGTGGACACGATCAGTATGAAGAATAGGCGGACGGAGCTGGAGAGAAAGCTCGCAGAGATCGAGGAGGCCATCAAGATCTTCTCACGCCCCAAAGTCTTCATCAAAATCAACGCTTGACCGACTCAAAATCAAGGTACACTCCAGCGATTTGCTTTGTCTACTTTTCGACCGCGCCTTTGGTCACCTTCCTCCCCCTCCCCCTGGGCTCGGTCCCGGGATCTGTTACTGTAAAGCGCTCTGAGACGCCGTCCGGCGTGGAGGGCGCTATTTAAATCCGAGTTGTTGTTGTTGCTGTTGTCCAAAATGTCCGGTTTACCCCCACGATGTGGGAGTGAAGTTCTTTGGCTCAGTGGTTAGAGCTTTCGTCTCGAAATCGAGAGGACCCGGGTTCGATTCCCGGGCGGGTCAGGGTGAAACCTGAGGCAAGTTTCCTTACTGCGCACACAGACACGCACACACACACACACACACAGTCACACAGACAGACAAACACACACACAAACTGGAGCGTGTGGCCCGTCTAGTGGCTGCGAGTAGGTATCGCATCACCATAATAATAATAATAATAATAATCCTTGCATTTTGATAATTCACTGTAAAGTGCATTCACCTGCAGTTTGGGAGCTCCTTCCCTCTCTCCTACCACCAGCACAAACAAGATCAGGTGGTCTCCAGTGGCCGGTTCGTGTACCCTCCAGCGAGGTCCTGCCTTGACTCCCAGGGTTGTGATATATCATTATAACTTGGCTGTACAATTGGCCTCTATATTGTGGATTTTAACTGGAGTCTAACCATCTAAACCCACACACAGCTCCGGCCATTGATGTCGCTGTCTGGCCGAGCTTTCCCGCTGCTTGTCCGGCTCGGACCCCCCTCCCCGTTAGTTAGGGCTTTGGCTGTGGGGTTAACAGGAGCTGAGGGGGAGGATTCCCGGCCCCCAGTGACTGGTCGGCCCTTCCAGGTCCTGCCCATGAGCCGGGCCGGGCTGTGCCCTGGGACACTGCGGCCCCTCCCGGCTCAGGAACCGGGGGTTAGAGACCGTCACGGAGGGGGGGGGGGGGGGCGATTCCCACATTCCGTTTGTTTGTGCGGAGCGGTTTCAAAGAAATGCGGAGTTTAACCGCACCTTATAATTTCCCTTCTTTATCTAAATGTATTTGGCTGCTCCCCTAATCAGTGTTTGTCGCCAATTGTGGGCACAGATTAACGGTTGCATTTGCCTCCATGACGGCACTTCCAGATCATCACATTCTGCAAAGCACTTTGACGTGAAAGGCGCTGTGCAAATGTGGTGTCTAACCTCGCTGGCCTCACGAGCGAGAGAACCCTCGAAGGGTGATAATCCTGTCAAAAATAATAAAAGAAAATAATAATAACTTAGTCGCCAAGTCCATGACTGTTTGTGGGGCACTGCTGTGCGCAATTGGCTGCCGTGTTTTGCCCACAACATCCACAAGTCAATTCATTTTACCGTATATTTTGTGAAGCGCTTTGAGACATCTCGAAGACGTGATACAGCGCTGTATCAGATGCGAGGATTATTATTATTATGTAAGTCACTGTTAACCTGGTTCTGTATTTTTCTCTGTCCTTGGTTGTCAGGCTGTGGACAAGCTGGAGAAAATGTGGGACATGTGAGAGATGCGTCTGAAAAGAGATGCCATCAGTCAGGCTTCCTGCTCCCTGCTCCAGACGTCCCCGAGTCTTACCGCAAATATGTAAATAAATCAACTGACAAAACTATTTTTAATATCACTGTAATTCAAATAGATCCATGTAATAAAAACGTTTTTTTTTTTAAGTTCAACCTATCGACTCTCAACAGTGGACGGGTTCGTTCTTTCAGCAGCGCGAGGAGATGACGGAGATCAGTGTCGGTCTTTCTGGGAGTTGGGGTCAAGAGGGGTGGAGGGCGAGGGGGGTGCGGGAGGGTGGCTGAAGGTTCAGTCGAAGAGAGAGGTCTTTAGACGGGACTTGAAGGAGGGAAGAGAGGTGGTGAGGTGGAGGGAGCGTGGGATAGAATTCCAGCGTGTGGGGGCAGGGAGACTGAATGCCCGACCGCCATTGGTGGGGCGGAAAGTGCGGGGGGGCCCTGGAAAGTGTTCCTGCGTAGTAGATACTCAACGAGGAGAGGAATACGGAATCCCTGTAGCTCAGTGGTTAGAGCCGTCGCCTCGCAAGCGAGAGGAACCCATTCCCGGGCGGGCGGGCGGGGCGAAACGTTGGGCAAGTTTCCTCACCCCCCCCACACGCACGCCTCTGTTTACCAGCAGTAGGTAGGAACCCGGTCGTTAGTCAATTGGCGGATGGCTTTTTGGGGGTAAGTAACCCTTCAATTTTTTTTTAAATATTGTAATTTGTTCGCTCAATCCACGACTGTTGGTGGGTCACAGCTGGGCACAATTAGCTGCCACGTTTCACAACAAAATATAGTCATTCACTTTACAGGATACTCTGTGAAGCACTTTGAGATGTGTCAACGACGTGCTAAGGAGCCACAGATATAGAAGGATTATAAGATTATTTATTATAGCTGTGTGTGAGCAGGAGTCTGTGGGAAAATGCTCGACAGGATGAGGACCAAGTTGGGGAAATGAATCCTATTGATGCATTTTCCTGCCCGGCAATTAAGATTTTGTGACCGAATAAACATTGTCTTCTTTTCCCCCACCCCCACCGCCGACCGTCTACAATGTCAGCTCAAGTGTTGCCAAGTTTCTAACATTCTCTTCAGCCTTGGCTTGCCGCCCAGCTTCTCCGCGAAAGTAGTAAGTGTACAAGTCTGATGATAATAATAATAATCCTTCCATTTGATGCAGTGCCTTATCACTTTGCCGCGATGTCTCAAAGCGCTTCGCAGGAATGTGTATTTTGTGGACGAAACGCGGCATCCAATTGCACACAGCGGTGTTCCCCCCCCCCCCCACACACACACACACACACACAAGCCGTCGTGGATCGAGCGACTCAAAATTATTATTATTATCGGGACTTTTTAAAAAATTTTAATTATCACCCGCGGAAAGCGATCTTAATAATGATATTACTACTATTATTATTATTTACTGCCAGGTAGACAGAGTGTGTGGGAGTAAGGAAACTTGATTTAAGGTGTCACCCTGCCCTGAACGGGGCTGGGAATCGAACCCGGATCCCTCTGGGTTACCGAGGCGAGCGCTCTAACCACTACACTACACGGGGGGGGAGGAGCAACCCCACCGCGTCATAGGCGCCAGTGGGAGGAGCCCCCATCCGCGTCATAGGCGCCAGTGGGAGGAGCCCCCATCCGCGTCATAGGCGCCAGGGGGAGGAGGAGCCCACAATCGCGTCATAGGCGACTGGGGCGGGGGAGGAGCTGGCGTTGGGCTACTTCGGGGCGGTTTGGGCGGACCCGCTCGCGCCGCCTCAGTTCAAACCCGGCGGACGGTTGGGGACCGTTGGCTGGCGGGTGTGCTGCGCATGCGCGGGCCTGTCATCGTCGTCATCCCTCCTCCTCCTCCGCCGCCGCCGCCGCCATCGGCGACGCGACGCTTTCGTGGCGACAGGAGCCCAAACAAAACAATGGCGTCCTTTCCCGGTTGCTGAGGAGGGAGGGAGGAGGGAGAGGGAGGCTCAAGCTGAGGCCCGGGGGCCGCCATTTCCTGTGTATATTAGCGACCGAGCGACCGCCGCCATGAGCAAGAGGAAGGCCCCCATGGAGAGCACCAATGAGGGCATCACTGACTTCTTAATCGGTAATGAGGGGGGAGGGGGTTAATGGGGAGGGAGGGGTTAATGGGGAGGGAGGGGGTTAATGGGGAGGGAGGGGGTTAATGGGCAGGGAGGGGGTTAATGGGCAGGGGGGGAGTAATGGGCAGGGGGTTAATGGGGAGGGGGTTAATGGGGAGGGGTTAATGGGGAGGGGGTTAATGGGGAGGGGGTAATGGGGAGGGGGTAATGGGGAGGGGGTTAATGGGGAGGGGGTAATGGGGAGGGGGTAATGGTGAGGAGGTAAAGGGAAGGGGGTTAAATGGGGAGGGGGGTAGTAATAATAATAATAAATAATAATAATAATCTTTGCATTTGATCCAGCGCCTGATCACGTCATCGAGACGTCTTCACAGAATATGCCGACTACACAGAAGTGTAGTGACTGTGTATTTTGTGGGCGAAACGGGGCAGCCGATTGCGCCCGGCGGCGATCCCCCCCCTCCCCCCCACTCACCACAAACAGCCGCGGGCTGAAGCCACCGATCTATTGTTGTGGTTTTTTTTTCTTGAGGGATTATTACCGGACGCGCGCCCACGCGTGCGGAGTGAGGAAACTCGCCCAAGGTTTCGCCCGCCCGGGAATCGAACCCGGGTCCTCTCTCGCTTGCGAGGCGAGCGCTCTAACCACTGAGCTACAGGACTCTGCAGCTCGTGTACTGTCCCGCACCAGGCTTCGCGCCCACATCACTCCCACCCTCGCCCTCACCCTCACCCTCGCTCGCCTCCACTGCTCCCCATCCCCCAGAGGATCGATTTCAAGATCCTCATCCTCACCTACACGGCCATTCACGGCCTCGCTCCCTCCTACCTCTCCGACCTACTATCCCCCTCCCTACCTGCCCGTACCCTCCGTCCCTCCGGCTCCGGTCTGCTCCACACCCCCCGCCCCAACCGCCCGACCATCGGTGGCCTTCAGCCTCTCAGCCCCGAGGCTCTGGAACTCTATCCCCAGTGCCTTCGCCGCTTCCTCCCTTTCCTCCTTCAGGGCCGGTCTCAAGACCTCTCTCTTTGACCTTCAGCCTTCAGCTCCGCTCTCGACTCTCTACCCCCTCCTCGCTCCCTCCCTTCCCTCCCCTCATCCTGACCATTTCCCCCCATTGCTCAGGTCCTGACCCAACTGTACAGCGCCTCGGGACGTCCTCCCGACGTGAAAGGCGCTCTGTAAATGGAATGTTGTTGTTGTAATGAGGGAGAGAGGGGGGTAATGAGGGAGGGAGGCGAAACCCTTACATTTTCTCTCCCGCCCGAACCCCACACAACCCCCCTTCCCTCAATCATAATAATAATCATAATAATCCTTGCGTTTAATGCAGCGCCTCGTCTGAAAGCATTTCACAGAATAGATTGTAAAGTGTAGTAACTGTGTTTTAGCGATGTTTCCTACATTCTGCTGGTAAACAGAGGCGCGCGTGTGTGTGGAGAAAGGAAACTTGTCTAACGTTTAGAAACAATAACAGAAATAACAATAATAATAACAGAAATAAAATAATAATAATACAATATACAGGCAATTCCCTTTATAGTGTATTCTGTGAAGCTCTTTGAAACGTCCCGAAGACGTGATCAGGTGCATCAAATGCAACAATTATTATTGATAGCAGCAACAACAGAAATAGTAACAACAGAAATAATAAAGATAATAACAGAAACAACTATAATAATAATAGCAACAGCGGGAATAATAATAATAATAATCAATGCAGAAATAATAACCATATAATGTGGGGGGGGGGGTTATGAGGGATTACAGCCCCCCACCCCGTATTGTCTGCCCTCACACAGACACCACACACCCTCACCCCTCTCACACACATCACTATTTCACATTATTATTTTTATGATGATTGTTATTGTTAATATTTCTGTGATTATTATTACTGTTATTATTTCTGTGATATTACTGGAACAGGTATGTATATGTGGAGTCCTGTAGCTCAGTGGTTAGAGCACTCGCTTTGCAAGCGAGAGACCTGAGTTCAATTCCAGGCAGAGGGCGAAACCTTGGGCAAGTTTCCTTACTCCACACAGAGCCTAATAACAATCCCTCCAAAACCAAAACAATAATAAATTGGTCATTTTCAATCTACGACTGTTTGTGGGGACATTGCTGTGCGCAATTGGCCGCCGCGTTCGCCCACAAATATACAGTCAATTCACTTTACAGTGTGTTCTGTGAAGCGCTTTGGGACGTCCTCCCGACGTGAAAAGCGCTATATCAAATGCAAGGATTATTATTATATAATAATATCTGGGGGTGGGGGTTGAGGCCAGGACACTGGGATTCGTTTAAAAAGCAGCTCGATGGGACGCTGGTCTAGGAGGATGAGATCCCGAAGCGCTTTCTTCAAAGCTAATCAATTGTTGATGAGGCAAATTCTACTAAAGCACATAATCATCAAATATTTGTGACTGAAATGATGCAGAAAATGACATAACACGCTCCAAAATGGTAACAGATCTTTCGGCCTAACACAGTTCCACATGAGCCTCCACCCTTCCTAATGCCATCTCCATTACCCCTCCATTACCTATTCCCTGATGTTTGCATCATGGGTCCACTGAAAACACTTGTTTTGCTTCAACCACAAGTTCCGGCAGATCTCACACTCTCGCCACCCGCTGTGTAATAATAACAATCCTTGTATTTGATACAGCGCCTCATCACGTCGTTGAGACGTCTCCAAGCTTCACAGAGTATTCTTTAAAGCGTGGTATATTTTGTGGGCAACAGCCAATTGCGCACAACAATGTCACGCAAACAGCCATGGAGCGAGTAACCAATTTTATTTGGGGGATTTGTTGGCCAGGACACCGGGAAAGAGAGAGAAAAACTCCCTTCTCTTTTCGAATAGCATCCTAACGCAGATTCTTAGCCAAAGAAAGTGTTCAACGCTTTTCCAATAAAGACAGTGTTTGTTATCCTATGAAGAACATCTTGTCTCCCAGGACCTTCTATAATTATGGTTATTATAATTATGCTTTTGCTCAGCAGGACAATGTTGAGCAATTCAGTGTGTAATAAAGGATGTCCACACCCTTGGAAAGCCTTTATTTCAGTTTTAGCAAAGCTTCTGACCTTGTCATTAGTACGACTTGCATAATTCAGGTTTTATTTTGACGAAGCTTCCAAAGTGTCTGACGTCTTCCAAATTCTATTTATTTTTTAATCTTTATCGTAATAATCCCTTCAACAAAACAAAAACAGATAATTTGGTCACTCAATCCATGACTGTTTGTGGGACACTGCTGTGTGCAATTGGTGTATTTTACTGGATATACTGGATATAATTAATATACATACTAAATCCTTGCGTTTTAATAATAATAATAATAATAATCCTTGCATTTGATATAGCGCTTTTCACGTCAGGAGGACGTCCCAAAGCGCTTCACAGAACACACTGTAAAGTGAATTGACTGTATATTTGTGGGCGAACGCGGCAGCCAATTGCGCACAGCAATGTCCCACAAACAGTCATAGATTGAAAATGACCAATTTATTATTGTTTTTGGTTTTGGAGGGATTATTATTAGGCTCTGTGTGGAGTAAGGAAACTTGCCCAAGGTTTCGCCCTCTGCCTGGAATTGAACTCAGGTCTCACTTGCAAAGCGAGTGCTCTAAGCACTGAGCTACAGGACTCCATAATAATCTTTACATTTGATATAGCAATCTTCACATCAGTAAGACGTCTCAAAGTGCTTCACAGGACTTTATTGTAAAGTGTAGAGACTGAGGTGAAGGTGGCAGCCGTTTTGTTTGAATTGTAATCGACATCTTTTGATTTTGCAGAATTGGCGAACTTTGAAAAGAATGTGAATCGAGCCATGCACAAGTACAACGTCTACAGGTGAGTTACACAGTAGGTGTCTGGTGCCTGACACATGCGGAAAACCATCACCGTGCTTAAGAGTCTCCAATCCAAGCTGAGAATTTCATGCATCCCACCCTACACATGGAAATTCCTGAGCATTAGGCACAGGTTGGCAGGAGCCAAGGCTTGGGGGGAGCGCCCAGAATGTGTGTTGGGGTAACTGCTGGAATCTAACCAGCTAAAACCACATAGTTTGGCCATTGATACCACTGTTTGGCAAGCTTTCCCACTGCTTGTCCAGCTTGGACATCCTACCTATTACTGCTTTGGCTGCAGGGTTAACAGGAGCTGAGTGTCCTGCCCCCAAGTAACTCGTCGGCCCTTCCAGGTCCTACCGATGAGCCGGGCTGTGCTGCCATCAGCAGTGAGTGCCCTGGAATACTGCAGACCTGCCTGGCTCAGGAACAAGAATACCTACTACACTTGTGAAGTACTTTGAGGAATTTTCACATGGCAGATTTCACGTCAGGCAGACGTCTCAAAGCGTTTCACTTGATATACTGTAAAGTGGAATGACTGCATTTTGTAGGCGAATGCAGCAGCCAATTTGCGTACAGCAACATCACACAAACAGTGAGTGACCAGTTTTTCAAAGTTCCCGACGCGGGGCCTTGAGCCCACAAACCATTGACCCGGAGAGTGCTACTAAGTGAGCCAGGTTGCTACCTATACACACGTGACAAGGTGCTGTAAAAATGTGTTTTTTCTTGGGACGGGAGAATATTTTCATTATCAGCATTTGTTTTTGTTGAATCTGTCTCGTCTCGTAGGAAAGCAGCTTCCGTTATCGCGAAATACCCAACAAAAATCAAGAGTGGTGCCGAGGCAAAAAAGCTGGTAAGCAGATTGCACTCTCACCATTTCGTATGTGATGTTTCCGATGGGTTACTGCCTCAGCCTAATGTTTTCTCAATGTGCCCCAATGTTTGCAGTGCACATTGTCCTGTAGCTCAGTGGTTAGAGCGCTCGCCTCACAAGCGAGAGAACCCCAGTTCTATTCTGACAGGCTTTTCAGCGCCTTGGGACGTCCTCCTAATGTGAAAGGCCATGCAACTGTAATTTGTTGTTGTTTTCTGGTCCTGAGCTATTGGACTTTCAACTGTATCGTTTTTCTACCACGTTTTCAGGAGGGAATTGGTGACAAGATTGCGAAGAAAATTGACGAGTTTCTGGCAACGGGGAAGCTCCAGAAACTGGAGAAGGTACACACACCATGAATTGACTTTCTCTTTTCAAAACTGCCTTCAGCCTCTCTGCCCCCACCCTTTGGAACTCCATCCCACAGACCCTCCGCCTCGCCTCCTCCCTTGCCTTCTTCAAGGCCCGTTTCAAGTCCCTGCATTTGTCTTGCACCCTCTCTGCCCGTCTTCAAATCACACCTGAAGACTTTCCTCATCGGCCGAGCGTTCGGTCACTTCCTTTCTCTTTCCAAATTGATGTCAAACCACGCAACGAAAGGCTCTTAAGACCTGACCTTGCGTGAAGGGTGCTGTAAAAATTCAAGTCATTATGGTTGTATCACTCATTGATTGCGTGTTACTTTACATTGAATATTCTGTCCTTCCTCTTGCAGATTCGTCAGGATGATGTCAGTTCATCCATTAACTTTTTAACTCGAGTGACTGGAATAGGGTAAACGTTCATTTATTATTGTGCTGTAATACTTCAGCGTTCTCTTAGAGTATGTATCAGTCGTACAATTTCTCTTTGGTGAAAGAGAGCATAAGACACTCAACTCAGTTGTGTGTTGTGTCACTCGGTTTGATGAATGAGAATGACTAGAATCCAGTGTGGCATTTGATTAATTTCTTGTGTGTCTTTGTCAAGCAATTTGAATGATTTGCCTCTATCCATAATAATAATAATCGTATGGAGTATAAACACTGGCACAAACTAGTCGGGCTGAATGGCTGTTTCTGTGCTGTACAGTCCATGTAAATCTTTGACTCTAAAGCAGGAGATTAAAAAGATGGCAGGGAAATAAGTGTTTTTGAAGGGTGCATTTCTCTAACGTCAGAGCAGCTGTGTTTTATTTGTTCTTTATTTTTTTAAACGACAGTTGGGGTTTGGGAGAATGAAACTGAAATAGTTTTCAATCTGTCTATTATTAATAATTAATAATAATTATTATTAATCCATAGTCCTGCAGCAGCAAGAAAGCTTGTGGATGAAGGAGTCAAAAACTTGGAAGGTAAGTTTCAAATCCCTTCACACTCTCTCTGATCTGCTTACTTCCCACTCCGCTACCCGCTGACTCCGCTCAGCTGGCTCTGGCCTCCTGCTTGTCCCTCTTTCTCTAGTCCACAGGACGCATGTGCAGGAGTTGTACCCAATGTGATATAGAGTAATGCTATGAAATGTGATGAATATAATGACCTATTTCTGTTTAATGCCTTCAGATCTGAGGAATAATGAAGATAAGTTAAATTATCACCAGAGGATTGGTTTGAAGTACGTATTTTTGTGTGCTTTCAGTCTTTATAGAATAGGTAAAATGCTGAGAGAATTGTGTAAAAGGAAAATAAACACTTTAGTTTCCACCGAGTAAGAAACTTACCCATCAGTAAGAAAGAACCCGGTTGTTTGTCGATTGGCAGGTCACTTTTCAGGGGTAATCCCTTAAAAAAAATTGGTCACTCATTCCATAACTGTTTGTGGGGACACTGTTGCGCGCAATTGACTGCTGTGTTCCACCCACAGAATTCACAGTCACTACACTTTACAGCATATTCTATGAAGCACTTTGCGACGAGTCAAAAACGTGATGAGTTTGAAATGCAAGGATTATTATTATACATCTTAATGATAAATACTGTCTATTATTCTGGTATTACTGTGACCGAAGAATCTGATTGCACCTACAGGTATTTTGAAGATTTCGAAAAGAGAATTCCTCGAAATGAAATGTTGAAAATGCAGGTAAATAAGAAAGCAGTGGTTTTTTTTGCATTTATATAGCATCTCACATAGGATGAGAATCTGCGAGCACTCCATAATGACAGTGGGGATCACTGGGAAACAAGGCTGTGTTTCAGAGTTTGTTGGCCAAAGATATGGTCAAAGAAAGAAGCTGTTACAACAACAACTTATATTTACACAGCCCCCTTCACATGGGGCAGCGGCTCGGAGCGCTTCACAGTGACAGAGCCTGACACCGAGCCGGGGTGGGGTGGGGGAGGAGGAGGTGAATGTAAGCACAGTCGAAGAGGAAGGTCTTCAGTCGTGATCTAAAAAGGGAAAGGAGGGGGCCGTATTTTTCCCAAAAATACACAGTCAATTCACTTTCCGTTCTGTCAAGCGCTTTGAGATGGCTTTAACAACGTGATAAGGAGCTATATCAAATGTAAGGATTATTATTATTATTATTATTAAAGTAACCAATATTAATTATTATTATTAAAGTAACCAATATTAATGTGTTTCCTAATCTGATCAACTCTGATTTCACAGTTTTCTTGTGATGGTGCAGTTGACTTTAGGGGTACCACTAAGGAAACCGGTGCGAGAATCTAATATCGCCTGTGCTTTGGCAAGGCTTTGGAGAGCTGCCTCCTCACGACTATCCCATGTTAAACCTATTTTTGTTTCTGTGTCTCTTGAGGACCTAGTTCTGGAAGAAGTCAAGAAGTTGGATCCAGAGTATATCTCCACTGTTTGCGGAAGTTTCAGACGAGGTTGGTGCTGCCTACTTTCAACTCTAGACAGTTGGAGTTCAATTTCAATTCAATTGGGGTCCTGTAGCTCAGTGGTTAGTGCGCTCACCCTGCAAGTGAGACGACCCAGGTTTGATTCCTGGGTGGGGAAAATGGCAGAATAAGGATGATTATTATTATTATTAATGTTAGGCAAGTTTTCTTGCTCCACACACCTCTGTTTACCAGCAGTAAATAGGAACCTGGTTGTTAGTCGATTGGCAGATTACTTTTCCGGGGATAATAGTCCCTTCAAAAAAAATTGGTTACTCAATCCATGACTGTTTGTGAGGCACCTCTGTGCCAATTAAAATGAAGACAATACCTTGTTGAGGAGGACAGACAGAGCTGAGCTTTGCTGTGTGTGGTTTTACTGTCGGGGAAATGTAATTGAAACAAACTCGGGGCAGCCTCCAGAATATTCATCAGTTACTCAGCTCCCATTCCCAGTAGCCTCCAGCCAATTGCCAACCTCAAACATTGTGCAACTGGGAGCTTGTGAAGAGATGGGCAAAGCAACTGCACATTTTGCCTGGTTCCCACGGAGTACACAATAACAGGAAACCACTGTCTGAGCAGGATTGGTGCTCGCACCTACTTGTTCCTTAGGTTACCATAGAGTTCAGCGATTCAGTTTCTAGAAACTTTTAGCAAGTTTTGTTACTCCATACGCCTCTGTTTATCTGACAGTAAGTAGGAGCCTGGTTGTTAGTCGATTCTGAGTGGCTTTTCGGATGGAATAATCCCTTCAACTGTTTTTAAAATAATCATAATTTGGCCACTCAATCCACGATTGTTGGGGGACACTGCTGTGAGCAATTGGCTGCCAGTTTACGCCCACAAAATACACAGTTAATCCACTTTACAGTAAATTGTTTGAGACTTCTCAATGACATAAGGCGCTATATCAAATACAAGGATTATTACCTTGATTTTGGTACGAGGGTATGGGAGTAGTGAGCACTGACATCAGTCTTCTCCGTTTCAAAAACATATCTTCTTAGTTGATTTATTAATATCTCAAAAATGGAATTCAGCATCTGCACAAATTTACAAATAATAATGCAAGTGTTGAAGCAAAAGACCTCATTTGACTTACAGTTAACAGTTCTGCTTTCAGCCACTTGGTGTCACCATTGTTCTTTTAAACTGGAACGACCAATCTCATAATAATAATAATAATAATCCCTGCATTTGACACAGCGCCTTATCACGTCTTCGAGACGTCTCAAAGCGCTTCACAGGATACACTGTAACATGAATTGACTGTGTATCTTGTGGGTGAAATGCGGCAGCCAATTGCGCACGGCAGCGTCCCCACAAACCGCCGTGGATTGAGTGACAACATATTTTTGGAGGGATTATTGGCGATCCGCCAATTGACTAATAACCGGGTTCCTACTTACTGCTAGATATACAGAGGCGTGTGTGTAAGGAAACATGCCTAAGGTTTCGCCCTGACCTGCCCAGGAATCAACCCAGGTTCTCTGGCTTGCGAGGCGAGCGCTTTAACCACTGAGCTACACACCTCCACAATTTTAATATTAGCAGATGTAATGGGCGTCAGTAAAGACACAGTTTAGTTCATTCTTGTTGTCCTCTTGTTCAAGGTGCCTTGTCCAGTGGTGATATGGATATTCTTTTGACTCATCCAGACTATACCTCAGAGTCAACCAAAAAGGTGAGTTGGGATGAACTGGGTTTGGATTTCACAGGATATGTGAACTAATTAAAAATCACCAAAGGACAAATTAATCAGAGCTGTGCAACTGGAGCAGAATTCCGGTGTGAGAAGCCACAATTTTCACAGGCAAGCAGCTGTGGTCATGTACCTCGAGGTGTTCAAAATTATGAGTGGTTTCCCAAGAGCAGATAGGGAGAAACTGTTTCCTCTGGAGGGCAGGTAGGTCGGTAACCAGAGGACACACAGATTTAAGATAGTTGTCAAAAGTACCAAAGAGGAAGCAAGGAGACATTTTATTTCTTCGAGACATCTCTGTTGTCTTCGAATCGTCTCAAAGTGCTTCACAGAATATATTGTAAAGTGAATTGACTGTGTTTTGTGGGTGTTGGACTTATATGCATCTGATAGTCAGGGGCTTGCACCCCATCCGTTCTTACAGGGACTTTGAAGCTAATCTAGACATCCTAGATTGAGTTCAGAATTCACCCGATGGCCTTTCACAAGAGCAGCATGAGAGACAAATGTCTTGTAAAATTGATGAAAGCAACAAAAGTGGGTTTCATAAGAACATAAGAAATGTTAGACGAAAAAGGGCCAAGGTCCATCTACTTCGCCTTTCACCTTCCTCGCAGTTACTTGCACATGTGTCTCAAACTACTATGATCACTTCAATCCACGACTGTTTGTGGGACACTGTTGTGCGCAATTGGCTGCCGCATTTCGTCCACAAAATATACAGTCAATTCACTTTACAATATATTCTGTGAAGAGTTTTGAGACGCCTAGGAGACGTGAAAAGCGCTATATCAAATGCAAGGATTATTATTACTATATCCCATAATGTTATTTCTTAAAGAAAACTATCTAATCTGTGTTTGAAAGGTTAGGTTTCCCTTGAGCATTGAAATCTGGCAGTTTTGCACTTTTTCATGTAAAGGCTAGTGAGAATCTGGAACTCTCTCTCTCTCTCTCCCCCAAAAGGCTGTAGATTATGACTGGATCAATTCACATCTTCCAGACTGAGGTGGAGAGATATTTGTTAGGTCAGGGGATCAAGGGATACGGGGCAGAGGCGGTTAATTGGAGTTGAGGTACAGATCAGCCCTGATCTTATAGAATGGTGGAACAGGCTCGAGAGGCTGAATGGCCTCCTCCTGTTCCTATAAGCCACAACTTGTTTTGTGTATTTTGTACGGGAGTGAAGCCAAGCTTGTCGTTTCCTGATCAGATCACGGAGCTCCAAGGCATCCCCAACTCCAAAGGCAAATTGCTTCTCAAAATATTCATTAGGGTTTATTTTAAAGTCCTGATTGACAAGTCGTGATGTGCTCTCGGCAACAGAAGCACCCAGTTCAGAGAAGGCTTGCAAAGGGAGGGAACTAAAAATAGAGTCTATGCCTTTAATCAAAGGTAAACCTAATAATAATAATAAACGTTGTATTTGATATAGCACCTTATCACGTCTTTGAGCCGTCTCAAAGCCCTTCACATAAACTGTAAAGTACAGTGACTGTAAATTTATTGGGTAAAGGGATTCTTACCCCTAGAATAGCAATACATCTTTCGACTTATGGTGTGGGTCGGAGGGTGACCAAAGGCGTGGTCAAAAAGAGAGAGGTCTTCAGATGGGCCTTGAAGGAGGCAAGGGAGGAGCGAGGCGAGGAAACTGTGGGATGGAGTTTGGAAGGTGCAGATAGGCTGCAGTCCCGACTGTCGATGGTGGGGTGGGCCGGGCGGGGGACATGGAGCAGGCCAGAGCCCGCTGAGCGGAGGGAGTGGACAGGTTGGTGTGGCATTAGCAGGTCACAGAGGTTGTGGGGATGGAGGGCTTTGAAAGTGGGGATGAGGATTTTGAACTCAATCCTCGGGGGGGATGGGGCGCCAGAGAATACACCAAAAGCCACATCCAAGAGACGGATGCGCTCTTAACTCAAAGTGCCACACATTTAAGATCTTGCGAGACGCAAACCTTGTGCTTCAGGGCTATAATATATTAAAAGTGAGTATTATTCCTCTCCACACCACATGTTGAAAATCAAGGTCATATTTTACATTTGAAAGAAACTGTGATGTGTGCAGACACGCAATGTGCCTTAACCCAATCTTTTCAGTAGTTCCACATCTGTAGCTTTTGCAACCTTCAGGGCAATCAGATAGACTGTCAATTTATAAATAATAATCAGAATAATACTCCTTGTATTTGATATAGCGCCTTGTTACCTCAAAATACGTTACAGGATATACTGGCCGTGACAATGGGAGAGAGAGGGAGAAACTCCCTTATCTTTCCGAATAGTGTCATGGGATCTTTAACATCCATCTGAACAGGCAGATATTTCATCTGAAGGACAGCACCTCCGACAATGGAACGAACATCCCCCCTCCCCCACCCCCCCGCCTCCCAGCGCTGCATTATAATTATTATAAATATCAATGTATAGAAACGTGCCAGGAACATAATGCAAACGTTCCTACACCACATCTAATGGGGAAAAAATTAATTAAGCTTGTACTACAATTGGTATCATAACAGCAGCTGGGATTGAAAACAAACTCTCCTCTCTAGCCAACTCTCATATCTGATATCATACCCTCACCACCGCTTGGCCAATAGTCCCCCAGATAAAATTAGTCATTCGCACGACAGTTTGTGGGACACTGCTGGATGCAATTGACTGCTGCATTTTGCACACAAAAAATATACAGTCAATCCACTTTACAGTATATCCTTTGAAGCTCTTTGAGACATCTCAACGGCGTGATAAGGCACTACATAAAATGCAAGGATTATTATATCAAATGCAAAGATTATTATTAAGATGCAAGTGATTATGTTGGTTCCTTCTGCAGAAATCTTTATGAGAAGAACGAGAAATCCTGAGGATTTCGAGTGCTGCTCATTGAGGCGACTGAATGTTTTTGAATGAGGGAAATGAACTTGACGTTTCTTTGGGATATTTTCAGCCAAAGCTTCTCCACAAAGTTGTGGAATGTCTGGAAAGGACAGGATTTGTGACGGAAACCATTTCTAAGGGGGACACCAAGTATATGGTGAGTACCTCTATTTATTCCTGCTTCATGGTTCAACAGCTTGCATTTACACAGTTCCCTTCAAGGGGGGGGGACTGCGTGTTGGAGCTGGGGGGAGGGAGGAGGTGACCGTAAACACGGTCGAAGAGGAAGGTGTTCAGTCTTGATCTAAGCGAGGAGAAGGAGGGGGTAAAGCGGAGGGATTGGGGGAGAGAGAGTTCCAAAGCCTCATGGTGTAGTGGCTGAAAGCACGGCCGCCGCTGGTGGAGCGGAGGGGACGAGGGACAAGCAATAGGCCAGAACCAACTGAACGGAGGCAACGAGTTGTGGAGTTGGGAGAAAGCTCAGAAAGGTAGGGAGGTGCCAGGGTGTGAAGGGATTTGTAGGTCACTATGCCCTGCTGATAAGATAGGAGCTAGGTGAATGATCTTCAGAGAATGTCTCTTCCTCTTGTTTCAGCGTCACAAACCTGAGTTAAGGATCTAATAGATTTTTTTTTGAGCAAAAGGCAGATATTAAAGTGCTGGCAGCAGAATGGTGTAATAATAAGAATCCTTGCATTTGTTATAGAATCGTAGAATCTTACAACACAGAAGGAGGCCATTCGGCCCATGGGGTCTGTGCCGACTCTTTGAAGGAACTGCCAACTATTCCCACAAACTGTCGTGGATTGAGTGACCAATTTACAATATAGCTCCTTATCACGTCATTGAGACGTCTCAAAGCGCTTCACAGAATATATTGTGGAGTGACTGTATTCTGTGTGCAAAATGCGGCAGCCAATTGCGGACAGTAGTGTCTCACAAACAGTCATGGATTGAGTGACCATTTTACAATTTTTTTTGGAAGGGATTATTATCCCCAGAAAGCAATCCGCCAATCGACTAACAGCCGAGTTCTTAAACTTGCCTGAGGTTTTGACCCGCGTGGGAATCGAACCCAGATCCTCTCGCTCGCAAGGCAAGTGCTCCAACCCACTATTCTACGGGATCCACCAACATCTGGGTGTCGGTTTGTGTAGGCACAAGAAACCACCCATCAAGCTATGAACTGAGACTTGTGGCGTTCAAAAACCACAGGCGGTCACAGAGCCTACTTTTCAGATCAGGAGAAGGTTTGAGGGCTCACATTAATCAGTCACAAGCTCTGATGAACAGGGCACGATTCATTCCTTCCCTGTCTCGATCTTTGAAATCGAATCAGTAATGTTCATCTTAACTGGCTTCCTGTTGGTAACCGAACCCTCCCGTTCTGTCATCTCAATCCTCACTATTCTTTCAAAAGTACAAAACCTGATCTGGGGGAAGTTGTTAAGTTTTAATCACACGTGCAGATTCTTTTTCTGTTTGAAATTCCCTTCAGCTGGTCGGACTGTCTGGAGGAGGGGCAGAACAGGCGTGTTTTACATTGATCTTTGTTTCAGATCATTGTAACATCACCTGCTCGGTCTTTCCACCAGTGAGTGAGCGAGCGAGCGACTTTGGGGAACCTGTGGTAATTGACTGCATTCATCACACGAGGTGCGACGTACACGTTTTATAAACGTTTGAATTAATTTGAGAATTAAATCGCAAAAGCAATTGTGGCGTCTTGTAAAGCGGGGATTGTATCAAATGAACCTGCCGAGTAATTAATCTACATTGTTTGCCGTGAAAAGGGGGAAGGAGGGGGCAAGGCGGAGGTATTGAGGTCCACTTTAGGACTTGGAATATATGCTGGGTGCATTGTCGAAGGTACCATCCTTCAGATGAGACGTTAAACCGAGTCCCGTCTGCCTGTTTAGGTGGATGTCAAAGATCCTGGAGTGCTATTCGAGAAGAAAAGGGAGTCTCTCTCTCCAGGTATCCTGGACAACAATCCCCCAACTAAAATTAAATTTAAACTCATTCCACAACTCTTTGTGGGACACTGCTGTGCGCAACTGGCTGCCGTGTCTCACCCACAAAATACCCAGTCAATCCACTTTACAGTATATCCTGTAAAACGCTTTGAGATGTCTTGACGGGATGATAAGGCGATATATCAAATGCAATGGGTTATTGTTACTATAAGTTCATAATAATAAAATAGTAGGATGTAAACCTGTAACGTTTAAACTGTAATTTAAAAATTTCCTGTTGCTTGGCCAAGTAGTCATTGACTTATTTGGAACTGAGTGATATATTGGGTGTAAAATAGCCTGAGGATAGGTAGGAGGGTTTTGGAGGAGAAAAGGGCAGGATGTGGTTTCTCTATTAGCATTCTCCATAGGAAACAGGAGACAAGAACCCTTCCAACTTTACTGAAAGCCCTGTGTTGAGGTTTCATTTGGGGTTTGGTCTGATAATTTAATTGTGACTTTGATCTCCACATCCCTTACAAGAGAGAGAGAGAGAGATGAGCCCTCTAGCTCAGTGGTTATACTGCGAGAGGACCCAGGTTCATTTCCCGGGCAGGGCAAAACGTTAGGCAAGTTTCCTTACTCCACACACAAGCCTCTGTTTACCAGCAGTAAGTAGGAACCTGGTTGTTAGTTGACTGACTGGAGTAATAATCCCATCAAAGAACTAAATAAAGGAATAATTCGGTCACTCAATTCACGACTGTTTGTGGGAATGTTGCTTTTGCTGCAATAAGCGGCTGCATTTCGCCCACAAAATATGCATTCAATTCACTTTACAGTGTATTCCGTGAAGCGCTTTGAGACGTCGCGAAGACGTGATAAGGCGTTATATCAATTATAAGGATTATTATTATGAGTTTTTTTAAGGAAATGCTTTGTTTTCCACTGGGCTTCATGTAGATGACAAAATATCTGATACAAATTGTGTGAGTCCAAGAATCAGGGTGCAGGTCATTTATAGTTTGAGGATACTGGCAAGTGGAGGGGGACCCAATCCACTGTGGATTATATTTGTTTGTCTCTGCCAGTTTCCTGCAGCATTTACAATTGTGGTTAATGTAGGCATCTCATCATATGAGGTAACTTAGTGTTGGGGGGGATTTAAACACCACAACTTTCAGGAGGCAGTTTTTCACCCAAAGGCAACTGGGATCTAGAATCCTCTCTCTCGCCCAAAAGGCTGTAGATTATGGCTGGATCCACTCACATCGTAAAGACTGAGGCGGAGAGATGTTTGTTAGCTCAGGGGATATGACCCAACTGTGCAGCGCCTTGGGACGTCCTCCTGACGTGAAAGGCGCTCTATAAATGGAATCTTGTTGTTGTTGTTGTTGTTGATATGGGACAAAGCCTGGTATTTGGAGTTGAGGTACAGATCAGCCGTGATCTTATAGAACGGCAGAACAGGCTCGAAGGGCTGAATGGCCTCCTCCTATTCCTTATGCAACTCTATGTCTTTTATATTGCATACTGAGCCATTTAACACAACTTAATAGAATAATACCTTATAATGCATCCAGTAAGATATAATCCTTGCATTTGATATAGTCTTATGACGGCGTTGAAACATCTCAAAACGCTTCGCAGAATATACTGTAAAGTGAGTTGACTGTATATTTTACGGGCAAAACACGGCAGCCAATTGCACACTGAAACGTCCAACAAACGGTCATAGATTGAGCGATCAAATTTTTCTTTTGGAAGGATTATTACCTGTGGGTCCCTACGTGTGTGTAGAGTAAGGAAGCTTGCCTAAGGTTTCGTCCTGCCCAGGAATCAAACCCAGGTCCTCTCGCTTGTGAGACAAGCGCTCTAACCACTGCACTACAGGACTCCACAGGTTGAACTGCAGAATTTTTTCAGTGTGACTGTTTACTATAAGATCGCAACCTGGCTCTCTGGATAGTTTGGGCGGGTAATGAAGAATATTCGTGCTGGAGATTTCATACTGGTGAATTCCTACCTGAGTACATAATATTTACGATGCAGAAATAATTATTGTGCTGATTTTGTGGGACCACAAGACTTCAGTGTGTGGAGCCAACAGAAGTTTTGTTCCGTGTGAAAACATTGATAGAGAGTAGCGGAGACGAGGAGAAAGCTTAATTGGGGTTACTGTTTATAATGTGTACAGCAGCGCTGTGCTAGGGGTGATGTGCAGTGATAATAATTATCCTTACATTTGATATAGCGCCTTATCACATCGTTAAAGATGTTTCAAAGCGCTTTACAGAATGTTACTTATCTTTTCTCTGTTCTTAATAAAACAGTGATTTATAGTAATACTTTTTTGAAGTGCCAGTTGTGGATCCACTGATCTCATAGCCGTGTGTAAAAAAGAAATAATTTTCTTTCCTATAACGCCTCATTATGTCAGTTTCAAAGCGCTTCGCAGGTAATTACAGTGGTTGTTAACCAGGACACCTGGAAAACATATCATTTTGAACAGTGTCATGTGATCTTCAACCACATAATCCTTGAATTTGGTAAAGCGCCTTATCATGACGTTGAGAAGTCTCAAAGCGCTTCACAGAATATACTGTAAAGTGAATTGACTGTATATTTTGTGGGTGAAACACAGCAGCCAATTGAGCACAGCGGCGTCCCACAAACAGTCATGGATTGAGTCACCAAATTATTATTATTAATTCGAGGGGTTATTACCCCTGGAAAGCAATCTGCTGATTGACCAACAACCGTTTTCCTACTTACTGCGAGGGAAACAGAGGCGTGTGGAGTAAGGAAACTTGCCTAAGGTTTTGCCCCGCCCGGGAATCGAACCCAGGTCCTCTCGCTTGCGAGTTGAGCGCTCTGACCAATACGCTGCAGCACATCTCACGCAAAATACAGCACTTCCAACAGTGCCACATTCCCCCGGCACTGAGAGGTCAGTGTTTCATGTGGGGCTTCAACTCACAGCCTTGTGACCCAATGCTGATGTATGTGTAGGATGGCCCAGTGTATTTGCTAACCATTTGAATGTTAATTGCTTGATGGCCCCCACAATTCATAGATGTCTATGACCTGTCCATCTGTCTACTTGTTTGAAGAAGTCTGACTCCAATGTTTTAGGAAACATTTCAGTCATTAATTGTTACAGACAGCTGCTTTGGAGACACTAAATACAGACTTCATAGTATTAAGCTTTTTAACGGTTTGTTCTGTGCGTAACTATAGCTTACAAAGGGATTATTACCTCTGCTTTTCCGGGGGTAATAATCCCTTCAATAAATAATAATAATTTGGTCACTCAAACCACGACTGTTTATGGGACACTGCTGTGCACACTTGGCTGCTGGGATTCACCCACAAAATATACAGTCAATTAATTCACTTTACAGTTTATTCTGTGAAATGCTTTGAGAAATCTCAACGACGTGATAAAATACTATATCATATGCAAGGATTATTATATATTATTGTTAAAAAAGCTATACAGATTAGTGCCGACCAAACCTGTAATTTAACAGTGACGGAGCCGGATTCCGAGGTGGGGGAGAGGAGATGGCCGTAAGCACTGGTCGAAGAGGAAGGTTTTTAGGCGGGACTTGAAAAAGGGGAGAGAGGGAGGGGGCGAAGCGGAAGGATTGAGGGAGAGCGTGACAGAGTTTCGGGGCAGAGCGGCTGAAAGCGCAACCGCCGATGGTGGGGGCGCGAGGGACGAGCAGGAGGCCGGTGACAGTCGAGTGGAGGCACTGGGTGGTGGATTGGGGAGTGAGGAGGTAGGGGGGGGAGGGAGGGAGGTGCATAGAATGAAGGGATTTGAACACACGGGTGAGGATCTTGAAGTCGATCCACTGGGGAGCCAGTGCAGCCTGGGCCAGAACGGGTGAGACGTGGGTACGGAGTTTGGTCTGGGTCAATATGCAGGCGGCAGAGTTCTGAAGGACCTGGATCTTTCAATACAATGCTATCACGTCCTTTACACTTGATAATGACATCCTTTGAGCAGACACATTTGAACAATAAGGACTTCCACTTATGCCCACGGGATACAAATAAAACACAGAGCATCTGAGAGCCTTTCAACTGTATCCACTTGCATGTTATTTGGTTTGTCAACCCACAAGGGCAGCTGGATGGGAAATGGTAATATCATACTGGTGTGGAACAGAGACTGGGTTTAAGGCACATTGTTGGGTCAGAGGAGATGGACCTTGATGTTGCACCTCACCTGTGTTATACTGAGGCCCGGGGTGTTTGACATTGATACATGGCGCTAAAAGTGCAAATAGATTGTGTTCTCAAGATCAGAGCTCTTTCATCTCAACCACCATTGAATTCACCAAACTAATGTTGAAATGTGAACCGCAGGCGACTAACTGCACACTTCTCAACCTGCACCAAGGTAAACGGTCACATTGAAGGAGAGCATGCACGCATCAAATCTTCAAGGCAAGAGCTGGGAGCAGACAAATCGTTACCTAGCATGTAGATATTAGCCACTCCTGTATATTTTGTGGGCGAAACGTAGCAATCAATTGCGCCCAGCAGTGTCCGGCAAACATTCGTGGACTGTGACCAAAGTTCTTACAAGGGATATTATTATCCCCGCCAATTGAGGGTTCCTACGTACTTCTAGGTAAACAGGCGTGTGTGTAAGGAAACTTGCCTAACGTTTGCGTGCTGCCCGGGAATCAAACCCGGATCCTCTTGTTTGCGAGGCGAATGTTCTGACCGATACACTACAGGACTCCACAGAATTATAATCAGTTTGTTTACTTGCAATCCTGAGGGATTGAGATGTTCCATGTGGCAAAACCAGATGTTTTTGCCTGTAAAATCTCACTCCTATGCAATAAGAAACCTCTGGGAAGTAATCCAACTCGGACCCCAATGTTCTTTACAATGTTTGTTGGTTGCAAAAATGTAAAGGTTGGTTTCGTGCCTTTGGTGATGTCAAACAGATTCCCCGAGATGTCAGAAATGGCTTTATTTCTGAGTCAGTGGTTAGAGCACTCACTTCAAAACCGAGAGGACCCGAGTTCGATTCCTGGGCGGGCGGGCGGGGCAGGGCGAAGCCTTAGGCAAGTTTCCTTACTCCACACACGTGCCTCTGTTTACCTGGCGGTAAGTAGGAACCCGATTGTAAGTCAATTGACGGATCGTTTTGTTGGGGTAATAATCCCCCCCCCACCCCAAAACAAATTTGGTCACTCGAATGTTTGTGGATCACTGCTATGCGCAGTTGGCTGCTGCGTTTAGCCCATAAAATATACAGTCAATTCGCATTACAGTATATTCTGTGAAGCGCTTTGAGACGTATCAACGACATAATAAAGCGTTTTATCAAATGCGAGGATTATTATTATAGCCAATTTGCACACAATAACGTCCCACAAACAGCCGGGAATTCAATGGCTAATTTGGGGCATTGTTGACCTGGACACCAGGAGAAACTTGCTTCTCTTTTCGAATAGTGCAGATGGAGAATCTCAAGGGAATGAAAGATTGCCTGTTTCATAGTAAAACCCACTGGATTGTTTGCTGCAGCGATGAGTAAAATTTACAGCTTTGTTTACATTCCCAGCAGTCGTTAATTCTTCTTGAAAGCCTTTTAAATTGACGGCTTGATTCTAGATCCCTAAATAGACAGCAGAAGAAAGCACTTAAAACTTGGTCTGTGTGAGAGAGAGGTTTGATTTTATGTAATGTAACACATTTCAGCAAACGTCATAAGACCGTAAATCATTGATGATAATAATAATAATAAATTGGTCATTCAATCCCACGACTGTTTGTGGGACGCTGCTGTGTGCAGTTGGTTGCCGCATTTCACCCGTGAAAATACACAGTCAATTCACTTTACAGCATACACTGTGAAGCGCTTAGAGATGTCTCGAAGATTTAGTAAGGCGCTGCATCAAATGCCAGGATTATTATTATTATAGACTCCCTCCTCTTTTCGAGTGGTGTCATGGGGTCTTTGATGTGCAACTGAACAGGCAGATGGAAGCTATTTTGTGGAGCCCCGTAGCGTAGTGGTTAGACCACTCGCCTCGCAAGCGAGAGGACCCATGTTTGATTCCCAGGCAGGGTGAAGCCTCAGGCAAGTTTCCTTTCTCCACACGCCTCTGCTTACCCAGCAGTAAATAGGAACCCGGTTGATAGTCAATTGGCGGATGGTTTTCTGCTGGTAATAATCCCTCAAAAAGAAAATTAGTCATTCAATCCACACCTGTTTGTGCGACGTTGCTGTGCGCAATTGGCTGCCACGTTTCGTCCACAAATGGCCAGTCATTCCACTGTGCGATATATTCTGTCAAGCGCTTTGAGATGTCTCAACGACGTGCTGAGGTGCTATATCAAACGCAAGGATTAATATTATTATTAAGAAGAACTTTTTATTTCCATAGTGATGGCAGAATTGTCATTTTGTTTTCCATGTGTTCTCTTGTGTTTTTCTGACCCTCTCTGCTCTTTCCTTCGACAGGGTGTGTGTCAGTTACCAGATGACAATGATGCCTGTGACTATCCACACAGGAGAATTGACATCAGGTGAGTTACATGCATAAAGCTCAGTGGTGAGAGAACTCGCCTCGCAAGCGAGAGGACCTGGGGGTTCGATTCCCTGCAGGGCGAAATGTTGGGCAAGTTTCCTTACTCCACACACCCGTCTCTGTTTACCCAGCAGTAAGTAGGAACCCAGTTGTTAAGTCGATTGGCGGAATGCTTTCCAGGGGTAATAATAATTCCTTCAAAAAAAATAATAACTGGTCACCTCAATCCATGACTGTTTGGAGGACGCTGCTGTGCACAATTGGTTGCTGCGTTTCGCCCACAAAATATACAGTCAATTCACTTTACAGTGTATCCTGCGAAGAGCTTTGAGACGTCTCGAAGACGTGGTGAGATGCTGTATCAAATGCAAGGATTATTATTCTAATAATAAATAGGTAAGAATAGACTCAATGGTGTATTCGGCTTCATGTCTGCCTTTCAAGGGCGGCAGCTTCCACACATCTGGACTAAAACAACAACAACAAATTACATTTGCATAGCGCCTTTCATTAAAAGACCCCACAATGCTGGTTAATGTTTCAGGGAAATAGTTTCCTGATTGAGGTTTATCAATAAAAATGCTGCAGCTGAAAAATGTTAGTCCAATCACCGAGTTGCCAAACCCTTTTATATTTTATATAATGGCTAGATTTCTTGCTGAAAGGAACAGGTTTCAAATTGAGTCTCACCTACCATGACGGTAATTATAAACAACAAATAATAATTCCTTCTGAAAAGTAATTCCTTCACTCAATCCACGACTGTTTGTGGCGGACGCTGCTGTGCGCAATTGGCTGCTGCGTTTCACCCACAAACTATAGTCAACTCCCTTTACAGTGTATCCTGTGAAGCGCTTTGAGACGTCTCGAAGACGTGATAAGGCACTGTATCGAATGCAAGAATAGATCACGGCTTGAGATTGCCATGTGTCGTTCATCACTGTGGTCTGTGATGACTTTGCTTAGCTGGAGCCCAGTAACTTTCCCCCTCTTCCCGATTCATTTTGTTTCACAGCAGACTCCAGTCTCCTGCTCTAACCATAAGTTGAGCGCTCTCCTCAGCGCTAAGGCCAACTAACTACCAATTTGAAAGGAATTAGAACCAGCTTGAAGAAACACACTCACTTTTTAAAACTGATGTTTCAAGTGAAGGGAAGTGAAATTCTCACCAATATACAGTCGTTTAAAGAAAACTTTAAGCTCTTTCAGTCAGACTCCTTTGATATGTCGGAGAAATATTTCAACTGTTCTTAGATTTTTTTTCATCAACCGTGCCTTCAGCTCCCCCTCTCGACTCTCTACCCCCTCCTCGCTCCCTCCCTTCCCTCCCCTCCTCGTTTCCTCCCTTCCCTCCCCTCACCCTGACCGTTTCCCCCCTGCTCGGGTCCCGATCCAACTGTCCAGCGCCTTGGGACGTCCTCCCGACGTGAAAGGCGCTCTATAAATGCAGTCTTGTTGTTGTTAAATGCTAGATATTAACCCCTGGAATTTGTACAGTAGAACTCGCATAAGTCTTATCTTTATAAATCATATAATCGCCTAAGTATATTCCCATTCAATTTCCCATCAAAACCACTCTCGTATTAATCAGCTCCTACATTTACCCGCTGCATTAAGTTCCACAGTGTAGATTATTGATTGAATCAGATTTTCTAGCTCAGCTAGAAATATAATTTTGGTGATAATTCAGTCAAGTTGCTAACCGAGGCTTTGTGAAGCAGTGGAACAAACGTATTCCACGTCGAGACTAAGACAGTGCTAGAAACGTAAATGTAGAATTTACGCCTTTAAACCAGTTGTAATTTAATCCTTTAAGAATCATCAATCACTCTTCACTTGAAGTAATCACAGATGTTACTGCACATCCAGACATACCCTATCACAACAAGCTGCTGGCTTGGTTCATGAGTAATACAAAACACAGTCCAGGTGGTTACGGGAAGAATTTTTGATACTCACAATTTGATATAGCGCCTTATTACATCATTGAGACGTCTCAAACGTGCCTAAGGTTTCGCCACAGTCGTGGATTGAATGACCAGCTGTATTTTCCCCTGGGTAGGTGGGTGTATGGCGCTTTGAACAATGAATCTTGGGGAAGGTCATTTTTAATTTAGCCGGGAAAGGTTTGCCCCACCCGGGAATTGAACCCAGATCCTCTCGCTTGCGAGGCGAGTGTTGCTAACCACTACGGTACATGGCTGATTGCTTTGATGATTATATTGGTTTAATCTTCCTATTCTCTATATTAATCTGGATACTGACATCTGTGTCTGTCTCCCTACACAGGCTGATTCCAAAAGATCAGTATTTCTGCGGAGTGCTGTATTTCACCGGCAGTGACATATTTAATAAGAACATGAGGACTACCGCACTGGAAAAAGGCTTCACATTGAACGAGTATACCATTCGCCCAATGGGATCCACAGGTAAGGCTCAAGTGGCAATGAAAGCCGTGATCTTGCTACTTTATGAAATGCTCCTTTTCTGCATCGTTGTTTAAAAAGGATCGTACGAGTACAACACACCCTAACATTTCAACTGCTAGATTGTTGTGATGTGATAATAATAGTCCTTGCCTTTGATAGAGCACCTCATCATGTTGTTGAGACATTTCAAAGCGCTTCACAGAATGTACTGTAAAGTTTAGTGACTGTGTACTTTTTGTGGGTGAAACGCAGCAGCCAATTGGGCACATCAGTGACCCATAAACAGTCGTGGATTGAGTGACCAAATAATTCTTTTGCGGAGAGATTATTATCCCCCGAAAACGATCCGCCAATTGACTAACTACCAGGTTCCTAGTTACTGTTAGGTAAACAGGAGTGTGTGTGAGAGTTAAGGAAACTTGAGTAAGGTTTCGCCCAGGTCCTTTCGCTTGTGAGGGGAGTGCTCTTACCACTACACTACGGGACTCCTGTAGTCTGTAATTACATCTATAGTGACTGAAGAGTTAAATTGTGAGTAATTCAAGTTAAACCGCATCGACAATATTGTATATGGTTTGACAAAGGGATCTGGACATCACTGTTGCTGTGGATCAACACTGGGCAGTTCTCACGTTTTAAATAAGTTTTATGACCTATAATTAGTGTATCATAGTGCAAAGGCTTGAAACCTTCGAAGCAGACCCTTAATAAACTGCATCTTAGAAAACACAAAGCTTTTTGTTCCTCGCAGTCAGGTTAGTGACAAGTCAGTTGATCAGCACAACACGCCTGGCACTAAGTGGGGTCATTTCAGGACATTGCTTATCCACAGGGTGTTCACAAAGTCCTACCCCCCATATTTCTCTCTGCAGTGCACTGAACAATAACTAACAAGCGGAAAAACGATGATAATTCTTCACCGTTTCATCATCATGCTTCAGTACCACCTTGGGACGTCCAACAATAATTTATTGTTGTTCCTGTAGTGGTTAGAGCACTCGCCTCGCAAGCGAGAGGACCCGGGTTTGATTCCCGGGCGAGGCGAAACCTTAGGAAAGTTTCCTTACTCCACACACACGCCTCTATGTATCTAGCAATAAGTAGGGACCCGGTTGTTAGTCGATTGGCCCCATTCTCCCTTGCTCACACCTTTTCAAAACCTTTCTGGTAACTGAATCGCTGAACTCTATGGTAACCTAAGGAACAAGTAGGTGCGAGCACCAATCCTGCTCAGACAGTGGTTTCCTGTTATTGTGTACTCCGTGGGAACCAGGCAAAATGTGCAATTGCTTTGCCCATCTCTTCACAAGCTCCCAGTTGCACAATGTTTGAGGTTGGCATTTGGCTGGAGGCTACTGGGAATGGGAGCTGAGTAACTGATGAATATTCTGGAGGCTGCCCCGAGTTTGTTTCAATTACATTTCCCCGACAGTAAAACCACACACAGCAAAGCTCAGCTCTGTCTGTCCTCCTCAACAAGTTATTGTTGTCTTCAGTTGAACGGCTGCATTCTTTCCAGTTTGCGGTCTTCCTGTTTGTTTCGCCCACAAAATATACAGTCACTCTGCTTTGCTGTATGAAGCTCTTTGAGACGTCTCGAAGATGTGTTGAGGCGTCATATCAAATGCAAGGACTATTATTATTGTTACACCCGTTATCATCATGCCTGTGTTTTTTTTTGAAAGGTTGCACACGGCAGGCTCTCATCAAAAACTACACTTGGAGAAGGATCTTAAGTTTAGATTTTTAATTAATTGTATATTTAAATTTTCTTAAACATCTCAAGACCCTCCTCTTCGGCCGCACCTTTGGTCACCCTCCTACCCCTACCCTCCCTGTCCCACAGCCAGTCATGGATTGAATGACCTTTTTTTAAGGGATTATTATCCCCAGGAAAGCAATCCACCAATCGACTAACAACCGGGTTCCTACTTACTGCTGGGTAAACAGAAGCGTGTGTGTGGAGTAAGGGAACTTGTCTTAGGTTTCTCCGGGAATCGAACCCGGGTCCTCTCGCTTGCAAGGCGAGCACTCTGAGCTACAGGGACTCCACTACAGCTGCAACATGAAATACACAGCTTTATTCTCCTTGGATTCTGTGCTCATTAAAATGGTAGAAATGTATATTAACTGAATGAATGTTTGTAAATGCAGGAATTCCAGGTGAGCCGCTGCCAGTGGACAGTGAGCAGGACATCTTTGACTATATTGACTGGGTTTATCGAGAACCTAAAGATCGAAGCGAGTGATTGACATCCATGAATCGTCCTCGGAAGATTTACTCAGCAATAACTGCGATTCCGGAAACTTTCTATCACTGAGGACGTACAGTCAAGCCTCAGTAAATCTAGGCTTCAAGTACGTTAAGATCTCTGCGGAGGTCAAATTGTAATGTTTGTACCTCAGCACATTCACACCCTCCATTTTGCACCGTAATCAGAATGAAACATTAGGTACAATATACTCGCAAGAAACCGTGGATGTGATTGATAACCCTTTGACTGTTCACCACACTCGTGTCGTTCAGTCCAGGAAACAGCTCAGTAAAACTCACATAAGTCGTGGCGGACGGGAAGGTAACATTTAATATGACTGACGCGAAATCCGAGTTGCAAGCTGTAGGAGTCGAAGAAAATCCGAGTTAATCAATAATCTACACTGGGCCTGTCTAACTTCACGCAGCCGGTAAGTGCGCACGCTGTCACTTTTCTGTCATCCGTGGGATGTCCTCCCGACGTGAAAGGTGCTATAAGAAATGTAACTTCTTGTTGTTTCATTCAGCCTCTCTGCCCCCCACACTCTGGAACTCTACCCCACAATCCCTCCACCTCACCCCTTCTCTTGCCTCCTTCAAGTCCCGTCTAAAGACCTTCCTCTCTGACAGTGTCTTCGGCCAACCTCCCACCCCCGAATGGGCCTCAAGTGAATGCACGACTTTGGCGATGACACTGCCCTGGGTGAGGCGCTGGATAGATGCAAACTATTGCTGTTACACAATGTATAAAGATAAGACTTATGCGAGTTTTACTGTCAGATCAGTAGGGAAACAGCTTTGTCTCTGGATCATGTGTGCGTTCCCTGTGATGTGGGCTTGGCCTTTGGGTTGCCAGTGTTGCTCAGGGATCACTGAATTTTACTCGATGAAATAACCGCGATGATTTCTCTATCCCTTTGCTCAGTATTTTACTGCTTGTGTGGTCAGAGGTTGTGCTGGTAAATTATGCATGAATAGCCACAACCACAGGAGAGAAGGCAGTCTGTCCTTCCTTTTAGGCTCTTTGTAGTAAATAAATAAAGTGCTTTCCAAAACGCTTAACTGTGTATTGTGACTCACACTCAACTTCACATCCCTTCACCCCCTGATACCCCCTCGACCTCTCCCACCTGCTCACCCCCTCCCCAACCCACTACCGGCTGCCTCCGCTCGACCGGCTTCCGGCCTCCTACCTTGTCCCTCGTGGTGAAGGAAGAGAGAGGCCATATATACACCCACACACTTGAGTCTACATAATCTGTTCAGATGCTACACCCATTGCATGTGTTTAGAATAAATGATTTGATGCCCGAAGAACAGTGGAAAGGAATAATAGGGAACAAGAGGTTAGCAAACCGATCATTTGTCAGCGGGAGATTTGGCTTACGGTTTTTATAAAACCCTCAATGGAGTCAAACCACGACACCCCCTTTCTCTCTCTCCCCCCCACCACCACCACCTGAAAGTGGCCTATCTGCAGAAACAAGGGTACATGTTGTATAATTGTGTGGAGTTCTGTAACTCAGTGGTTAGAGCACTCGCCTCGCAAGCGAGAGGACCCAGTTTGGGTGAAACCCGACGAGTTTCCTTACTCCACACACCTCTGTTTACCCAGCGATAAGTAGGAACCCGGTTGTTAGTCGATTGGCGGATCGCTTACCAGGGGTAATAATCCCTCCAGAGAAAAAAATCGGACACTCAAATCCACGACTGTTTGAGGGGACGCTGCTGTGTGCAATTGGCTGCCGCGTTTTGCCAACAAATACACAGTCGCTGCACTTTACAGTATATTCCGTGAAGCGCTTTGAGGCTGTTTAACAAGGCTCGCTTTGATTTCGTGTTAAGAATTAACAGCGGCGCTCAACAGGCTGCTCTTGAAAGAAAATGCTTCGGCAGCGTTTGAGATCCCGCACGCGAAGACTGGGTCAGTTTGTAAACTCGGTTACTATGCGGAGGATAATTGCAGCTTCGGTCTCTCAACTTACTCTCCCAAGAAACCGACGGTGTTTAAAGGCTTTGTTCCCACAATGTGGGATTCATTGAGGCGAGTGCTGAGATTAATGGTTTATTCCCCCCGGGTGCGCGGGTCACTCACTTGATTTATTGACGCTGAAAACCCAGCTTGGGATAATTGTGGGTTCCGCTCGGTAGACACAGGAGGTTCATGCCCGCGCTCGCAAAACACAGTCACTCCACTTTACAGTATATTCTGTGAAGCGCTTTGAGACGTCGCGAAGATGTGACGAGGCGCAATAAATAATAGTAAAATAATAATCGCATTTGATGCAGCGCCTTATCACGTCTTCGAGACGTCTCAAAGCGCCTCACGGGATATACTGTTAAAGTGCAGTGACTGTGTATTTCATTAATTAGTTAATCCTCGCGTTTGATATAGCGCTTTTCACGTCGGGAGGACGTCCCAAAGCGCTTCACAGAACACACTGTAAAGTGAATTGACTGTATATTTGTGGGCGAAACGCGGCGGCCAATTGCGCACAGCAGCGTCCGCACAAACAGCCGTGGATTGAGTGACAAAATTATTATTCATTTATTTATTTGGAGTGATTATTGTATGTGTGTGTGTGTGTGTGGAGTAAGGAAACTTGCCTAAGGTTTTGACCCGACCGGCAATTGAACCCGGGTCCTCTCGCTTGTGAGGCGAGGGCTCTGACCACGACATATAAACGCATGTTGTTGTTGTTGTTGATGACGGCGTGAGAGGTTTGCCGGTGACCAGCGCAGTTTTGCAAAACTCATTTGACTTCAAAAGCAGTTTGGCGCAGAGAGCAGAGCAACGCGACCGCACAGCGACGGAAACTTGGAGGGCTTACACGGACTTCCCTTCTGCGTCTCCACCAGAATTTTTTGCTTCGCCGATTCGCATTGCGGAATTCCGGAGAACATCGTTCCGTCTCGCACGCGGCCTGACGCTTCAAAGTCTGAACGTTAAAATCTTACGGCCCTCGCGCTGTTTCCCGCTGATTCTGAGGTACGACTTAAGACTTTTAAGATATTTTCCCAATTCAATTTTATTTTACAAAAATGCGCAGTCACAAAACACTCTAAACGATAGCGATCCTCGCGTTCGACACAGCGCCTTATCGGGGCGGTTGAGACGTCTCGAGGGGCTCGACAGAATATCCTGGCGTTATCCCCGGGACTGGAGCTGAACAGGTTAATTTACAACTGTTTTGGAGGGGGGAAAAGAAGGCAAAAATACTGCAGATGCTGGAAATCTGAAATAAAAACAGACGTCGCTGGGAACGCGCAGCAGGTTCTGACGCGAGCTCATCGTGTGTTTCCTCTCTCCGTAGGTGCTGCCTGACCTGCTGCGTGTTCCCAGCCGCGTCTGCTCCACAGCTGTCTTTCACCCGGAGTTGCTCCGCGGAGGACTTCGGCTCTAGGTTCCCTGGCAGACGCGTAACCTGGATCTGCGCTGCGACGTGTCTTGGTTCTGGTGACGGCAGGTGAGCCCCGGGGCGCAGTCGCAACGCTGGAAGATCTCGGGACCCTGCGGGGCCTCCTTGCGTCCTCTCTTCGAGCAGACCTGGCCCTCTTTCAGCACCGGCCGGCAGATCTTAGACCAGAAGTGACGCGCGCAGCACAGTCCCGTCGAACAGTCTGACGTCCGCAAACACGACTCTCCCTCCAGCCCTGCGACGCACAGAGATTTATATCGTATAATCATTTCATACAACAACAACACGTGACATTTTATAGAGTCTTTCACGTCAGGAGGACGTCCCAAGGCTCTGGACGGTCAGGGGTTTGGACCCTGAGCTGGGAGTTGGGATTAGGAGGAGGTGGGGGTATAGGAGGGTGACCAAAGGCACGGTTGGTCAAAGAGGAGGGTCTTGAGATGGGTCTTGAAGGAGGCGAGGGAGGGAGGGAGGGAGGGGGCGAGGCGGAGGGACTGTAGGACTGTGGGATGGGGTTCCAGAGGGTGGGGGCAGAGAGGCTGAAGGCGCCTTATCGCGTCTTCGAGACGTCTCAAAGCTTGACAGGACACGCGGTGAAGCGAATTGACCAATTATTTGTTTACCCGCGCGCGCGTGTGTGTGTTCAGTGCAATTCATGCACAAAGTTCAGAATTCACTCCCGTCTGCTTGCGTGGTACACAATACACAGTCACAACACTTTAATAATAATAATAATAATAATAATCCTTGCATTTGATAAAGCCCATTTTCACGTCGTCGAGACGACTCAAAGCACTTCGCAGAAGACACTGCGAAGTGAATTGAGGGCAACGTCCCACAAACAGTCGTGGGTTGACTAAGGATTTCCTGATAAAGTTGAGGATTGAAGGTGTTGCAGATACGTACAGACGGAGATATAATTCAAAGGAGCGAAACAGACTTAAGGGAGACAAAGGAATGTTTTTTTTTCTGTATTGTGAGTTCCGTCGCTTTTTACTGGCAAAGGATTATCCGTGCCAACTCATCCCATTTGATCTCATCCCTCCAGACCTACCTTTCACGTCAGGAGGACGTCCCAAATTTTGCTCAACAACGTTCTCCATCATCTGATCAAACATTGCCGAGTTTAGCGTTTGATTTGTTTGCCGCGAATCCCATAATTTTTTTTTGGGAGGCGGTTGGGGGCGGGGGGGGGGGGTCAGCCGGGTGTCTGACACACGCAGAAACCCATCGCCGTGGCTTAAGAGTCTCCAAACCCAACTGAGAATTCCCCACATCACCCCCACACCTGGAAACCCCAGAGTGTGCGTTGGGGGTAACTCGTGGAGTCTAACCATCTAAACCCACACACAGCTCGGCCATTGATATCACACTCTGTAAATAATACTACTACTAATAATAATCCTTGCATTTGACATAGCACTTTATCACGTCTTCGAGACGCCTCAAAAGCCCTGGTTGTTGTTAACTTGAAGGCACGGGGGAAAAAAACATGAACGCGACGAAAGTTTGCGGTGTCAGAGCGAGAGCATTGCAGAGTGAGCAAAAGGGGCTTAACCTTAATTTTGCCTCTGCGATTGTCCTGGTAAACCTGGTTTAACTCAGAAAGCAATCTATCTTTTGTCAAGCTATAACAGTGGCTGCATTAATCACACACTCGATGCCCAACTCCTATAATTTAACATATGGTGACACGTTCCTAAGGTTCCTCCCCAACCCAGTGCATGCCCTCCGCACATTAAATAAATTATAAGCTGGTGGGAGCAGTTTGCAGCGTGTAATTATAAAGCCATAACAGGGGCTGTTTCCTGACCACAGGATACTGAAATACGTCTGCTCCAGCTTGTGTTTTTGGTGGGGAAGGAGAAGGGGGGAAGTTGCTCTTTTTCTCTATAAAGTCCTTGTTCCAAATTGATTTCTCTTCTCTTTCCGCTCACTACGCTTCTCGGTTGATGCTGAACTGAGGCAAGTCCCGTAGCTCAGGGGTTCGAGCCCTCGCCTCGCCAGCGAGAGAGGACCCGGGTTCGATTCCCAGGCGGATCAGGTCAGGGCGAAACATTGGGCAAGTTTCCTTACTCCCCCCACCCCCCACCTACACACACACACACGCACACGCGCGCGCGCGCCTCAGTCAGTAGGAATCTGGTTGTTAATCAATTGGCGGATCGCTTTTCCGGGAATAATAATCCCTCCAAAACGAAAAGTGAAAACAATAAGAATAATAATCATAATTTGGTCACTCAATCCACGGCTGTTTGTGTGGACGCTGCTGTACGCAATTGACGGCCGCGTTTCGCCCACAAAATATACAGTCACTGCACTTTACAACCATAATAATCCTTGCCTTCGATATGGCGCCTTATCACGTCTTCGAGACGCCTCAAAGATGTATACGTGAAGCTGTGAAGCGCTTTGAGGCGTCTCGAAGTTGTGATCAAACATGAGGATTATTATTGTTATTAATAACCTTTTCGTCTCCAGAAGTTACGGCCGTTACCTCTTCTTGTTGGTGCCACGACCACCTTTTCCTTTTTGTTCTTTTGCTTCGTCTCCTTGGCTCTCTGGCCTCTCTCCTGCTGGTTCTTCCTGCGAGACGGCTTGTCCTGTGGGGACTTCTTGCTCTCCTTCGTGTTCTGCGCCACTGCCGGCCTCTGCGTTGGTTGCGCTGTGATCTGCACGTCCGAGCGCGTGCAGACATCTGACGAGAGAGAGAGAGAGAGAGAGACGGAGAGAGGGGTGTGTGGGGGGGTGCGGGTGGGGGAGAGAATCAAATCGGATCTCTCAGCAAGCCGACACAGATTCCCCTCAAGCCCCCACCTCAGGGGTTAGAGCACTCGCCTCGCAAGCGAGAGGACACGAGTTCGATTCCCAGTCGGGGGCGAAACCCTATGGTAGACGAGTTTCCTTACTTCACACGCACGCGGCTCTGTTTGACCAGCGGTCAGTAGGAACCACAGTCGATTGGCGGATCGCTTTCCGGGGGGTAATAATCCGTCCAGAAGAAAATCGAAACAATAACAGTAATAATTTGGTCACTCAACCCGCGGCTGTTCGTGGGGGGAGCGCCGCTGTGCGCAATTGGCTGCCGCGTTTCGCCCACAACGTACACGGTTCACCGCACTTCATGTCATTGAGACGCCTCGGGAGCGCTTCGCGGAATACACTGTAAAGCGCGGTGACCGTGCGCTTTGCGGGCGAAACGCGGCAGACGATTGCGCACAGCAGCGTCCCTCACAAACAGCTCAACAATCGGTTGAGTGACCGATTTTTTTTTTTTTGAGGAGCTCATTACCCCCAGAAAGCGATCCACTAATCAACCGGGTTCCCACTTACTGCCAGGTAAACCGTGGCGCTCGTGTGTGCGTGTGCGCGCAGGGAGTGAGGAAACTTGCCTGAGGTTCCTCCCTGCCCGGGAATCGAACCCGGTGCCCTCTTGCTCGCGAGGCGAGTCCCGTGGAGCTACCGAGGCTGTTTGTCGAACACTTACTGTTCAAGCAGTGGTTCCCAGAACAGCACATGGCTTCCCGCACGCAGTGTCTCCTCACGCCTCGACACGTCGCGCAGACCGGCTCCTGCTGGTGAGAAGCGAGGCAGAACCTCTCGACGCCGCAGTCGGGGTCTGCTGAGCAGCGCGAGGCCTGCGAGATAGACACAAAGCAGCGTTTGAGTTGGTTATGGAACAGCACCTGTGGAACACTTGGAGCACGGAGATGTTCCAGAGGGGGTAACGAGTGGTCCTTCGCGATCTAAACGTCCTGAGCCCAACAATAATAATCCTGCAATTATTACCTGAGGTTCCCGCGATCCCCTTTGGTGGCCGTGATCCCAAAATCCTGGGAATGCGGACCCCTGGTCCCAAATGCATTTGTCCGCCTTCACTCCATCTCTTTTGCTTTGAGATTTGCAGCAGTAACCACGTGACAAATGTGCCGAGGTTAATAATAATAATAATAATAATAATCCTTGCCTTTGATACAGCGCCTTATCAGGTCGTCGAGACGCCTCAAAGCGCTTCACAGAATGTGCCGTAAAGTGTGGTGACTGTGTGTATTTTGTGGGCGAAACGCGGCAGCCAATTGCGCACAGCAGCGTCCCCGCAAACAGCGGTGGATTCAGTGACCAAATTATTCATTTATTTATTTCGATTGGAAGGATTATTCCCCCCCGGAAAGCGATCCGGCCATCAACTAACAACCGGGATCCTCCTTACTGCTGGGCAAACAGAGGCGTGTGGAGTAAGGAAACTCGCCTAAGGTTTCGCCGCCCCCGGGAATCGAACCCGGGTCCTCTCGCTTGCGAGGCGAGGGCTATAATTAATACGCTTTAGGACTCTGGGATCTGGGACTGACTGCCATTAAACGGACTGCGCAACCGTGAGCCAAACGGACCGATATTTGCATGAGGGGAAAAAGACCATCCCAGGTTGGTAGGTTATAATAATAATAATCCTTGCATTTGGTATAACGCACTTGTCAAGTCTTCGAGACGTCTCAAAGCGCTTGTTATCAGGGATTAGTATTCAAGGCACATCACCTAACCCTTCTCTTTGCACCTAATCATACTATTGTTTGTGATGGCTTAGTGCCAGTGGCGCTGAACGTTTTTTTTCTCTGGAAAACTCACTGACGCACTTCGTGTCAACGAGCGCAAGGAAACGATCAAATGAAAACTGGCAAAATCAAACAGAACAGCCGGCGATCAAAGGAGTGCTGCAGTGAAGCACAGAGAGCGGAGTTGGCTGCGCGTGTGGGTGTGCGCGTGCGCGGGTATGCGCGGGCGTGTGTGTGTATGTGGGTGTCTGTGCGAGTGTGGGTGTGTGAGTGGGTGTGCGTGTGTGGTTGGATGTGTGGGTGGGTGGGTGTGTGCGTGTGTGGGTGGGTGTGTATGTGGGTGTGCGTGTGTGGGTGGGTATGTATGTGGGTGTGCGTGTGTGGGTGGGTGTGTATGTGGGTGTACGTGTATGTGTTGGGTGTGGGTTTGATTCCCGGATGGGGCGAAACCTTAGGCAAGTTTCCTTGCGGAAAGCATGAGGCGCAGGATGGCTCTCTGGGTCCTGCCGATGAGCCGGGCCGGGCTGTGCTGCCATCAGCAGCGAGTGCCCCGGGACACTGCGGCCCCTCCCGGCTCAGGAACCGGGGGCTCGAGACCAGCACTGAGGAGGGGGCTCGAGAGAGAGAGAGAGAGAGAGAGAGAGACCGTCACAGAGGAGGGTGTCGATTCCGACATTCGTTGCCAGGCAGGTCACCTTGGGACCAGTTCAGCTCCAAGGAGACCCCACAAACCTCCCCCCACCCTTCCAAGGAGGTTAATCTGACCTATGGATTTGAGCCTCATGGTGGGTACCAGGAACTCCCTGTAACCTCCTGGTCGGCAACACAGCTCAGCACGAAATGCATGAGACCATTGCCACCATCTTCCTCTCTGGGGCGCACGTCCCTTCCCATTGAGCCACGGTTCCACCAGTCGGAGGTGCGGAGTGATTCCAAGCGCTGGGTGTACGATCGTGCGTTAACGAACCCAGATTCCAGGATCCCCCCCCCCACACACACACACACACACGCGCCTCTGTTTACCGGCAGTCAGTAGGAACCCGGCTGTTAATCAATCGGCCGATCGCTTTTCCGGGGGTAATAATCCCTCCAAAGCAAAATCAAAACAATACTAATAATAATTTGGTCACTCAATCCACGACAGTTTGCAATTGGCCGTCGCGTTTCGCCCACGAAACACGCAGTCAATTCGCTTTGCAGCGTATCCCGTGAAGCGCTTTGAAGCGCCGGGTCAAGTGCGAGGATTATTATTATTATTATTATTATTATCTGGCGGACTTCTGCCTGTACTTGAAAAGCTTCGTTGCGATTGAAAAAGGAGAGACTTGACGGTATTTGTCAGACTCTTTCATGTCGATTGTAAATCACATTTCTTTCAGTGATTCCTTGTCTCTCCTTCTTTCCTTCAAAGGATAAATCTTCTGTCATAGCCCCAGTGCTTTAACCTGTTTGATGTGTAACCTTCACAGTGTGTAAAGTATTATTTTCATTTTTTTTTAGAAAAAGGAGGCACGCGTCTCGTAAATCTTTTTTTTTGTCTCGTTTCAATTCCGTTTGGGTTTTTTTCTCCCGGCCGGGTGTCTGACACGTAAGGAAACCCGTCACCGTGACCAGCCGGGTGTCTGACACACAAGGAAACCCGTCACCGTGACCAGCCGGGCGTCTGACACACACGGAAACCCGTCACCGTGACCGGCCGGGTGTCTGACACGTACGGAAACCCGTCACCGTGACCGGCCGGGTGTCTAAAACACACGGAAACCCGTCACCGTGACCGGCCGGGTGTCTGACACGTACGGAAACCCGTCACCGTGACCGGCCGAGTGTCTGACACACACACACGGAAACCCGTCACCGTGACCGGCCGGGTGTCTGACACGTACGGAAACCCATCACCGTGACCGGCCGGGTGTCTGACACGTACGGAAACCCGTCACCGTGACCGGCCGGGTGTCTAAAACACACGGAAACCCGTCACCGTGACCGGCCGGGTGTCTGACACGTACGGAAACCCGTCACCGTGACCGGCCGGGTGTCTGACACACACGGAAACCCGTCACCGTGACCGGCCGGGTGTCTAAAACACACGGAAACCCATCACCGTGACCAGCCGGGTGTCTGACACACATGGAAACCCGTCACCGTGACCAGCCGGGTGTCTGACACGTACGGAAACCCATCACCGTGACCGGCCGGGTGTCTGACACGTACGGAAACCCGTCACCGTGACCGGCCGGGTGTCTGACACACACGGAAACCCGTCACCGTGACGGCCGGTGTCTAAAACACACGGAAACCCATCACCGTGACCAGCCGGGTGTCTGACACACATGGAAACCCGTCACCGTGACCGGCCGGGTGTCTGACACACACGGAAACCCGTCACCGTGACCGGCCGGGTGTCTGACATGTACGGAAACCCGTCACCATGACCGGTCGGGTGTCTGACACACACACACACGGAAACCCGTCACCGTGACCGGCCGGGTGTCTGACACACACGGAAACCCATCCCCGTTGCTTAAGAGTCTCCAAACCCAACTGAGAATTCCCCACATCGCCCCCACACCCGGAAACCCCAGAGAGAGATTGTCGGGATGGGATGCGCTCTCTCTCTCTCTCTCTCTCTCCCTGGAGGGACGCCCACCTGCTTACGGAATTCTGGAAAGTATTAGGCGCAGGTTGGTTAGCGAGAGCGAAGGCTGGGGAGGGGGGAGCCCAGAGTGTGGGGAGGGGGGAGCCCAGAGTGTGCGTTGGGGGTAACTGCCGGAGTCTAACCAGCTAAACCCACGTAGTTTTAATAATAATAAAAAAAATAATCCTTGCATTTGACACAGCGCCTTATTACATCTTCGAGACGTCTCAAAGCCCTTCACAGGATATACTGTAAAGTGTAGTGACTGTATATTGCATCCAGGAGTGTCCACAAACAGTTGTAGATTGAGGGACCACATTTTTTTAAGGGATTATTACCCCTGGAACGCGATCCTGGTGTAATAATCACTGGCTGGACAGCTTTCCCGCTGCTTGTCCAGCTCGGACCACCCTACCCATTGGGGCTTTAGCGTACAGGGTTAACGGGAGCTGAGTTGGAGTCTGCCCCCGAGTCCTGTTGATGAGCCAGGATTGCCTGTGCCTTTTTCTGTTAAACAAAATATGAGGGTCAACACCTCACCAAATACACCGAAACCAAGTCTGTTGGGAGCAATAGATGATGGTGAGGAACATGGCGATTGCTACACGAAAAAAGACCAAGGTCCATCCAGTTCACCTTCCACCATAGACTACCTGGTAGTCGCTCGCTACAATTCTGGAGTTCCTGTAGCTCAGTGGTTAGACCCCTCGTCTCGCAAGCGAGAGGACCCGGGTGGGTCAGGTCAGGGCGAAACCTTGGGGCAAGTTTCCTTACTCAGACACACATACACACACACACAGACACGCGTGCGCGCCTCTGTTTACTCAGCAATAAGTACGAACCCGACGATCAGCGGATCGCTTTCCGGGGGTGGTAATGCCATTCGAACCACGGCCGTTTGCGGGGACGCTGCCGTGCGCGATTGGGCTGCCGCGTTTCGCCCACAAAAACCCGCAGTACATTCCGCAAAGCGCTTTGAGACGTCCCGAAGACGCGATCAGGCAAGGGTTCGCTATTAGCTTCTCTACGCTTACCTTCCCCGAGCGATGGGCAGTTTCCGAGGAGCTTCTGATTGTGTTGAAATCCAAGACTAACGCGGAGGCTTGAGAGAGGAGGAAGCACAAGAGCAATACCATCCCACCGCCCGCCATGCTCCACAAGGTTCACGAGGAAAATATATTTTTTTTAATGCTATTTTAAAAAAATTGCCGAAGCAAAAGTCGAATGGCAAAGTCCAACAAGTCAGAATGAAATGTCTCGCCTCTTCTTAAATCGCTTCCCTTAATTTTCCCCCCTCTCTCTCTCTCTCTCTCTCTCTCTCTCTCTCTCCCCCTCTTTCTCTCTCGGTAAAAAAAGGAAATGGGCTCACGAGTACTTTTTGAGCCTTTTTATATACTGTCATTACTCCCGCCCTCTCCCTCTCTGTGTGTGTGGGTGTGTGTGTGTCTCTCTCACACTCACTCTCTCTCGCGCTCTCTTACTGATGGGTGGGGAAATCAATCGCCTCTCATAGCCCCTGGGGGATATGAGGTCAATTTTTTTAAAAAATGAATCGATTTCCGCCCCCCACACCCCACCCCCTAAAAAAAATCACACTGGAAGAAGGATGTTTGCTCTCTACGCACAGCGATGACCTCTGAGCTGCTGAAGTGTCTCTCTAACCACCCGAAGCGTACCGTGTCCCCGTAATTAATAGTTCCCTTCATTCTGGCTCGAACACAAACCCCCCCCCCCCCCGACCCCAACTCTATTTTACACGATAACCGAGAGCCCCGACACTTGTCAATCAATGCTTCGATCTTAAAACGCTCCTAACCTTAACGCGTCGGCTATTTACTATTGATCGTCCGGGAATTAATAATGATAGCCCTTGCGTTCCACGCAGCGCCCCTGTCGCGTCGTCGAGACGCCTCAAAGCGCTTCACGGAATATGCCGTAAAGCGTGGTGACCGCGTATTTTTGCGGGCGAAATGCGGCAGCCGATTGCGCGCGGCAGCGTCCCCACAAACAGTCGTGGGTTGAGCGACCAAATTGTTATTTTATTCGGAGGGGTTATTAGCCCCTGGAAAAGTGATCCGCAAATCGACTGACTACCAAATGGGCTCCAAGTGGACTGTTAGGTAAACAGAGCTGTGTGTGTGTGTGTGTGTGTGTGGAGTAAGGAAACTTGCCTAAGGTTTTGCTCCGCTCGGGAATCGAACCCGGGTCCTTTCGCTTGTGAGGCGAGCGCTCTAACCACTGCCGTTGTGACTCCCATTCTGTCAGGACAGTCGAGAAGTTATGGAGCATATTTCTATCTTGATTAAAAAGAAGTCCGCGCAGCTTTCTCGAGCCCCCGAACCTATTCAGAGGGTGAACTTCCGTTTCGCCCACAAAATACCCGGTCAGTGCGTCCCGTGAAGCGCTTTGAGACGTCTCGAAGACCTGATGAGGCGCTGCGTCAAGTGCGAGGATTATTCTGATTATCGTAGGGCCGGGGAAACGGCGAATTGCCTGTTCGTTAATTGAAAGGGTTTTGATACCAGATAGTGTTTCACCTGAGCCTTTGAGAGTCGACCAAAGCGAGTTGGCGTGCAGCAATTAAAGACTCGGGTTACAGGAAGCCGGGAGACTGTTATTTTTACCTGAGTGGCTTTGCGTTGGCTTTTGAGGAACATGAAAGACACAAAGAGAACAGTCGCTTTGGAGCAATTTTTTTTTATTGTGTCTTCAGTGTGAAGCAGCCAGGCAATTAATAAGCCGCACGACCAAAAGATTGAGGATTTCCAACCTCCGGGGAACTTTTAATCTTTGATTTATTGTGACAAGTTGTTTCTGAGGATCAAAGCCCCCGGTCCGTAGGTCCGTAAAGCTGATCTGCCTTCACAAGGCGAACTTTCTATTAATCTTTTAATCGATTCATAAATCAGCCTTAGAAATGCAAAACACTGTAGACCTTCGCTGTATTGCTCTGTGACCACATCCTCTTTGCCCTCCTGTCTCCCGACACATAATAATTATAATTATAATGACAGCAGCAATAATCCTTGCATTTGATGCAGCGCTTTATCGCATCGTCGAGACGTCTCCAACCTCTGCACAGGGTGCGCTGTAAAGCGTAGTGACCGGGTATTTTGTTGGCCAAACGCGGCAGCCAATCGCGCCCGGCAGCGTCCCCCACAAACTGCCGTGGGTCGGGTGACAATTTTTACATTTTTTCATTTTTAATTTTAATTTTAATTTCATTTTAAGAGAGGGATTGTTCCCCCCCCCCTACCCACCCCCGGAAAAGACGTCCGACAATCCACACACTGTGCAAGGGACTCATGGGCAGGAGCGGTGTGTGAAACTTTGCCAACGCAGCGATGATTCTAGTGAGTTCCCGTCCGCTGCGCCCCCAAACTCTGCCATTCTATCCCTCTATCCCTCCGCCTCACCCCCTTCCTTCCCCATCTCCAGGTCTGAAGACCTTCCTATTCCTGCAGCGACCTCCTCCGCCACTGTCAATCGCTCTGGGACCCCCTACCCCTGCGTGAGGGGCGAACGCAACTCGTTGTTGTTGTTTCTCAGTCACTCTCTGGAAATCCACGCTCGAGCAAACCTGCTCCGGGTCACAGAGATGGCGTGCGCCACAGGTAAAAAGTTGGCGAGGGAGGCTTTGGTGGCTGATCACGGAGACTCCGAGAGGCAGGGCTTGGCTGGAGCTCCCTCTCATGGTGGATTACGGACACAGTATTTGTCAGAGGTTCTCTCCAACCTTCTCCTGTCGACCTCAGAGGACAATCTCTCCTCCTGGTGCAACAACGACAAAATTACATTTAAATAGAGCGCCTTTCACGTCGGGAGGACGTCCCAAGGCGCTGGACAGTCAGGGGGTCAGGACCCGAGCATGGGGGAGGGGTGCGGTAGGGGTGAGGGCAGGCAGAGAAGGTGGGAGGGCGACCGAAGGCACGATCGAAGAGGAGGGTCTTGAGACCGGCCTTGAAGGAGGCGAGGGAGCGAGGCGAGGGGAGCGCGGGATGGAGTTCCAGAGCCCAACATCATAAGAATAAGAGTAATAATCCTGGCATTTGACACAGCGCCTCATCACGTCTTCCAGGCGTCTCAAAGCGCTTCACAGGATACACTGTAAAGTGTAGTGACTGTATATTTTGTGGGCGAACATCTTGCGTTTCTACACAACCTGTCGCAAAGGGTAAAATCTCGGCACATTGTATCTCGGTACGCCTTGGGACGTCTTTCAGACTTGTGTATTACAAGTGTAATTTTGTTTGTTGTTGTGTACATATATATATATAGGAACATAGGAACAGGAGGAGGCCATTCAGCCCCTCGAGCCTGTTCTGCCATTCTGTAAGATTATGGCTGATCTGTACCTCAACTCCAATTATATATACACACACACACACACACACACACATATACATATATTTACACACAGCGCCTTATACACGTCGTTGAGACGTCTCAAAGCGCTTCACAAAATATACTGTAAAGTGTAGTGACTGTGTACTTTGCGGGCGAAACGCGGCAGCCAATTGCGCACAGCGGCGTCCCCCGCAGACAGCCGTGGGTTGAGTGTCCAAATTCTTCTTAAGGGATTATTAACCGGGTTCCTGCTGACTGCCGGGTAAACAGAGGCGCGTGGAGTACCAAGGGATACGCCACAGTTTTCGCCCCACAAAATAAACAGTCACTACGCTTTACGCCGCATCCCGCGAAGCGCTTTGAGACGTCTCGAAGACGTGATCAGACGCCGGGTCAAATCCCGGGATTATTATTATGATTTATTATTATTTATTTATTATTATTATATTTATTATTATTATATTTATTATCTTATTGTTAATAATATTATTATATCATTTAGTGTTATTATTATTATTATTATTATTATATGCACAGATCAGCCCTGATCTGATTAGAGTGGCAGAACAGGCTCGGGGGGGCTGAATGGCCTCCTCCTGCTCCTCGCAGCCCCAATAATGCAAATGACCGGGCTACTTTGGGGGGGGGGGGGGGGGTGGGGGGGGGGGGGCTGGGCGGGTTTGTAGCCCCGATCGGGCGGGTTTGGGCGGGTTTGGACGCCCACAGGTGGCCGGCGGCGGGTTTCCAGCCCGATCGGGCGAGTTTGTAGCCCAATCGGGGCGGGTTTATAGCCCCGATCGGGGCGGGGTTCGTAGCCCGATCGGGCGGGTTTGTAGCCCAATCGGGCGGGTTTGTAGCCCACGCCCCCTGGCGGGGCGGCGCAGGCGCAGTGCTGTCTCCTTCAGCCTTGTCCTCCCGGAGCCGCGGATCGACGTCTCAGCAGCTTCACGGCGGACAATAAGGTACCGGGAGGGGGGGGCGGGGAACCGAGAGGGGGGGCGGCACCGGGGGGGAGGGGGCGGCACCGGGGGGAGGGGGGGAGGCTCTGACTCAGGCTGTGGTGCCCGGGGAGCGAGGCTCTGGCTCCGGCCTCGCCTGTCACTGGGCCTCGCTGCTCAGGCCTCGGCCCAGGCCACAGGCCCCGACCCCCCCGACCCCCCCACACACTGACCCCCCCACACACTGACCCCCACACACACTGACCCCCACACACTGACCCCCCCACACACTGACCCCCCCACACACTGACCCCCACACACACTGACCCCCACACACACTGACCCCCACACACACTGACCCCCCACACACACTGACCCCCCCACACGCTGACCCCCCCCACACGCTGACCCCCCCACACACTGACCCCCCCCACACACTGACCCCCCCACACACTAACCCCCCCCCCCACACACTGACCCCCCCACACACACTGACCCCCCACACACACTGACCCCCCCACACACTGACCCCCCCCACACACACTGACCCCCCCACACACTGTACCCCCCCACACACGACCCCTCCACACACTGACCCCCCACCACCCACACACACAGAGCCCCCCACCCCCCCCCACACACAGCCCCCCCCACCACCACCCACCACACACACAGACCCCCCACCCCCCCCCACACACACAGCCCCCCACCACCCACACACACAGACCCCCCCCCCCCCACACACAGCCCCCCACCACCCACACACACAGACCCCCCACCCCCCCCCCACACACAGACCCCCCACCACCCACACACACAGACCCCCACACACACAGACCCCCCCCACAGAACCTCTCCACACGCACAGCCCCACACACAGTACCCCCCCCCCACACACACACACCCTCCAACCCCCCATAACCCCCCTCCCCCCCCCCACACACACAGCAGGTCAGGGCCCCACAGAGAGAGA